GGTAAATGAATTATCATGAATAAACTATTAAACATAGTAATGTTTTCAAGCTTCTGGACTGAAAAGAACGTGGTATAAACATCGATGGCGAATACATCACCCATCTTCTATATGCCGACGTATAGTCATCATGGCAGAATCGCAGGCGGACCTTAGTACTATGCTCAATGACCTTAAACAGTGCCTCTCAACGGGTGGGCCTTAATATGAATATGGAAAAGACGAAGATCATGTCTAATGTTATTGTTGGGAGCACTGTGCTCGAATTTGTTGACCAATATGTATATCTAGGACAATTAGTCCGGCTAGGTAAGTTCAACTTCGACGCAGGGGTCAATCGGCGAATCCAACTCGGATGGGCAGCGTTCGGGAAACTTCGGCAAATCTTCTCGCCGAATATACCTCAATGTTTGAAGACTAAAGTCTTCAACCAGTGTGTGCTGCCAGTGATGACATACGGGACTGATACGTGGTCCTTCACTGCTGGCCGCATGAGGTGCTCAAAATCGCTCAGCGAGCTATGGAGCGGGCTATGCTCGGTATTTCTCTGCATGATAGAGTTTGCAATGAAGACATCCGCAGTAGAACAAACGTAACCGACAAAGCTCAGAAGGTTAGTGAGCTGAAGTGGCGATGGGCCGGCCATATAGCTCGTAGAACTGATAACCGTTGGGAAGAAAGGTTCTCGAGTGGCAGCCTCGTACTGGCCATCGCAGTATAGGACGACACCCAATAGATGGAGTGACAACCTGTTCTCTGCAAATCTATGGGGGATCTCGGTTAAGGTGATCAGTTCTATTATTGATGTTATATCGCCTTACCTAGCAACTACTTTTAATATTTATATCAATCGTGGCGAATTTCCTGGCCTTATGAAACATAGTAAAATCATTCCGGTTTTTAAATCTGGTAGTACTTCCGACCCCAATAATTTTAGACCTATCCCTGTACTGCCAACTCTTAGTAAAGTTTTTGAAAAAATCATGTTTAATCAAATGTTACAGCATTTTAGCTCTCATAATTTATTACATAACAAGCAATATGGGTTTACTAGGGGTCGCTCAACAACGGATGCGGGTTTAGCTTGTTATGAATATTTTTGAAGCTTGGGAAGAGTCGCAGGATGCCTTAGGTATATTCTGTGACTTAACCAAAGCTTTCGATTGTGTACAGCATCAGACCTTGGTCAGGAAACTACGCCACTATGGTATAAGAGATGCCGCACTCAATCTTCTGAAATCGTACTTGAGCCATCGAATTCAGAGAGTTGACGTGAATGGCAAGAGATCTCCTGGGCCCTGGTAAATATGGGGTCCCGCAGGGATCTATTCTTGGGCCTTTTCTCTTCCTCATTTACATAAATGATCTACCTTATCTAGTTAATAATAATCATGAGATAATATTGTTTGCTGACGATACGTCTTTAATTTTTAAAGTAAAACGACGTTCTTTAAGTTATGACGATGTAAACAATACTCTATCCACTGTAGTACATTGGTTTAGTGCTAACAATTTACTGTTGAATAATAAAAAAACTAAATGTATTAAATTTACAACTTCCAATGTTAAACATGTAAAAACTGATGTTCTTTTATATGGGGAAGCGTTGGACCCTATTGACTCAACTGTATTCCTTGACATAACTATTGATGCCAAACTGCAATGGGGCCCCCATATTAATAGACTGGCGAGTAGACTTAGCTCAGAAGCTTTCACGGTCAGAAAAATAAGACAGTAAACTGATGTACATACGGCTCGCTTGGTATATTTTAGTTATTTCCACAGTATAATGTCTTATGGCATTCTGCTTTGGGGTAACGCGGCCGACAGTAATACAATCTTCATCTTACAAAAGAGAGCTATTCGTGCAGTTTACAATCTGGGCCCCAAAGAATCATTAAGAAACTTGTTTAAAGAGATAAAGGTATTGACTGTTGCTTCTAAATACATTTTTGAAAATGTTTGTATGTCCATAAAAATAAGGATAAATTTTCAGGACATAATAATGTTCAATGATATAAATACTAGGAAAAAAAAAATTGATCCTACCCACAAGTAGACTGCGTAAAATAAGTAAATGTTTTATGGGACAATGTATATCTACGTTACTACAACAAAATTCCAGAAAACGTTCAAAATGCTAGATTAGATTTGATACCATTGATTCTCTACTTAGTCCTGCAGATGTAGACGGTAGATCGTGATATGAGGTAAGTGATAAATATGGCTGGTTCAGCAGTTTAAAGTGACTATCTGTTTTGAAAGAGTTTTGCATAATTTGATCGATTACCATGTCTTCATTGAATTTGCGCCAAAATGTTAAATACGTCCTCCCTAAGCGACTGCAAGCGCCTGGTTGAGAACCCGTATAGGCGTATCACTTCACGTATCGTGTATATCTATACAAAGTTTTTGAAACTTACGCAGTTCCTTAGCGACGGGAAAATAAAATTTGCGTACGGGTAAATTTATCTACTCGCCATGCTTAGTCATTTAGAAAATCAAGTAGAACTATATAACCGACATCATTAACATTAACCGGTATCAACTAAAAATATCTAAGCTCTAATTTTCTTTCGCTTTATTTCAGGTTAACTTATACAAAAGACACATTCACAAAATATAATAACAAGCTAAAATACGTAACCACATGAATTACAATTGCTTTTTGTAGGTAAGATCTACTAAGTAGTTTCAAAGGGAAATTTCATAACAAGTAAAAATACGTAAATACAAATAAATGAAAAAGTCAATATATAAGAAACCGACTAAGTTCATATTCCTAATTTTCAAAATGTCGATGTGCTGCATATTCTTAAAATCAATATTTTTTTGTCGTTTAGTAAGCACATTATGTAGATTTTGACCGAAATCTCTCAATATCTAAGCGACAAAAAACTCGTCGTAGAACCATGAGACTCAGATCAAACGACGCGAAAAATTCTGGCGATTCGAATGGTATATACAGCGTGTCGTTACCATCGCGACAATAAATGAACACACGTCTAACGCTACTTGCCAATAATCATAAAAAAATATTAACGTTAAACAAAATCCACAATTAAAAAAAAATATTTTTCAAACAAACTAATTAAGTAAAAATGAAACAAAATTTGTAACACCTAAACAACTCGCGTCACAGCGTCGTATTACAAGCCTCTCCTTCTAACAGTATGTTTTGTCTCTTTTAAATTCATTCAACCCATTCATGTTTCGTGACCTTTACAAATGAACTTTACGTTACGCTTTTATAGGTAAGGGTGTTCTAAAATTTTTTGTTTTGGAAAATTTAATAACTCTGTAAATATTGGTGTTTAAAGAATTTAAATGTTTAATACAACTTTAAAAAGTTATCCCCTATATGCATGTTCATTTATTGTCGCGATGGTAACGACACGCTGTATAACTCATTTTAACGATTTTTGTCGCTTAGTAAGGATAGGCTTTCAAGCATCGATATCTTGGAAATGTGGCAACATTGAAATGTAAATTAAGATCCGATATTTAATTTATTTTTCATAAAGACTTAACTAAAGCTGTAATTAATTGTCACAAATATTGTAAGAAATATTAAAATTAAGTATTTTAAAAACAGTACTCATAACACAATAAGAATTAAGACGTGTGAATGATGCGTTCCGGGTACTGCCAACAGCGGTACAAGGAACAGATGCGCTCTCTTGGCACGGTCGTCGGAAAGAAAAGAGATGTAATTAGCGAAATATTGTAATAAAATTATAAGAAGAACTTAAGGACTACTTAATTCAATGTTTAAAACCTATACTTCTGAAGTACACGCAAACTTGGACAGGAGTGTTTAGTCCAACTTTACACAACTTACTCACTCTTAAGTTCTTAAAATAGAGCTGTGGAACTACCGAGGTTCGTGCTTAGCAAGATGGGAAAATTGCTTTTATGAAATGGTTAGACAATAAGGCTGTTTTACCGATGTCAGCTTGTTTCATCGACGAAAGAGTTGATACATGTAAACGTTGAAATAAAATTACTAAATGATTATTACTAAATGAGTTCAAGTTCCGCGTCCAGAAGTTATCAAAATTTATAATGTCAATATGGGCTTTGACTAGGCGGACAGAATGATAGCGGTTTGCCCGATTCGGGTGCAAACTCATAAGTGGACAATCAGCTTTATTTTTCATACGATTGACATTACTGTGTTAAACTATTGGATTATATATCGTGAGAAACGTAAGCTTTAGAATGAATCCTTGCATAAAATACATCAACTGCACGAGTACAAGGGTAAGTTGAGCTTTAAATTGATAGAGGAAACCTCAGTATCTTTGGCTGAAGAAGAATCATGTGATGAACATTTAGCTCTACCAAGCCAGCAAAATAATAGGCGAATTACAATAAATCTCTTGGCAACTCTACAAAAGAGAACATCCAATGCAGAAAATATGCTACAATTTACAAAAAAGCAGCAGGAATGTCGCAAGGACGAAAGCTAGATGCTAGGTGCCGTTACTGCAGTGTCTATTTACGTTTGTGTAGTTCTTGTAGTTGTTTTGCCCCATTTTCATGGTTGTTCTGATTCCGATTCTGAATAAATATTATTTTCAGATCATGTAAAGTTATGAGACTCATTAACATTAAAAAAAAAAAATTTAAATTATTATTTAAAAAGCAATTATTATTTCATAAAATTAACCTAAACTTTTTAAAATTAGTATGTTATTTATATTTTTGTGAAGATGAGAACATCATTTTTTTAGTTTATTCAATATTTTTATTTTCGGGGGAAATAGGTCTTTTTGTGATTAAAAATCAACACAAAAATACTTTACGTTTTAAGATTGTGATAACCTTTTTAATATTTTCACCCCCAGATATTGATTCATACACTCCACTTTCTGGTTTCTTAACTCATTTTGAATAGGGACACGTTAATTAACCTAGTGTGCGTGACCATGAAATGTGGTGATGAAAACAATTTTATTTGGGATTTAATGTTTTTATTTGTCGCAAACATACATTTACGTCTCTTTCTTTGTGTCGGTCTTGCCACCACGAATTCTTCCAGTCCTGCGCGCAGCAATAAGACCAACCTTGCGACCGGCTGATGTTCCTCTCTTTACAGTGGAAGCCTTACCTACAAAACGCGATACATACATTCGTTAAAAAATCTCATGAAAATCATTATCTGATATATAAGGGAAATAAGACAAGTTCACCAGAAAATGAAATTATAAAATTAAAACATACCAATATGTTGGTGGTTACCACCACCATGTGGATGCTCTACAGGGTTCATGCTCACACCACGCACATATGGCCAGCAGTTACGCTTGACCTTATATTTATGGTATGCACGACCAGCCTTCAAAATGGGTTTGTCAATACGTCCTCCTCCCGCAACAATGCCTTAAAACAAAATTAAATGTAAACATGTTTTTTTTAATTAAAAAAATGATTTAGTAAATAATTATTCAGAAAGAGCCTCTGTGTAATCATAGTCATTCAGAGTAGGTAAGTAAAAGTCATCATTGATATAAAATTGCGATTATAAAATACCATGATAAGTTAACAAAGCAGAAAAATGACAAAAGGTTCCAATTTTACCGATTCTAAAAACTGTAAAAAAAACATACTGTCAGTTTTACATAATGGATTGATTATTACTTACCAACCATTCCTCTGTTGCTTGAAGGCAAGACTTTCTTTGCACCAGATGGAAGTTTGACCCTTGTACGTTTTGCATCAGGATTATGACCAATGACAGTGGCAAAGTTGCCTGAAGCGCGAGCAAGCCGACCTCGGTCTCCCATTTTTTCTTCCAAGTTGCATACAATGGTACCTTCAGGCATAGCCCCAACAGGCATGACATTTCCTAAAAAAAACATATATAAATAGAGCTACAAACTTTTGGACCATAGTGTATTTACATCAAATTATATTACTTTTAGAGCAATATAACACAAGTTCTCATTATTTGTTAATTTTATTAGCGAGTATATAATTCGTTCTAAATATAGCAATGCAAGCATACAATCATTTCATTTCATATGTATGTTGTTTTCCTTTTTTTTTTTTTTGTGAAAAAGTGGCAAATGATTCCGCAGTTTACCTGATTTTAAGTAATAACCGCCGCCCATAGAAATTTGCAACACCCGTAGGGTCGCAAATGCGTTGCCACCTTTAAATAAGATGGGCCCCGGCTACCTCACTCACAAGACGAAACACAGAAGTATAACATTTCTAGTTTACACTGGTCTTCTGTGAGGTTGTAGTAACTCCCCGGACGGACCTGCCAGTTCATGCAACAAAGAAAACTGTTGCGTGGCCCTCCCTACGTTTTAATAATTATCTAATTTCACAACTATTGTTTATTGATACATTATTTTAGCATCTACACTCTGAATTACATTTATTTGAAACTGTTGACACTACATGCTTATCAAAGAGAAATATGTGTTTCTGATTTCTGGTCTTGAGATATCCTGTATCCTACAACAAATAACATGATAGAATAATAATAATAATTATTATTTATTTTACTTTTACACTAAGGAAAAGACAATGAGTACATTGTGGCTCCCAAACTAGGCAGTGCCTGTATCTTGGGAGCCGGAGTGCGCTTCATATAAAACATAAAATGAAATTATATGGACGGTACTTTAGGTAAGTTATATTAATATTTTAAAAATGAATGGTTGTAATAATAAAAAAACGCAGGTAAGAGAGCACGAAGGTGTGTGTGTGTGTGTGTGTGTGTGTGTGTGTGTGTGTGTGTGTGTGTGTGTGTATGTTTGTGTGTATGTGTATGTTTGTGTGTATGTGTATGTTTGTGTGTATGTGTATGTTTGTGTGTATGTGTGTGTTCGTGTGTGTATGTATGCATGAGTGCGTGAGTGTTTTGCGCATGTTTCGTATTACTTAATAATATTTAATAATACTTAATAATATTTTCAGTTTCCTCGTAATCGAGAGAGAGCAACCACATTTTTAGACGCTTCCTAAAGAGTAAGTACTGAGGTCTGCGATGTCGCAATGCTTTAACACATTGTTGTACACGAAGACATGGAGAAATTAGAATATGAACATATAGATCAGACCTCTTATAAGTAAGGACATATTGGGATATTGCATTTTTTTTTCCTAAAATCTAAATTATTCTAATAAACTCTTTCATAATTATTGTTAATTTGATAGAAAGCAAAGAAATTGATTTCCTAATATATTCAGAAAAATTAAAGGAAATTCCATTAAGTGAAGCTCTTTTCATACTATCCGCAGACAAAACTTTCATTTAAAAGCCATATAAATCATGCTATAAATCACAATGTATATTGCTTTTTCCAAACAAACCCAATTTCAAACAATTAACTATAATCTTTTTAAATTCAACACCTTAAATGTTTATTTTTTTTACTCTTCTTTTTTCTCCGGCTTTTGACCCACTATACGTGGGGACAGCACAAGATGTAAACCATGTTTTTTGATGTACAAGTTTTTCGACCTTCCACATGTCTTAGATCAACACTCTTTAGTAATAAACAACCAGATCCAGTACAATATGTATCTGTTGATCACACAATTGATCCAAGCTCTTGATTGGGCTCATTCACAGATACTATTGAGATCAAACTAAAATGGTAATGTATAGGGATGAAACAATACAACTGAATTATCAATACTTTTATATATTTATACTCAATATATTTAACATAAAGACTCATGTGTATTAAATGAAACTTATTTTCCTGAAAAGAGCTTGTTCTGTAACTATGAATTCTGGAAAAGGTACGAATCATTGGGAATTAAAACAGAAAAAAGTTGGCGGCCATTTAAATTTCGTTATAAGCCTCTTTTACATTGTTCAAGAGCAGTGACTCTTCAAGTAAAAGTACAATGGCCAGTGGTGGGAAGGGACAAATGGCTGTTTACACTTACAGTGAGTCCAGTGAGGCATTTCTCTGTTGAAACGCAACTGGACTATTGTAACATCAATAAAAAGTGCAGATTGCCTGTTTTTGTTGCAGGTCACTGCACTAAATTGACTCTTTACACTATGGCAAGTGATGAGTCAAGTACCAATGCATACTTGATATTTAGCCACAAAGTACAAAAGTACTTTGTAGCGGAAGGAAGTATCAAGTAGGTAGGTAATTGTATTGTTTCATCCCTAGTTAAAAATTCAATTCACATTAATTCACGCGTTCATGTTACATCTGAGCTAATTTCGTCGTTAGGAAACGTACTATTAACTATTAAATAAACACGTGAATTCCCTTACCTACTTCGAGCGTTGCCTTCTTTCCACAGTATACGAATTGACCAGTGTACAGGCCTTCGGGCGCAATAAAAAGTTCCTTACGTGTCTTGAACTTGTAAGGGTCCCTGAAGTGAACAACAGCTAAAGGTGCGCCTCTGCCGGGATCGTGAATGATATCCTATAATAATATTTACAAGACACACGTTTCAAAATAGAAGTGATACTTAACGCGACGATATTGATTCGTGTATATTAATACTTGGAAAAATCGACATAACCTATTTTTCCTACCTTCACCACACCTTTGATATAGCCATGACGTTCTGCATAATCGAGAGAACGAAGCTTTGGCGCTCCTTTCCTTTTCTTCGTATGTGAGACGAAGACAGAACCGGCACCTTTACGTTGAGCACGAATCACACGACCCATTGTTAGGTCCCGTCAGCCCTCACTGAAAGTAATATTTGAATATCTTTAGTAAATAAACACCAATATAACATGACCACGTTTATACGATTCATATATAATAACTTTTTAATAAAAAATAATGCAAGACATTAAGATCACAGTGGATTTAAAAATCAACTCGATATTTACGTACGTTTAATAAGAGGGACACTTTTGAAAGAACGAACGAGCAACCACAGATTCTTCAAAAGCAATAGGGTTGCACATTAACAAATAACAATTGATTGATAATCGATATACAATATTACGATACAAATGTACGTAAGTCGTAACCGAAATCGTAAGCATGAAATGAACAATCGAAATTTAATGTAAAAAATGGTGTTATTTATGTCTAAAATGCAAAGTGCACGTATCACAGGTTTACCGTCATTATTTATCACATCAGCATTCTGCATTGAAAATGCATAGCTATAGATAGATTATTGAAATCCCAGCTGTTAATCAATTTTAAAACCATGGTAACATGAGAAAATGATTAAAAATAGTACTAGTGTCTCTAAAAATAAAAAATACGCAGTCGAAAACATATAACTACAAAAATTAATGGAAGACAATATAAGTAGGGGTAAGCCCTACTATTATAATTGATACTACTACTTACTACAAAGTAGTGTCAATATTATAGTCGTATGTCGTTTCTACAGTGTAGTAAGAAGTATTATCAATTTCAACTATTCTCACCATCAAACATTTGGAAAGACTGTCAATATCACAGTTAGCCTGCTGATATTTTAACATAATAAGAAGTGGGTTTTATATAATACCAAAACCAATACTTTAGTGGAATGGTTAAAATATTACGAGGTACAAGATAAAATCGATTTAGTTTTATCGATTCATGAAAGGAAAATGTGACTGTCTCGCAAAAAAATAAAGTAAAAATTAAATTAGGAATATGGTAATTTTAGTTATATTTTAATGAAAAAAAAAAAACGCGGGGAGACATTTATTAATATAGACGACAATTTTTTTTACTCATATTATGCCAGCAGGTTTTTTGGTGGTTTATAATTCTAGCCATACATTTTTTTACTTTAAAACTAATCTTAATGAAAAACATTAAACATAAATTAATTATTAAATTAAAAATAAATGCCTCAAACTCACTGCATTCCTGTGTTGAGACTCCCCTTTTCATGCTTCGTACTAAATAATATCCATATCTAAGGATAGTATGGAAAAAAACCTTAATTTCGTTAATTTACTTATAAGACCAATATAAATGTCAATTTGACATTAAAATGTAATGTCTTTAAACAACACAAAGTGAATATTACCTTTTATTATCAATAAACTATTTTTTGGGACTTACTGTAAATTTTTTTTAAGAGTAACTTTGCATATTGCACTATGAGGTAGTTAATAGAGCTCATAGATGTCTAATAGCTCGACTAATTTATTATTTCCTAAACTAAGATAAGAAATAAACATAATCCGGATATGCCATTTCATTGTGTTATGATGACGCTATCAAAGATGGGAAGTGGGAATTGTACTGATTTTATTTCGGTAGATTAAATTATAAGGATGAAACTAATATTTAAGAATTAATAAACTTGGCAGAGGAGTAAACTAATGTCTATTAAAATAAAAATAAGAACGTTTAAATTCAGATTCAGATCAGAATGATCATTAAGAAGATCTTTCTGAATTTATCAGATCTCTGATAAAATCAGAGAATTTAACCACCTTTTGGCAACTCAAATAACATTTGTAATTGAAAAGCCATTTGACAGCTGATTAATTGATTTATGCGATGATCAATTTTTCGATTCAAAAACCGGCAGTGTGACCAATTGTGGCAGATATCTGCAATTTGAGCAGATATTGTGATCTGGCATATTAGGCTGACGATTCAAAATAGTGCCACAATTTGGCAGACTTCAAGGAAATCTTCATTATTTCTGAAATATATTTGAAAATATAAATTATTATTTGTATTTAGAATAATTATTCTATGTCTATTCTAAGTATTCTGTCTTATTATTTACTGTTAGAAAATTAATTTCTGATGTGAACTTTCATCCCATGCTATATAGTACGGGGATTTCCCGATCAATGTATTTTAGTGTAGTTACGTCATACGATTATGAACGGTAATGAATTAGCAATAAGGTTTCATCATCATCATCATTGCAGCCTGTTTGAGTCCACTGCTGAATAAAGGCCTCCCCCACAGACAGCACAAAGCACGATCCCGTGTTTATGCAATAAGGTTTATTTGTTATTAATATAACTTGCATGTCAATGTTTGTTGTATATTTTGATTTTCTGTTATTCTATAATTTATTCTCTCGTTTAATTTGTGTAGCTGTGTCTTCCGTGCATGATGTAGAGAAAATAAAAGCGTTCGTACTGACCTGAGTGGGAACAAGATCCTTTTCTTTTTTCTTTTGCAAAGCTTACAATTGGAAACTTCACAGTCACAACTACATCAACGCTTGAAGTTCTTACCAAATAATTATTATTCCGTAAGATATTTTGAAGTATGAACAAAATTTTAACTTACTTTTTAAACATTTCAAACTTTGCAAAAGTTATTTAACGTTTTCCTATGTCAAATGGGGAATATAGAGGGTAAAAGACCTAAAGGCCGTAATCTTAAAAGATGGGTGGATAAAATTTCTGAATACCTTAAAATCCCCATAAGCGCGGCCCACCAAGCGACAGAATGAAACCGATGGACACAGCTCGTTGAACAATTGAATAAAAGTCACAATCCTCAGCAGTAAGGGATCTACCAAGAAAAAGATGATAATTGCGTCATGCGAAAGAATATTTATTTCATTAATTATACTGTATTGTTAAAATCGCCCTGGGAATCGAACCCACGTCTTCGGCATTCGGGGCCCTACGCTTTAGCCACTAAGCTAAACGGCTGATTGTAACACCAACGAAAATCCTAACGTCTTTTATCTACATTGTTTTTTTAGCATTTGAACCAACTGTACTATTTCGAACGATACAATAATATGATGGCATATTTTTAACAGCAGATTTTGGAAGATTTTTGCTAGTGTCGGGCAGATTAGCCATTTTTTAGATGGTCACCCTGGAAACCGGTCGTTACTAGTGGCACGTGTACTACATCATGCTATCAGCCGAGAGTCTATAGTATATTTACATATACATATACATACTGGTCACGTTGCAAGTGGCGTGGTCGACTTCTGCTTCTGAGCCTGTTCGACAGTGTCTTTGTAATCGGCACTATTCTCTGCGCTGTGATTGCGTTTGCGTTACTTGTGCATTCTTCAATATGCTGTTTAAATTTCATATATTGTTCTAGAAACTGCTAAAATGCATGTATGATATTAGTGATTTCTGATAAGTATTAATGTGATGAAAACAATATAAGGATCAAATAGCGTCGACCATGATTTTTATTGGTATTGATCGTACAGAAAATAATAACTGAAATCTTAGTTTCGTGAACTCGATTGATATTCGTTTGTTGGAAAAGAACAGCTGTTAAATAATAATTGTTTTCAACTGTTTTGAAGTAAATTATCTCTTAAGAACATCTTTGAAAAACTATACGAAGGTAAGTTTATTACAAAAATTGCAAATAATCTTTGATTCAAATGTTTATTATATATCGATTAATTTTGGCTTTGGATGATAATCCAAATTAACATAAATTAACGTTATAACATTAGTTATAATGTTATAATGTTTTATTAATGGATGAAAAATTAGACCTTTTCTGTATTATAGTTAGAATATAAGTTTAATTGTCATTTGTTACTAAGACTTTAATTTTAGATGTTTGTTACGTAATTCATATAGAAATATATGAATATAAATAAAATAATGGGGTGCACCAATAAAATAAAAACTGATTGCTTGTGTGCTATACACACGTTTTTATTTTATTATTACTCGACTGTGCTTGATGTTGATCACAAATTCAAAATCCTATCTGATAGTAAGTGGAGATATGGATATGGCTGTAGATGATAAATGCACTAGCTCAGTGTTATTATTTCTTCACAATTATTGTCAATTGATAAAATGCATAATAGACTAACATTTCTTTTAAATTTTGCTGAATATTGTTTTATATTGAAAAACCAACACTATGCAAAGCACAATATTTGTAACTGTTTACAAATGTTGTGCTTCACATTAAGCACATATGTAGAAACATATTATCCTTACATGAATAATTTGTTATTAGTACAGTATGAATATTTCCTAAAGTAAAATCCATCATTATAATAATTTCTGTGAATGAAGAATTAGTTCACTCTATGATTAGAAAGCTTTTACTGTAAAATATACTTTCAAGCCCCCTAAGTTACAAAAAGAATAATGTTCTATTCTATTTTTACAAAGAGAACAATGTTCTATTCTATTTTGGTAATGTTTTAGATATACAGTAAGCCTCGGAGATCTTATTATGTTATTTAATGGTCAAGTGTACTCTTAGTAAGTCTGAACTTCGATGTTGTTAAATTTGATGTAATTTGAGAATTAATGAAAAATTTAATTTTATTTGAAAATTTTGTTTATAAATCGGAATGAATTAAGCTTCTAACATCTGTAATATTGAGGACAAATATAATTTGAAAATAATTTGTTAAATGAGGAGCATGGAACAAAAACCGATATATCACATATCATATTTTTTCGGGAAATTAAAAAATAATGTGTATGTCTATGGATTTCTAATTAAGAGAATAACAAAGTTTTACTTGTTTATAGGTCTTGGTAACATTGTTTTGATATCCAAATCACTGATTTATGTGTGCAGTGTGTGATGAGAAATTTAAAAAACAAAATGGATTTATCGGCATTTAATCACTGACAGATATGTCCTTGTATAACATCATATTTTTTTAGATGTATTCTTTTATAGTGCTAATCTCTGCACTTAAGATTAAACATTAAAATTTGGAGAAAAAGTATGAAAAGATTGTCGCCTCTGTGGGAATCGAACCCACGACTTTGGCATTCAGGGCCTGACGCTTTAGCCACTAAGCTCAGTAGCTGATTGACACATCAACGAAAATCTTAACGTCTTTTATCTACATTGTTTTTTAGCATTTGAAGCAATGCCTGGAGCATCCATTGTTTTTTCCTTTCAAGAATACAGGTAGGTTGAAGTTATTTTGAAGGCTCCCGAGGCGTTTTTCTAAATAAACTCAACCAGCCTAATGGTTCATAATTCATACGCCAATTGGTCTGCATGGATCGCTTTCGGGCACTAAAATAATCGCCGTTATTCAGGCCATGTGGGTGCCTTAGAGATGTCAGCGGCCGCTCAAACGCTGTACGCAGCAAGCGTACGCGCTCAGGCCTCTGCAGTGCCTGAGCCGGCGCCAAGCGCCTTCTCCCACGCCCGCGGAAAACACACGGTGCACTGGTTCCGAAAGGGGCTCCGCCTTCATGACAACCCTTCGCTGCGCGAGGGGCTCACTGACGCAGTCACCTTCCGTTGCATCTTCATTATCGATCCGTGGTTCGCCAGTTCGTCTAACGTCGGCATTAACAAATGGAGGTATGTCGGGTCACATGCACTTATTGCTATATATTGCTTATTACAACTACACTCTATAGGTGTTTAATATGTTTTGTGGAAATTATTTTCATTACTTGTACCATCATCGTTTTAGGACAGCTAATTCATAGTCAGTGACACGCAGGACTGAGTAAATTGGCAAGTTTTTGGAAAAACCCATATCGCTGCACGTAGTAATTTTCAGTGCTGGACGTGGTTGGAGCACCTCGTGGAGATCTAAAGCTCTTAGAGCATTAATATGACTGGTATCGTCTTGGAAGATTCATGCGGTGAATGCAAAGTGTCAATATTAGTTATGAATAAGATTTCAACTGCGCACAATTTACTAGGTTCCTACTAGAATGTCTGGAAGACTTAGACAGCAGCTTGCGGAAGCTAAACTCCCGCTTGTTCGTGGTCCGCGGCCAGCCGAACGACGCTTTGCCAAGGTTATTCCGCGAGTGGGGAACCACTGCACTCAGCTTTGAGGAGGATCCTGAGCCTTATGGCAGAGTTCGCGATCACAACATTACGACAAAATGCCGCGATATCGGAGTAACCGTCATTTCGCGTGTTTCGCACACGCTCTATAAATTGGACAAGTAAGTGCCCTTAATTTTTTATTAAGTTGCCTATTTTCTGTTATTTAGTTAGTTTTTATTAATTTAAATATAAAGTAAGTAATTTTTACTCTGTTTATCGCTTTTTCACCTAATACCCGAGCCTTTAAGATAAAATCGCGTAAATTGTTTACATTTATACGACCCATCAAAAAAAGTAAAAAGTAAAGTAACAGCCTATTAATATCCCACTGCTGGGCAAAGGCCTCCTCCGTAAAGAGGGTATCAGGGAATAGTCCACCACGCGGCCCCACTGCGGATTGGCGGACTTCACATATTTTTCGAAACATTTTTTTATTATATTTTCGAAAATATGCAGGTTTCCTCACGGTCTTTTCCGTCACCGCCGAGCACGCTATAATTCAGCACTTAAAATTAACAATTTCTTTGGTGCTGGCACCGGGGATCGAACTCAGGTTGCTCGAGTAAATGTAATTAGAGGCTAGCACCTGGACCTGATCTATCATGGCTCACGACCCATCAACACAATAAATCTTACGCTGCCGTGGCCTTGTCGTTATTACCAAATCAGTATTCTTATTTACCTACAAGCATTGTATGAGCATGAATAGGTCGATATTGGTGTAACCACTTGACCAACCACGACGCTATGATACATTTGCGTAAAATACATTTGTTTATGAGACAAGTTATTCGGCTGATGGCATAGATACGAATCAATTGATGTGATATCGCAACGGTTTTCTTACAATTTAACCTGAATCCTGACACATTTCAATATATGGTGTGTCATTAGATTCGTTCAGTCGTAGAGTGACATAGGGATATATAAAATAGAGGAATGTTAAGTAAAAATTCTTAATGCAATCGATTCCTTAAATAATTTATGTTTGTTTTTTACATATAATATGAAATTATATTATCTTGCCATATAAAATAAAACGTAAGTATATTAGTTGTTAGAAAATATAAATATTAAAAAACTATCTTATTACGGTAAAACAATTTTACCTCTTAAGAACCTCCTTCCTTTCTTGTTATTTACAATAGACGTCTGAATTTATTTTTAGACGAAATAAATTAACCAGGCCTATTGCCACGTGACTGCAATGTTACCTAAAATTTAAATAGGTGGAATTGAAATCGAATTTATTTTCCAATTACAGATTGCAAAAACTTTCTGAATGTTGCGAAAGAATGTTTTTCTCGGAACAAGTTAATAGAAACACGTGCTCTCGAATTAAAAGAAATTATAAATAGCTACCCGAACAATCGAACTTTCTCGTTGATATTGTGAAAATTGCCTTCCGATTTAGAATTTCCTAGAAACTGAGACTTGTTGAATGATTTATATATCGATATTGCATAGTTAGATTGTGTAACGGATACTAAACAATAATATTTTTAGACGGCGTTTGTCCAGTATACAATGAGACAAATATTTTTTTCACGATTAATACACAACGCTTAAATCATAATATAAATTATTTTCCAAATGGTAAGTGTATGTAATGGTAAGTAGTTTTCCGATCCTTATATCGTTCGTAATCAAAACTGTTGATTTATTCTTACAGTGGTCGCAATCCAATTTATTTACGACACTAGGTATGTATAACGAAACCAAAACAAAAAGGTTTTTAACGTAAATGTCCTCAAAATAAACTTTTAGCTTACGATGTCGAATACGCTTTCGATATCGATCTGACATCATCTTTGCTCATATAGTTTCTCCGCAATTAAATCATAGTTTGAGTCTATGTCGATTTTTTTACTGCTGACTTCAATACTGTTTCAAACTTCTTTTTTTTAATTTAATTCTTTTGGCGTGTTAGTTAAAAAAATATAAAAGTTAAATTTTAACGTTACGCGCGGACACCGACAGCCAAAAAGCAACATTATGAAGTCGATTGTAAAGCGACCAACTTCACTCTATCACTAATAACAACTTTTTGACATTTACCTATAATTCGAAGTTATTTAACGAATCTGTTATCAATTGCATTTAATCTTTTTTACAAACAAAGAGTAATGGCACAGGGGATAACATTTTTAGTTAATTTTCTTTTGTTACGTTACACACTTTCATTTTGCCTTTTTTTAATTTATTTTAAATACCAGTCTTGGCACTTGAAATGAAACTTACAATGTGTAGATAGGTTTTCGATAAACGCGCGGTGATGTTGTCGACCGCTTAGATTAGTGGCAAGTGCGTCTGGGCGCACCGGATCGCGAGGCTACCACTCCCGGGGAAAAATTCTTTCGACAATCGTACCTATGCATTTCAAGTCTGTGAAGAACTGGTGAAACGGACCGATTGCCCTCTGCGGAGTCGCGCGCGTCGGTCGTTTCTGACCGTTCCCAACTCGGTAGGATCATAGAGCGCAACGGCGGCAAGGCACCGCTGACCTACCACCAGTTCCAAGCGCTGGTGGCGGGGATGCCGCCGCCGCCGCCCGCCGAGCCGCCCATCAGCGCGCAGACCCTCAACGGCGCGTTCACGCCGCTCGGCGAAGACCACGAGGAGCGCTTCGGCGTCCCCACGCTCGAAGAGCTCGGTACGCACGAATCTTTTATGGGACAATCTATATATACGAGGGCTGTTTGATAAGTCGTTTTAAAAACTAAAAAATATATTTCTTTTTTAAACAATTTACATTTGTTTCTCAACATAGTCTCCTTTGAGGGGACAAACACTTGTTCCAGCTAGTTTCAAATTTTTTATCCTCTCCAAAAAAACACCTGCGACGCAGTAATTTGTCAAAAATGTTTGCCCTCTATCCAAGCTATCTTTTCAGATTTGGGAATAGTTAATAATCGCACGTCGAGCTAGGTACGGCGAATATGGAGCGTGTGGAACCAGTCGAAGCCCAACTCGTGGATTTTGGCCATTGCAATAGCTGACGTGTGGATTGGGGCACTGTCTTGATGAAAGAGAACTTCCTTGGGGGAGCAATTTTGGTCGTTTTTCCAACAATTCAGCATTAAAAATCTCCACTAACTCTTTGTAATACCAGCCAGTGATAGTCTTTCCCTTTTCCAAGTTATCAATCATAATGATTCCTTCACCATCCCAGAAGACTATCGCCATCACCTTCCCAGCTGACAAAACAGTCTTGGCCTTTTTTGCCGCCATCCATTGTTTTGATTGAGGTGTATAATTATGGAACCAAATTTCGTCCTCAGTGACAAATTCACTCAAAAAATTCCGAGGATTACGCTTCATCATATCCAAACACAGTTTTGAAATTCGCTTTCGTTCGTGTTTTTTTTTTCGATTGCCACCAAACGTGGCACCCATCCTACAGACAGCTTTGTCATAGCCAAATCTTCATGCAGGATTTTATGTAATCGCTCAGTGGAGATGCCTGTGGTCTCAGCTAGTTCATTTTGTACTTCTGTTTTAAAACGTTTTGCAATAATTGATTTTTATACTGAAGACGGACCCGCCCATTCAACTGTCTTCGCTGTTGCAAGAATTGACAGGTCTGTCTGGGGAAGTACCACGACCTCACCCTACTGTTATTGCACATGTTAATGGTTGGCGATTATGACTTAACATCAGGTGGACCGCCAGCACGCTTGCTGGCATAAAATACAACCGGACAAGAGAACCTCCTCAGTTGAAAAGTACAAATCTTTGTGATTAGGTCTTCCATGGTGTTATTTATTTCGATCCATTTCTGGAAAGTATAGTTAAATTACAAACTAACAGAATTCCTAATTTACTTTGATTAATAAAAAAATATTTAATAAAAATTACATCCTGAATTTGGAACTTCAAAAATTAGTTTTTGGTTTCTCGGTCTGTTAGCCTCTTAGTTTAGGAGTTATCAAAATTAGTACCTACTACTGTTACTGTTGCATAAAAGTGAAGATAACAGGGCTGAATCGGAATTGTTTATAGTTTTGTCTCTCATTCACCGAATATTTCATAGGGCGACTGTATTCAATCAAAACATAAGCCTATTTCCTTCTTAAAGGGCGATATGTTGATTTTTAAGGTGTCAAGCGAGCTGGCGATTCATCTATGATATCCGCCACCCATGGACATACATATTCAGCGCCAGTAGGGTTGCAGTTACCCTTCTACCACACTCGCCAAACGAAAGGCAGAAGTGTAACGCTTCCACTTCACGCCGGTCTTCTATGAGGTCGTGTTAATACGGACCTGCAAATTCGCGTAACAGCGGTGAATGTCGCGTGGCCCTACCACAGTAAAAAAGTATTAGGAACTTTTCTCTATTGCGCATAGACGATTATTAGGAACTTTTTCCTATTGCGCATCGATTTCAGGGTTCGACACGGAGGATCTAAAGTCGCCGGTGTGGATCGGCGGCGAGAGCGAGGCGCTGATGCGATTGGAAAGGCACCTGGAGAGGAAAGCCTGGGTGGCGTCTTTCGGGAGGCCGAAAATGACACCGCAATCCCTGTTGGCTAGCCCCACGGGGCTGTCTCCGTACTTAAGGTACAATACAATAATGTAACTCTTCTCGCTACGCACTTGTCCAGCCTAGGCGGGCCGGTGAAAAGTGGAATCATCGTTTAATAATGAAATTGGCCGGGTCTGACGGCAACCTTCATTGGGAATAAACATCCAGATCAGGAACTAATCATCTCGACTATGGGTCGACCTCTGGTGACGAAGCCAATGGCTTAGGAACTACAGTCGTGGTCACAGAGATTTCAGACAGGGAATGCACTAAAAAAACAATTATATACTTGGTTAAGTGGCTTAACAACTACTTTTGAATTAATAAAATGAGAGGCAGAATGTGATTAGAGAATTTTAAGGTTCTTTTCTTTGCGAAAATTAAAATCTAAAATACAGTTTTATGTTGAATCATTACATATTATTAATTGATTTCTTTAATAATAAACCCTAAATTAGTTATTGTTCATAAATCAAAACCAAGAAGCGTACCTACATACATAAAAATTAACCCTTAACATTACACTAATAGCGCCATCGTCGCGAGTTTCACAATTTTAACTATGAACTATCATTAAGACATTAAAGTAAGAAAAAAAATTAGGTTTGTCTTTTTTAAATTAATTAACTAAATAATGATAATTAAATTAAACCGTACAATCACTTGCGCCAATAAAAACACCCGAAACGAAATGGCAATGAATACACTGACATTTCATTTAGTCAACAATTAGGAGATACTTTGACGAGTTCTTAAAATGGAATGGCTGCACCACAGATACGCGTTTACAAGCTTGCCTCCAAACGCGCAATAATTTACAAACAAAAATATTTCTTAGTGTTTTCATCGCGATTCATGGTAAAAGAAACAAGGCTCGGATTATATACAGGAAATATATTAAACATGATAAATATTTAAAATCACTCATAATTAAATATTTACGTTCATTTAAATTTATCTCAAAATGTGCGTGATTAATGGGCAACTCATTTATTTTACGTGCGATCATTCATAACTAACAACGCACACAAGTTCGTTTCAAAAGTATACGATGCATTTATGAATGACTACCGCATTGTCAACAAGTTCTGTTTTTTAGGGAATGGAAAGGAATTTTTTTTTAAAGTTTGGTTTTATTTCAATAAACGATTAAACTACTCAGACTCGCTGAACCTCCTGTGTGGATTTGGGCACCTTTAGAAAAGTCACCTGTATATATGATATACTAGCTGATCCGGCAAACGTTGTTTTGTGGAATTTCGTAAAATCCGTTCTTAGCTGAATTCTACTCGGCGAAAGGAATATTCCTACCAAATTTCAAGTCCCTACGCCTTATGGTTCCAGAGATATCGTGATGAGTCAATTATCGGTGGAAATCTCTCATATATACATGAATATATACAGCGTGTCGTTACCATCGCGACAATAAATGAACACACGTCTAACGCTACTTGCCAATAATCATAAAAAAATATTAACGTTAAACAAAATCCATAATTAAAAAAAATATTTTTCAAACAAACTAATTAAGTAAAAAAAACAAAATTTGTAACACCTAAACTACAACTGACTGATTCATACATTCAGAGACTTTTTCATTCGTTGCCACAGCCTGTTTGTTACTGTTGCAACAGTATGTTTTGTCTCTTTTGAATTCATTCAACCCATTCATATGCTTTTTGATCTTTACAAATGAACTTTACGTTACAGTTTTATACGTAAGGGTGTTCTAAAATTCTTTGTTTTGGAAAATTTAATAACTCTGTAAATATTGATGTTTAAAGAATGTAAATGTTTAATACAATTTTAAAAAGTTATCCTCTATGTGTTCATTTATTGTCGCAATTGTAAAGACACGCTGTATAATCCTGCTTATATGATAACCAAATATATACATGGATGACGCACAGCTCAATAAATACGGAAAGCCACGAGTTATAGTCGTTGTTTTTATATTAGTTTTATTTCATCACCGTATTATTCGATCTGATACAAGGTAACATTTCTCGAGGGGCCGGTGCGCCCCTAGAGACCATTCTTCGATGCCCGCACCTGCACCTACCCAACTGCCTGGGCAGTGTAGACCTCTCGTGCAAGCTTACTTAATACTCGAACTGAGGTTCAAGAAATTGATTCCCAAAAAGACAATACAACTAACCTAAGCCGGGGTTCGCGGAAGATTGCGTTTTCGTGATTCCCTGTCCCTGGCAAAAGGCTACAGCGCAGGTGCAATGTGGGTTTTTTAGTGGGTACCCCCATGTTCGCAGGGACTCCCACATACCCTCGCTGTTTACCCACAAAGCGGCGGGGGATCCATAAAGGATTATTCCCACGTAAAAAAAATGTGAACCGTTTGCTTGGCAACTTTTCACATAAAAAAAGTATTTTTTTAAAGGACTATAGGTAGTTTATTGTATAGCTATGCTCCTTCAAAGGCAATACTTTTTCTTGCGTAACTCCACCTAAGTGGTGTTTTTACTCTTTTAAGGTTCGGTTGCTTATCACCACGACTGTTCTACTATCAACTGACGGCGCTTTACAAGAGAGTGAAGGGAGTTCAGCCACCACTGTCGCTGCACGGCCAAATACTGTGGCGTGAGTTCTTCTACTGCGCTGCCACGCGCAATCCCAACTTCGACCGAATGGTGGGCAATCCCATATGCGTGCAGATACCATGGGTGAAGAACCAGGACGCACTCTCGAAATGGGCCAATGTAAGCGACTGTCTTTATGTATACTTTTTTACCATTTGATTGGCATATGGGTGTTTATGTATTTATAATATGGATTTATTTAAAAAGAAAAGTATGTTTATTAGTTAACTAATATAAATTACAATGACTAGACAATGTTGAGTAAAAATATGCCTGGAAATATTTATTTATGTAACATTTTATATATGTAATATAATATATATATGTGATTTTAATGAGTCAGTTTATTGCTCATATTTGTTTTGATGACGGACGTCAATTTAAAGCCATCATTGTGGCTGCAGTTTTAAAACTTAAAGGCTATGCCATTCACACTACTAAAAAGGTATAAATGTATACATGTATTTAACTTTGAGTTTTTTTTGGTAATCTGTCGCTATCATACCCACGTCACCTGTTATCTTGTTGCCATTAAATGCTGAAAGAAATATGCAACAGAATAATTTTAAGTTTTTTTAATCAAAGAAATTTAATTTTTATGTAAAAATTTAGAAATATAGCAATATATAATTTAGCCTAAATGTGCTCTCTTGTGGATAAACTAACTTAAATACCTACTAACCCATTGAGGCAATATGAGAAATAGATTGCATTCTAACCTTCTCTAAAATTTCTTGTTACAGGGTCAAACTGGGTTCCCTTGGATAGATTCTATAATGATACAACTGAGGGAGGAAGGTTGGATTCATCACTTGGCACGGCATGCAGTTGCCTGTTTCCTAACGCGAGGCGACCTGTGGATTTCTTGGGAGGAAGGCATGAAGGCAAGAATATTTGCGATTTTATATGTATATGGAGTCGCGTTTAGTAATAGTAATCTTTTTTTAAAGCACTATTACTTTCAATAATTATTTTTTTATTGGTCTGGTTTAAGTTTCACCCCAACTAGTTCTTTATCAGTGACTAGCGACCCGCCCCGGCTTCACGCGGGTGCAATTTATTATACATATAAAGCTTCCATTTGAATTACTCTATCTAAAAAAAAAAATCCGCATCAAGATTCGTTGCGTAGTTTTTAAGATCGAAGCATACAAAAGGGACAGGCAGACGGCGGGACGCTTTGTTTTATACTATTTAGTGGCAATGCTAATTAACATATAAATGTTTAATGTGCCTAAGAATTTAAAGTTTGACTGTATTTGTTAAATATTCATTCTTTTTTTTTTAATAAATATTTTTATCTTCAATGTACATGTAACATCATAAATGTGTGAACATACTCCAACATCAAATATATGTGCAATAATATTAGATAATTAAGCAAAATTTGAATTCGTAGATGCGATTCACGAACTCAAATTCAAGACAAAAACATTCAGATACAGGAAATTTTTCTGCTACATATGTTTTGCGGTAAAGCGGTCCACGATCTTTTAAATTTAAATGCCATTTTAGAGGCAGTGATAAGTGATTTTGTTATTTGGTAAACATAACAATGAAATAATTTATTATGATGTACATAGGTATTCGACGAATTGCTCTTGGACGCCGACTGGTCAGTTAACGCAGGCACGTGGATGTGGCTGTCCTGTTCCTCGTTTTTCCAGCAGTTCTTCCACTGCTACTGCCCCGTTCGTTTCGGTCGTAAAACGGATCCGAATGGAGACTTTATTAGGTAATCTATGTGGAATGATTCAAAATAAAAGATTTCTTTTGGAAGGTCTTAATGATCTTCCCATTGTATCAATGTAGCAGTAATACATAATAGGCCCCTCTTTCTCCAACTATCCATTCGTCAATCAATATTGAATACTCGCATACGATCTCATTTGACCTAGAATTTACACATATGCTGGTATTTATATGTGTAGTATGTGTTTAATACTCTGGTGCACAATGCTCTTCATACACTGTTAGTAAATTAGAATTAGTTTGGTGTTGCAAATCGCATATAATGCATTCTATTATATCGATTAATAATTTGTAAGAAAATTAACCAAATTCAATTATTAATGATACTTGTATAAAACCGCAGCTTCTATGGCAGCTCTTCGGTCAGATTAAAAGATTTTCTCGATACAATCATACGAGATTGACTGTTAAACAGGAGATACATCCCAGTGCTGAGGAACATGCCAACGCGGTACATCCACGAGCCGTGGGTGGCGCCCGAGGCGGTGCAGCAGTCGGCGGGCTGCGTCGTTGGCCGCGACTACCCCTTGCCCATGATTGACCACACCAAGGCCTCACAGGTCAACATCGAGCGCATCAAGCAGGTGTACGCGCAGCTCGCCAAGTACAAGCCGCAAAGTAAGATTGGCAAACGTTAAATTAAACAAATACCAGTTTTTATTAACGTTAAACAAGTCAATTTTTTTATTAACATAACATAAGTCCAGCTTCAAGTGAGAGTGTTATAATTCTGCATTCCATCTGGTGTTTGAGGTACCCAAGGCTAACTTTATTAAATGGTGGCAATGCATCTGCAACCCTTATGGTGTTACAGATTGTTAATGGGCGACAGTTATCACTTCTCATTACATATGCGAGTTTGCTTGTCATCATCTCAAATAATAAAATTGACTTCAAATATCTCACTCACTGTACATTTTCTATTTAATTTTGAGGAATGCCCTGATTTATCTTTGTATTGAGTGGTTCAATAACAAAATGCTGTAAAAACAGAGGCAAAATTAGATAAAAAAATCTTTTGTTCTGATAATGTTCATGTTTTAATTCACTGTATTTTTCAGGCTCATTGAATCCACAAGCTGTTGCCCGACCTAATATAACACAGTCATCACCAAGTCCAACATCAATAATTAAAAGTATAAATCAATCCAATTACTTATGCAGTCGGACACCTGACTCTCAGCTGACATTGACTCCATCGCAACAGCCGCCTTTCAAAACAGGAACTAATATCTCTCTTCGGCCAGGCAACTCTGAGCGGGATACAAAGCAGCAGTATACACACATTGTTATTGTAGAACAAGGGCAAAATACAAACATGTCATCAGAAACACCTCAGGGTCTACCAACACATGACAAAAAAGGTCAACCAGAAATATCAAATGACTTGAATCCAATTAAACAAAACTATGACTTAAAGAATTTAATCATAAAAAATAGTGACCCACAGAATAGCCAACAGGCATTTCATGGTCAACCCTGCAAAATTGACAAACTAGCACAACCAGTACAAATTGACAATTATGCGAGTGATAAGTCTGAGTTTCACATGCAATTATACAAAGATAATGAAACACAAGAGAGAAATACAAATACAATGTCAGATCTGTATGTACCTAATCAACCAAATCGCGAAACAATAAATGAAAGTGTAACAGAAAACAATGAGAATTTGCAAAATATGGTTATTTCAACAAATAATTTGAATTCTGATCAATCAAATAAAGAAGATCCACCAGATAATTAAAAGATTTTCCCACAGCGAATGACTTAGTCAATATTGGTTAATTTATTATTTTTTATTTGTTGTACAACTACATAAGTATATAATATAAGTATTACATTATTATCTTCTTTCTTTCCCAACCTTGATTATAGAAATTTATCTGTAGACTTATTGTTTGGATGACTATAGTGATGCAACAACCTGCATGTGCTGCTGGAGAGCTTTTGTAGCTTTTCTTGATTTTTCGGTTGGTTTCTTCGGCACTCTCTTAATATCTTTAGAGACTTCATTTTTAATATTAGTTAATATGGATATCTGAAGAATTGAAATTAGAGTATTTGATAAGTCACAGAAATTTGTGTGTTTGCTTATGTACTTTATATACTCCTATGATCAAACAATTGAACAAAAAAGATACTTCCCATCTTAGAAAATACCACACTGCTAAGATTATCTGATAGGAACAATCTGCTGTCATTTATGTGCATAAGTAATTATAATTTTAAAAACAAAATTATTTTTCTTTTCCCCACTTTTTGTTTACAAACATTATAAAGGAAATGTTAAAGGTTTATTTGACGTTGTATAGCGCGAAATAGATTTATTACAGTTAATAAGCATACTAATGAGATTCAAAATAATAAAAAAAAATTTAAAGGTCATTGAAGTTAGAATAGTACATAACACGGTTATTTCAAAAATATGATTTAAAGTGCAGCAAAACTCAATTAAGTGATTGAACTATATTTTTTTATCATAATAAAGAAAACGAAGTTGAGGCATTCGGAAATTGTTTAAAAATGTATATAACAAGTATATTTCCATAAGTACTTACGTTTTCAGGTATATGAACATATCTTATGTTACGAGACTGTACAAAAATATTCTCAAAGTAAAATTCATTTCCCTGTGAATCGCAATATACAGCATTTGAAAAGGAGATATTCATATATCTGCAGAATTAAAAAAGCATATTTAATATTTTCCCATGAATTATTTGTTTGCCACAGACAAAACTTTAACTCACATTCTGGTAACATTAACTAATTTCAGTGGCCATAACTGATAATATGTTGTTGATTCAAATGTTTTATAACATACAATTTTATTTTTTTTATTGAATTGATTGGTTCTTAGTGGCGCTTGCATAAATATCTATCCCAAGTGTAAGGAAATCGAACATTACAGGCGGGGGGACCCTGGTCCTGAGTAGTCCTGGTTAGTTGAAATGTGATTAAAGTTTTTAGTAGATAAAATATACATATGATAAGTATGGATATTTTTCTTACCCATCTACGGAAAGAGCAATACCGCATACATATGCGTCGTTACGCATATCTACAGTTATATTTTGTCCTTGGAGAGATTTAACTAGGCATAACAAAGTATTGTGATAAAAGAATTTTTCTTTTGAGGTTCCCACAAATACTTTGGAGGTACATGGTTCAGTCAAATTCATAATTGTAGCTGAAATTAATAAAAGAATATTCTCAAATACTGTGCGGAAAAAATGTGTTAACAATTTAAATTATTGCAACAAAATCAACCTATACACTCATTATTACCATAAATAATAAAGGACGGCTGTCACATCAAAAGGTGCTGTTATGATGTTGAGCATATTATGTTAAACTGATAAAAGGACCAAAGAATAATGGAAAATGGGTAAAATGAGGCTATGATAGACAGAAATATACATTAATATTATACATGGGCATTTTATCTTGAATGCAATCAAATTAGCGTGGAGAATTATGATTGGTAAATTTACATGTCTTTTTTAGCAGTTTTCAATGGATATGACAATGAACACTGTCAATTATTCTACAATCTGCATGATTTAGTATGGTGACAAAGATTTTTTTTGATACCTATAATTTTGGCAGTATCTATTGACTCCCCTAAAACAAAAGACACATTGGGTGTAAATCCAGATTAAATAGGATAATGACTAATAAGGATAAACAATTACAGTGGAATAGTATTTGAGGTAATAAAATCACACTAGCAATTGGTTGTTGAAGGTTTTTTTTGTCACATTAATGTTATTACCACAGGTGAGCCTCCTGCTTGTTTGCCCCTTTTCTCCATAAAAAAAAAAAAAAAAAATTGTTAATCAGCTGGTTAAATTCTTCAACTAGTTACTTATGCAAATAATTTACATGAACAGATTCTTTTGATGCTGTGATTCGTTCAACAAGACTAAATTGACTGACTGATTATATTATACACTTTATACAATTACAAATCAATAAATTTACCAAGAAAAGATACCTTAAAAATCAAGTAAAATTCTGATAATATTTATGATAAGACCCAAAATAACTTAAACTTAACGTTAAAGTTGACTAGAGATCAACTTTTCATTTAACTAGTTTGTTGATTCAACACCCATTGCTAAATCAGACAATGTATGAACAAAAAGGAGATTGTAAAGGTTAAGAGAATTAAGATTATAGCATGAGGAATATAGGAAGGAAGCAAATCATAGAGTAAAGACGATAACTATGGACATTTAAAAATATATTATGTTTGGTTCAAAATTCAAACTTCAACGGTGGTAGGGCCACGCAGCCTCGGCTGTTGCACGAATGGGCAGGCTCGTCCGGGTAAGTACCACGACCTCACAAAAGACCGGCGTAAAAGGAAGTTTAGTCCTTTCGCGTTTCGTCTGGTTCGAGTGAGCCGGAGCCCAATTTCCAAAAAGGTTGTCATTGCATCTGCAAACCCTCAGGTGTAGTAGATATCCATGGGCTCGTTTAGCAACATTTAATATAAAAAAAAAGAGAATTAATGATCCCTGATCCTTAATTTAGCAAAGTGGATATGCACATAATTAATGCATGCAATGCATTTTTGTTTGCTTTATTAAGAAATACCATGGTTTTGTGGGAGAACTGTGGATTGAATAAAAGCATAATGCTCCCTTTATAAGTTGAGTTGACAGACTACATATGTTTCTAAAATATACAAGAAAAACTTGAAACATGTGACAGTATCTTTAACAAAATAATTAACAGTGTGTAACAATAACCGGGGTGCGTGAGGGGAAGGGGGGTGATGTGGTGAGTCACCCCCCACTTGCCCCCCCCCCGCCAGAGATGCAGTTTTTTTATTATACAATTTTTAATTTTATTTATTTAATAGAATTTAATAAGAATGTCAAGAAATCTAATAAGAATGTAGGGTTCCCCTCCTACCTGTTGTTCTTAACCACACTTAACAACAACACAGCAAGACAAACAACAACAAGAATGGCTATTGGGAACCTTCTAACCTAATCTGTCCGAGTCGGATTGCTCTGTGTTGGCTCAGCAACTCATTTTTTTTTTTTAATTGATTGAACAAATGGTAAGACTATGAAGTCTCCCATTTCCTATATTTATCATTATGGCAGTACTGTGTATGCAGTTTTATTAAAATTAATGAAATGTGCATACTTTCTTAGTGAAAATAACAAGATTTAAATATTTTTTCTTCTCGTGAAATGCGAGCGGAGACTTCTGCTAGTTGAATAATTCTTTAGTGATTTTTCCCTATCGTTTAATATTTTTTTATTATTCGCATCTTCGAAAACACTCTGAAATTATTAAACTTGCATTCCATTTCACGTTTTGTAAGATTTTAAAATTTTAACAAATAGCTAATTCAATTTTTGACGCTTTCTCCGACAGAAAAAAATGCGTGTTTGGTACAAACCTACTTAACCCCCCAAACTTACAGTGCATTTGAATTGGGTGACTCGATTCAAAACCCAACCCCATTTAGCCGATCGTTTTACGCAGTTACACTATTGAAATAAAAAATAGTTATTGTGTAATAAATTTTTAAATCTTTTTCAAAACATCAATTGCGGTTTAACTTTGAACAAATCTTGTTCAAAGTTAAACCGCAATTCAAAGTTACCCAAAATGACTGTACTTATAATAAATTTTCAATTATATTTATATAACACTGTTTCATATAGGGGTGGGCAAAGATAATAAAATCTTGTAGAAATAATAATATAATAAAAGATAGATGGTAAAATTAATTTTATTTTTAACAATAAATTAAACATTTTTACAAGTACAGTTTAACTAATACAAAAATAATGTAATTACTATAATCCCATCCTATCATTGAATATCCCTAATAATTACTAATCGCTCATTAACTTTTGATTTTATTTCCAATTCAGCTTTAGTTAAAAACCACTTTTCTCCATCATTCTTTGCCCAAATATAATAGTAACCCTTGTCTTTTGGCCCACTTATTGGTATGCAAAATCTAGCATTTGATTGATCGCAAAAATTGTTTTCATTGTCAGTTATCTTGAATCTGCCATCTTTTATTGGCTCACCAAGATAGTAAACTGCACCAGGGTGGCTTCTTAGTTTTCGTAGTGCATCTTTATAATAATCACAATTTCGATACCTATCTATAAGTTTTCCTTGAAGGAAAAACCCAGTTGTGCTTACTAGGATGCCACCCCATCCTGCTATTTTCATTAAAGTTCCAGTAGAAACTGGCATGACATTGAAATTAATACTCACTGCGCGTTAAAACAGTTCCTTTGACGTGATTGAAGAGATGATTTCTTTTTATTAATATTGGTGATTATTGTATGATCGTATAAAAAAAATCTTTTATCTTAGTGTTAAACTGCTGATATATTTGGTCTGCCCTCTCTCTGTCTCTTGTAATAGTCCGAAAACTAAGAGTTAAATAATTATATATACTATTGCTTGGGTTTTTCAAGTTCGGTTCCAAAGAGTACTTTTATGTAACTGTTCGGTTCGAAAACTTGCTTGACAAGTTGACACTTTAAATATTTTGTGACCAGATATAAAAAAGTAGTGTACTCTTTGGTTGTGTGACTTCAGATTGCTTCAGTTATATAACTAAAAGTTATAGATATAGAGCGTGTCGTTACCACCGCGATAATAAATGAAAACAAATATATAAGATAACTTTTTAAAATTGTATCAAGCATTAACATTCTTTAAACATCAATATTTACCGAGGTATTAAATTTTACAAAACAAACAATTTTGGAAGACCCAGTTCATTTGTAAGGGTCACAAAGCATATGAATAGGTTGAATGAATTTAAAAGAGACAAAACATACTGTTAGAAGGAGAGGCTTGTAATGCGGCGCTGTGGCAATGAATGAAAAAGTCTCTGATTGTATGAATCAGTCAGATGTAGTTGTATAGGATGTTACGAATTTTGTTTCTTTTTAACTTAATTAGTTTGTTTGAAAAATATTTTTTTTAATTATGGATTTTTTTAACGTTAATATTTTTTTATGATTTTTGGCAAGTAGCGTTAGACGTGTGTTCACTTATTGTCACGGTGGTAAACACACGCTGTATACATCTTATAGGTATATATGTATAGGTATACACCAAATGTTTCGGAACAAAAATTATAGATGTCGCTAGCCCATGTTGTTGACCAAAATAATATGCGAGATGGCACTCTATTTCCGTAGTATTACTTTATTCAACTATAAGCTTATTTCTTAATCATTCACAAAGAGTAGGTACATTATTAATAGAGAATCATCAGTCTCCTCGTGAGACAGCGCCATCTCGTGATGCGGACCGAACTACAAGTTCAGATGTATATATAACATGTACTAATTTTCCATTTTGTTTTTACAGTTGAGAGCTGTATTCAACTACAGTTTTCTATATAGTGTATATATCGGCGCACGGGTATCGTAAGTAATTAAACTTAACACGAATTAATCTTCTTTCGATCCGGATAGACAGCTCTGACGTAAGTAGTCGTGGGGGTAAATCCCCCACCGTTTCACTCTGGTATAAAACAACTCCCTCGGCGGTCGACCGGGCATTAATTTTGTGACTCTAGTAGTGTTTGTGTGTAGTGTTGTTTTTTTCAGTTCTTGTTATTTGCTATTATTAATTAATTATTTTGTAGCGCAGTTGTTCTAATTAGTCAATCACAATAAAAGTAATTGTGTGTAATAATGGTGGTTTTACGTCATATGTTCCTCTACATCTTACATATATGAAATTTATTTAATTTATATTTGATGGAACATTGTATAGAAAACTGTAATTGCTTTTTGAATTTAATAATAAATTGTAATTGAAAACAAGCTTGCTAGATGTTATTTTTGGATAAAGTAAATAAAATACAGAAATATGTTTTGCGAACTTTATTTCGTTTTTTATAATATTCGCTATTTTTTTAATAATCTTTGTTATGGATGATTTCGAGTCTGGTGCCGTTTAGTAAATTATTTACGTTAAATTATTTTTGCAATCAAAATCAATAAATTTTCTCCATTCGATTGAATCCATGTTTTAAATCTGTCACTATCATTTTCAAGTGAGGAAAAGAATGCAAATTTACGTTGCAGTCTTTACCTGTAAATACAATATTAATGTTTTGCCGTAACATACTAATAATAAAATAAAATGATGAATAATGAAAGATAACCGAATAAAATAAATGAATAACACCGTCCGCAGCTGCAGTTACATCGGTAACGTTCCGGTATACCGTTTAAAATTACTTCCAGCATTTTGCTTAGTTCTTTTCTTTCAAATTTATAATTTTTGTGTCATAAAATACAATTTTCTCCAAAATAAGAACCATACATTATCTTTTTTTATAAATTTACTTTAACTTATAAAGTTAAAATGGTTTTGCATTTAAAACAACGCCATCTGTTTTAGACGGATGGAACTAAAAGGAATGAGCAAACTCCATACAAATATCAAATGTATGGACTGAAAAGACCGTGATAGGGATGGGCAAGTTAAAAATATATATCGATATGTATCGTATCGACATTTTTAAAAACTATCGAGTGAAAAATATCGATAAATCGATATATCGATACATTTCATAGCTTTTTTTTCATTACTTATATTTCCAAACCATTCAAAATTCGTGAAAAACAATAAACACGAAGAAAAAAGTAATATTTATTAATAATCGATTCAATCAAATACAATTTATTCGAACCAATATTCATCTGATATGGACATTAGGAGCAACCTCTGTTTCGTGGGCTCCCCTGTCGAACGGATTTTGAATTTTACTTCTTTTTAACGTGCTTTTTTCGTAAATTTATTAATTTCTAATCAGTCAGACGATTTGGACTCATTGAACATCGCAGCGTTAAATAAAATCATCAAACTGACATAAGTATCACGCTAAATAGTTGAAGAACTTAACTAGTTGATCAACTTCTCATGATACTGAAGTTTTGAAACTTTTTCCAACGATAAATTATAAAAGAAAATATATAAAATGTTGTACTTAGAGTTTTTAAATTTCTACATGTGCAATTTTGTAACTTTTTTGATTTGTTGAAAAAAAAGTCATATACGTCTTATACGTCTCTCATTGATGGTTCAGTAGGTATTAAGGTATTAATAATTAGTATTTTCTTGGTATTGGCTTAAAATAACATTATTTGTATATATCGATATTTTAGCCCATGCCTAGACCGTGATCATTCATTTGTCACTGTCAGTTTTTATTCCTTAGGCAATTTTTTTTATGCGTAATATTACTATTAATATTTAATATTAATATTAATACGTCTGTCTGTGACTGTCAACATATTCAAATGGGTAAGGTGTTTTAACGGGTTATGAAAACTGCTTAAAACATGTTTAAGAAGTTCAAGGATAAATTAGCAGAAGAGGTAAAATCCTCGCCACAAAGAATACAACAGTTTGCTCAAGCTGCACAGGTAAAAATTATGAATGTCATGTTATACATTTACATGTTACATTTCTTAAATGGTAGATGTGGCTAATGGGATCACTTTTAAGCCAAAAAGACACTTAAGGACTGATAAGGAAACTATTTATTTCAACTTTAATATTTTGAACTTATTTTTGATGGAACGTAATCATTACGGAATTTATATAAAATACAAGAGTTATATCAGGTAGTTAGACATGTTACTTCTTTAAGTTATATTTACGGAATCAATCAAATATGACACAGTCATATTCAGTCTGAACAAATAAAACTAACATTCCAAATTTAAAGTAATTCAAACATAATACATAAATCAAACAGGTCAGAGTTGACATCAAAAAAGTATGTCTAATCTGAGATTACCAATCAATAACATTAACATTATATTTCTCTATCATTTCAAATAGTGTGGGTGTACCAGTAACAAACCGATTAGGCAATATTTTGAAAGTAATTTTGATGTTGTGCCTTTATTATTACAACAAACATTGCAGAAAAAGAATAACATACTTCTAGTCTATCATACAACCATGTAGTATATTTGGATTTTCTTAGTAGCTGATAGATTTCTTTTAATTTAAAATTGAATGTGGAAAGTCGCAATGTGCCTAAGGTTGACCAGATTGTACCAGCTATAGACCAGACATTGTGCCAATAGTGAACCAGTGAATTAAAATTGCTTTTAATGAAGAAAATTATTATTAATTATACTAACAAGTTTGTTACTTAACAATTATCACAACTTTTCATCAATCTACAAGTTACAAGTAATACGTAAATGCTATAAGGCTCATAACTAATTTAATAATTAGATAATTATCAAAAATCATTTCAGATAATTATCAAGAGCTTTATTTTTCTCGTTCTTCCTCGTTGTTTTTTTTCTCATTCCAATATTGCATCCATTTGGTGCTATTTACAGCATCAGGTATGCAAGCTTTCTTATGCCTTTTCTTATTGCCTTTAATTGTAGATTCAGAGGGCCACACAATTTCTAAGGGAAATGCAGGGATTATTGGTTGAAGGTGTTTCATAAAAACTACCATTTGTTTATTGACTGGAAATCCTTTTTGCCATCGTCAGGATTCTTCCTTTTTGGCCCATATAGTGGAAGGCCTCATTTTTCTTTGAATATGATACTTCAGTTTTTATTTATGATGGTAGTGTATGGAATATTATATTTTCTGCATGTTTCTCTGACTTTTACGCCTTTGCTTATTTCGTCTATCGCTTTTAATATATCTTCCTCCTTATAATTGAAAACATTCTTTTCGTCCACATTGTGTCTTACTAGGTGGTCAATTACTGGTACAAACTCATAGTATTGATTTTACCAGTAATAAACCACTGGTCTACAACAGGGACATTGCAGATATTTTAAGAGTTTTTTATATAAATCGATTGCAGAGTATTAAGTAAATATAAATGTAGAAGAAAAAGTAAACAAATGATCAAAAAGCTAAATCACCAATTGTAGACCAAATGGAATATTACTGGAAAATCATTGAATTCGTGTTCCATTAGTTTACCAATGACAAAGATTGATTTAAATTACAATTTTCTGATGAAGTAAGACATAATTTTATTCCTTTACACATCATATTACGCAGTTAATTGGAAAATAAGTTACAGCCATTAATATAAACAAAGATTTAATATGTTTCAAAAAACTTACCATCGACGTGTAGCTTACTAATATGGCCGCCCGGAAAGAAGTGAAAGACTTTTGTTTCGAATTATGTGTGTTTTAGCTATGTAAATAGCGAGTTTATAGCTTTTATTTATTATTAAACGATTGATGGAAGTACGACAATGCTACCGAACGTAAAAAAAGTGGCGGGAAATTCGACAGAAGGTTAATATTTTGATGTGAAGTTAGAAATGGTGTACTACTGGTTCCTGGTGTGGCACTGGTGCACCCACCCTAATTTGTAAATGTATATTTGAGTGTTAAGTTGTAAATAATTATCAATTTACAAATATTAGTGATGCCATAGTGGCTGAAACCTTGGAGTGATCTTAAGCTTGTAGTTTTGATCGGAACCTGCAATGTAACATAGCAATGGGCTTACCGTCTACCATGTTTTGAGACAAGTGAATATACAGAAGTTACTCTGTCAATAGCATGGATTTGTAGTAATTTGATAAATATGTGAAATTGCATCAACTTAATGTGATGAACATTAGTATTAAACACTTATGAATTACTTTTTCCAGGCTGCTGTAACATCTGCCTCCAGTAGTATTTCTGACATTACTAATAATGACCTTTTTTCAATTGGAGACAATGGTATATAGTATTTTACTGCTACTTGCTAAGCTTATTTAATTAAGTAGATATATTGATATAAATTGATTTATTTTGCAGATAATCATCGTGGTCCTGTATCAGCAGTCAAACAACCAAGTACATTCCAAGAAATATCTTTAGCTCAACAACAATCATTACATTCTGCTTCTGATGGTCAAGACACATTATTACATTATGATGTAAGGGAACATAACTATTTTAATCCACTGTTAGTTAACCCTCTGCACTCAAATTTTTGTTCATAAGAACCATTAACTCCAGTCAATTTTGGTTATATTAGGGAAGCATTGTATCGCAACATTATATATGCAAGTATTTTTTTTTTTTTTATGTGAAAAGTTGCCAAACGAGCAGACGGTCCACCTGATGTTAAGTGAATACCGCCGCCCATAGACATCTGCTACACCCGAGGGTTTACAGATGCGTTGACAACCTTTTTGGAAATTGGGCTCCGGCTACCTCACTCACCAGACGAAACGCGAAAGTATTTGTCATACTTCCACTTTACGCCGGTCTTCTGTGAGGTCGTGGTACTTACCCGGACGAGCCTGCCCATTCGTGCAACAGCCGAGGCTGCTGCGTGGCTCTACCACTTATAAAGTATCAAAACATTATTAGTTCTACTTCTCATATAGTTGCAGGGAAGCATGCCTGGCAATATATGAGAACAAGGAATACGGCTCATGATGCAAAAGATTTGTAAAGCTGGAGTGATTTTTCAAGGTTTTTCTCTATTTTGATTTCATCATATTTGTCAAGCAACAAGCAAGAAACCTGCATATTTTAAAAAATGTTTTGAAGATAGTGATGCCACTGATGATTTGGTGGCTCAGTTACAGCGCTGGGGCTATGTATACCTAGCTACTTTATTTTATTTGTAAATAATCCGTGAACTCACCGTTTGGGCGCCTAACTCTAATAATATAAAACGGTATCATTTATTTATTTATTTCAAAATTTATTATTTACACCTCAAGTTAAGGCTAAACAAAAGGCAAAGTTAATGCTAATAAGCATTTTCTTCCAGTCAACTCTGGGAGTAGAGAAAGTTTGACGCAGGTGCAAAATAAAATACGCGAAATAAATGAAAGAAAAATAAATAAATATTGTTATGAACACACAAAGAAACTAGCGTCAACTAGTAAAACTACTAAAGATCAAAGACAACATAAAACCCCCCTATTCAATACTAGATTGCGTTAGAGGAACTACTGTGGAACTACAGTCTCGAAAACCGGGTACATTCGAGAACTTCCGGAATCACGATCATGTTCGCGCGCGTCGGGTACGTTCCAAGAAGGAACTTTCTGGATTAGTCTGGGACTCGTCTCGGCCCATATAAAAAGCCGCAGGGAGGCGAGCGAGACAGTTCAGTTTGAGCTACCTTCGAGGCGACTTCTGAGTGAAAACTAGTGATCAAGAACGATACCAGCGAAACCTACGACTTGGCTACAACCTAGGACATCGTGCTTAGTGTGTGGACCTAGTGCTTTGTGTTGGACCTAGTGCTAGTGAATAAAGTCTTCAAAATAGTGAGCAGGTCTTTCTCTCCAAATACTTCGAACCCTAACACGTAACAACTGTCAGAAGTGGGATTTGGAGATGCCATTGACTCCGAGAGAGGACTTCAAGGAGGGCGTCAGGACAAGGGCACGAGCTGTGGAGGCCACGCCCACTGGGGACCAAGCCACGCCCACCGACAACGCCCCCAGACTCCTCCGGCTCAGCCCCCGCCCACGGTAACTCAAGCCACGCCCATTTTGGAGCATGTCCGCCCTTTTGGTGCAAGCCCCGCCCACTGAATCCACCCCACCGGGCCACGCCCACCAGACAAGCCACGCCCACCAGCGGCACCGTAGCTTCTGCAGCCCCTGAAGTGGCTCTGCAATTAGGAAGTTTAATTGAATTAATGGAGCTGTAAAGGGTTGAAATTCAGGTAATGAAGGAATCACACGAACGCAGGCTCGACGCTTTGCAAGAGTCACAAAAACGCAAGCTCAGCACTTTGCAAGAATCACAAGATCAACAAAAACACCTCCAAGAAAAAGCGCTTTTGGGCTATAAGTGATGTTAGTAACACGGTGATTAAGCTTCGAAGAGATGTCGACGTAGTGGAAGAACGAGTTACCGTGTGAGGATTGGATGTTGAAAATGTGAAAACCGACCTAACTGAACTACAGAAGAAAGTAATGATTCTTGAAACCACGGGAGTCGCGATGCCCAGTGGAACTACGGGAGTGGCGTAAGGACTAAGAGTGAAAGTGCCGCCATACGACGGCACTACTTGTTGGCACGCTTATCGTCGGCAATTCCAGACTGTTGCTACTGCCAACGGGTGGATGAAAGAGCCTGACCGCTCTCACTGTTGCGCTTAGAGGGCAAGCTTTGTCGGTCCTGGAAGCACTGCCACGTACTGGAAATGGGTTCCAAGACCTGATGGAGGCACTTGAATCGAGATACGGGGAGCGATACCTGGAGCACGTGTTCCGTGCCCAACTGCGTGATCGAGTCCAACGCTCAGGAGGACTACAATGGGCGTTGGAAATTGGAAAAACTCGTCAGGAAGGCGGGAATAGTCTTGTGATTCAGGGGACTATTAACGGGACGGATTACAAAATGACTCTAGACACAGGACCCTCTAGAACAATAGTGAATCCAAATCTGGTAAAAGCCGCAAGGGGACACAAGAGGAGGATTAACTGCCGGCATCTTACTGCCTCCGGTCAGCCAATACCCGTCCTGGGAGAAACGTCAGTTACGATGTATGTAGGGGGGTCCTCATACTCTCATAACGTTATCGTGGCTGCAATTATGGATGTTTGCATCTTGGGTTTGGATTTCATGAAGAAACACAACTGTAGAATTAATGTCGCTGACGGAGTTTTCTAGTGTGGTGAAGAAGAAATCTTCATTCTTGGAGGCACCTGCGGGGAAAGTCGCATGTGTAAAGAAAGTCATTATACCTGGACGAGCGAGAGCTCAGGTGCTGGTGAAACTGCCGCCAGCTGGAAAAAAATGTAAAACAGATGCGCGTTGATCGAAGGCACACCTACCAAGACATCGGCGCAAAAACTGATGACGGCGAGAACCCTTGTTAGTGGAAGCAGTAACGCTGTGGTCAAGGTTTTGAATCTTGATGATCGCGAGGTCTGCTTGAACAAAGGTGACGTCATTGGAAAGTGTGAAGAAGTTGTCTGGATGAAAAAGTGTGATGGCAAACAGCAACAACTACGGATTAGTGACTGAGCTACTCGATGACTGCAAGAGTAATCTGACTTATTTGCAGGGCATGTAAGCTATGAAGTTTTTACAGCGCTACGCGAATATCTTCTCCAGTCAAGAAGGGGACCTTGGAAGAACTTCGATGGTTCAGCACAGGATGGATACCGGAAGCGAAAGACCAATTCGTCAACGAGCAAGACGGATACCAATTGCAAAGGAAAAAGAAGTTGAAGGCCTTTTCGAGGACATGAGAAGGAATAAGATTATTGGACCGTCTACAAGTCCGTGGTGCTCACCTGTTGTGTTAGTGAAGAAGAAAGATTGTAGCACGAGATTTTGTGTGGACTATAGGCGTCTCAATGATGTCACTAAGAAGGACAGTTACCCGTTACCTCGAATCGACGACACTTTGGATACCTTAAGTGGCATGAAATGGTTCTCGACCCTAGACCTGAAATCTGGATACTGGCAGGTGGAAATTCACCCAAAAGACAAGGAGAAGACAGCTTTCTCGACCGGTAATGGTTTATGGCAATTTAACGTCATGCCCTTCAGATTGTGCAACGCGCCTGCCACATTTGAGCGACTCATGGAATGTGTATTTGCAGGCTTAGTTCGAGAGACTTGCTTAGTCTACTTAGATGACATCATCATTGTCGGCCGTGACTTCGAGAACCATTTGCGAAACTTGGAGCGAGTTTTCGCCAAAATAGAGGGAGCCAAATTAAAGTTGAACCCGAAAAAGTGTCGTTTATTCAGGAGCAAGATCAACTATCTCGGCCATGTTATCTCCAATGATGGAATCCAGACAGACCCGGAGAAACTGGAAGCAGTTCAAAAATGGCCTACCCCTAAGGACAAAACCGAAGTGCGGGCATTCCTGGGCCTATCCTTATACTACAGGCGTTTTGTTAAGGAGTTCTCAGAGATAGCCAAGCCATTACATCGGCTGACAGAAGATAAACGACCATTAAGTTGGGATGGGACTTGTGAAGATTCTTTTCAGAAACTGAAGAAACATCTGTGTGAAAAAGCAATCCTGGGGTATCCACAAACTGAAGGTCGGTTTATAGTCGACACGGATGCAAACAACACGGCCATTGGAGGGGTGTTATCTTAAAAACAGGGTGAAAGAGAAGTTGTTATTGCATATTTCAGCAAATCTTTATCCAAGCCAGAGAGAAACTACTGTGTGACAAGAAGAGAACTCTTGGCTGTTGTAAAGACGCTACAACATTTCAACAAATATCTCAGCGGCAGACAGTTTTTACTGCGAACTGATCATGCAGCCTTGAAGTGGCTACTGCAATTCAAGAACCCGGAAGTTCAAGTAGCTCGATGGATTGAACAGCTCCACGAGTATGACTTCAAGACGGAACACTGCAGCGGAAAGACGCATGGGAATGCCGACGCACTCTCACGAAGGCAAACATTGTGTTAAGCAGGAATCTAATGAAGTAACATTAAAGCTAACGAGAACAAGTCCTTTGGGTCTCTGGGAGAATAATGCTATGAGGGAGGCTCAAGAAAGTGACGACGACCCTCGGCACATCATCACATGGAAGAAGCGGGGCGATGTAAAACCAAACTGGAGTGAGGTTGCGCCCACTGGCGCTGTCACTAAGGCGTACTGGGCGCAATGGGAGAGTCTGATACTTCAAAACGGAATAATCTACCGTGAAATGGGAGAAGACTAATGGCAGAGAGTTCCATCTTCAGATAATTGTCCCGAGAACGAGAGTACCAGATGTCCTCCGTGAAATACATGATAGCGTATCTGGAGTGAACTCTAGGTGTCAAGAGGACGTTAACAAAAGTGCGAGAACGATTCTATTGGTTGCATTATCGAGATGATGTACAGGATTGGTGCCGCAAATGTACTACTTGCGCTGCTGTAAAAGGACCACAGACCAGAAGCCGTGGGAACCTGCGGTTGTATAACGTCGGTGCACCGTGGGAACGAATTGCAGTTGACGTAGCTGGGCCATTTCCTGTAACGGAATCGGGTAACAAGTATTTTATGGTCGTCATGTACTACTTCACCAAATGGCCCGAAGTGTTCGCCATACCAAACCTAGAAGCTACAATAGTCGCTACTAAGTTAGTCGAAGAAGTGATATGTCGCTTTGGTGTGCCTCTAGAAATCCATTCCGATCAGGGTAGGAACTTCGAATCGCAAGTATTCCAGGAAGTTTGCAGAATTTTGGGCATGTATAAGACGAGGACCACCGCGTGCAACCCACAGTCTGATGGAATGGTTGAGAGATTAACCAGACCCTTGAGAGGCATTTGGCGAAATTGGTAGACGACAAGCAAAAGGATTGGGACAAGTATATACCACTCTTACTTTTGTCGTACCGAACCGCCGAGCATGAGAGCATAAAAGCTACCCCGGCGTATGTCAATTACGGTAGAGAACTACGAATACCAGTAGACCTATTGACAGGAGGGTCACCGGAGGCACCAGAGACCGTACAAGACTATGTCTGCCATTTAAGGGAAAAACTGCGCTATATACACGCCTTGGTTCGGGAAAATGGGTTACAGTCAAGTGAGAACATGAAAACCAGATACGACCGGAAATCGAACACGAGCGGCTTCGAGGAAGGCTACATACTACACCCATCTCGCCGGAAAGGGAAATCTCCAAAGTTGCAGACCAAGTGGGACGGTCCATACAAAGTGGTTACCCGACTAAATGATGTGACCTATAGGATTCAAAAGCAACCAAGAGGGACATTCAAAGTGGTACACATAGACCGTCTGGCGCGTTACCATGGCAGTAACAATGATGCTCGGGACGAGCATCATTGTTACTAAGAGGGGAGTACTGTTATGAACACACAAGGAAACTAGCGCCATCTAGCGTCAACTAGTAAAACCACTAAATAACAAAGATAACATAAAACTATTCAATACTAGATAGCGTTAGAGGAACTACTGTGGAACTATAGGCTCGAAATAGGGTACATTCGCGAACTTTCCGGAATCACGATCATGTTCGCGCGTGTCGGGTACGTTCCAGGAAGGAACTTTCTGGATTAGTCTGGGACTCGTCTCGGCCCATATAAAAAGCCGCAGGGAGGTGAGCGAGACAGTTCAGTTTGAGCTACCTTCGAGGCGACTTCGGAGTGAAAACTAGTGATCAAAAGCGATACCAGCGAAACCTACGACTTGGCTACAACCTAGGACATCGTCAGTGCTTAGTGTTTGGACCTAGTGCTTTGTGTTGAACCTAGTGCTAGTGAATAAAGTCTTCAAAAGAGTGAGCAGGTCTTTCTCTCCAAATCCTTCGAACCCTAACACGTAACAATATAATCCATGTTAACAAAATATAAAACAACTATAGGCCGAGGTTTGAGCTTGTTTCTACCTGTGTTTGTACCATCGTTGAATCGAAAAATCTTTGGATGTACTGTTAGTGTTCCTAATGCATTTGACGTAACCAAGGCGACCGAAACAATTACGGTTCCTGTACATGGAAAGTTTGATAGGGGGCTCTACTGAAAAACCTGACGGTTTTAAATATAGCCGTCGTTAAATATAGACTTATCTTCCGGGGTAAGGGCTAATTTGGCCATTATGTGCATTGTAAAATACAATTTCAGATGATGGGGTTGAACGACGCTATTTATTTATTTTTTAGTTATTTATGCGCACACATACTTGAAGGTATTGAAATTTATCCTTAAGATAAGGATAAATTTCAATACCTCACTCAATCTACTAAAAATACGGAGAAGCTCCATCGTTTAAAATTGAAAAAAGAGTAAGCAAAATTCTATACCTACGTCTTTGTTGAATAGTAAGCCACTTAAGACGTGTGCGATAATGACTGATATGATCATATTTACGAAGATTGAAAATAAATCTGATACAGATGTTGTAAAGGCGCTCTAGCTTGTTAAGAAGTACTTTGTTTTAAGTCTGGGTAATACACATCTGCTAATCAATGATAGGTAATATAAGCGTCTGAACAAGCATTCGCTTGGTCTTAAAGGGAAGAAAATTCTTCAGAAGGTAAAGGGTTCGAAAGGTTGCATAGATTTTACGGCTGGCTTCTGTGACATGTACTCCCCAGCTCTTCGTACTTTCCATATAGAGACCTAGTTTTTTACAGATTGTGAGAGTACAATTATTTTATTGTTATATTAGACAGCAGGCAGGCTTGCATAGTTCATTTTAGACAACAATCTAGAGCTGCCAGCTAGCATGGCTTGACACTCCATAAGATTAACTGACATTCCAAATCGTTACGACCAATCGTTAATAGCATTTAAGTTAGAATTTATTTTGGCAATTGCGTTATGGAGCCCCTCAACATCGGCTTGTACGTAAATTTGCAAATCTTCGGCGTATAGATGGTACGAGCAATAAATACAGGAAGTTATGGAGTTTATGAAAACAGAGAAAATTAAGGGAGAAACTATACCGCCTTGCGGAACGCCAGATTTGAGACCAGCCCATTGAGAAGACTCTTGCCCTATATGGACCGATTGCTGGCGCCCACGAAGATACGGAGAAAACCTATCCAAAACTGTGGGCGCATAAATTAAGTGGGAAAGAATGGCGAGGAGGATATCGTGATCAACTGTGTTAAAAGCGTAAAGGTCAAAAATGAATTTATTCTTTCTCAAAATATTCTCCTTTTGCATAAAAGCACTTTTTCATACTGTTACGTGTTAGTACGTAATACGATTAAACCAATTTTGAAAATATTTGTGCCACTCCTCCGTGGTGACCTCATAAACGTGCTTGAAAATCGTTGACCGCGTAATCGAATCTTAATTTTATGGAACAGAAAAAAGTCACCAAGTGCCAGGTCTGGAATGTATGCAGATATGTTGGTTGGTTTCGGCTCATCTTGAAAGATACGCTTATACGCTCGATTTCTGCTTTTTTTTGGGATCGTAGCAATAAATCTATGATTCGTCACCTTTTACTACGTCCCACATCAAATTCGTTAAATCTGGTAAGCATGGCATTGCACCAAGTGACGCGGTCCATTTTTTGAGCCTCGGTAAGAATTGTGAGGAATCCACCGCGAGCATAGCTTTCTCACTTCCAAATGTTTGACTAGGATTGTATTTGACTTATGCCAATGTCTAAGGATGCCCGTCGCTCATGGTAGGTCACATGTCTGTCTGTTTCGATCATTTGGCGCAAAGCGTCGATATTTTTGTTGTTCACAGCGGTGGACGGGCGACCATCGCGAGATTCGTTACTGAGATTGACACGCCCGCGCTTGAATTCTCCAAACCAGTTATAAATTCTCGTGCTGGTGCTTCATCGCCAAAAGTAGATTGAAGCCGAGCGGGGCTCCGCTGAACTGTCAAGTTACACTTAAAAAATCGTTTAAAATCATACTATGAAAAATTTTCCCGAGATGGCGCTACAATATAAAAAAAATTGACAGTCAGATGAAACAAACTGCATTCTACAGTTAAAGAGTTCCATTTTGTAATTACTTTTTAAATATTGATTAAGTAAATGGCCAGTCCGATCTATGTTCCCAGACAGACCTATGTATAAACTACAGATTTTTCAGAAAATAATTCAATGATTGCCCTAATTTAGAAATAAATAATTAGTTTCTTTAATATTTTATTATATAACGGAGAACCAAGATCTGATTGTTTCTCCAAAATAAAAAAAATTCTGAACAATATTACTTATTAAATATTGATTCAGTGATCGCCGCGGTGATCGAAGCATGGCTGATGGAATGCATATTTTAATGACTGGAAAGGATCTATTATAATGTCTAATAACACTATGGGGACAAGGATGTATGGAAATGACTCTTGCTCTGCACTTGCAAGTCGTCTGGCTGCTGCTGATTTTATACCTAAATAATTTTGTATACTTTTATCATTAAAAAAAATAAATGATAACGCCGCAGTTTTTTTGCTGGTTCTTGTCTGGACAGATAATACTGTAGTGAACCGGTGGTAGTTTTTTTTGGCGTTCAAAAAGCCTATATTGATGAAAGAAATTGACTTTGAATCACTGTTAGTGGAACTATGTTTATTTTAGAATAAAAGGTCATCTGTCACGTTTTAGGACTTGCTAAGCCTTTTTAAATGTATTGTGTCAATGAAATGAATTAATGTTTTAAAGATTAAAGCCTAACTGAATACATTTCTTTTCATTCAGACACAAAAGTAAAAATTGGTATTTTATATTATTTTCTTTTTATTCCTTTGAATATTATCTTAAATTTTATTAGATAATGTTTTATTCATAATTTTATTTCATTCCACTCAGCATATTTAAAAAAAAACATTTGTTTCTTTAAAGGAAACGCCGAGACAAAGAAGATTATCTAATAGTTCTTTTTCAAGTGATACATCTTTTAGATTACCTACATATGAGAGCCCATCTATGTATCACATTCAGGTAAGTTGATTAGAATTAACTATAAATTATGTTTACATTCAATGGTTTGAACTAAAAATAAATTTAAAAAATGTGTGTGTACTTACGTACACCCGTAAGAAGAAGAAACGGAAGTTACCTTGGGCGTCTTTTGCATAAAAAGAGAAAACGACGGCGAATTTTTTTCACAAATTCCTTGTTTGTAAAAAAAAATTAAATGAATATGATTAGGTATTAAATAACTTGCAATTATAGGTAAATGGCAAAAAAATTCTTATTGATTGCCGTAGTAAAGGCTCATTTACACGATGCCATTTTCTTGTATGTAGATACAAGAGCAATAATTGAATGCAATAAATTAAGCGCAATAATTGACCTAAAAGTTTTCGTGAAAATCTAAATATGCCTAATATCTTTTTATCGTGTTGACTCAGGACCTTGATTTTACCTGTATATTCTATTATGATAGACACCCAATAGGGACTAAAGACCTCCGTATATGGTATAAATTTCAACTGCTAGGTCCATCCGTTTCAGTGAAAATCGGTCACCACCGAGACAGACTTTTTTACCTTTTAAGGTACGAAACCCAAAAAAATGAGAATAATAATTGTTCCAATTTGGTTCTGCTGATATAATAAAGTTCATTGAGATTTATCTATTTTTCAATCCAACTTTTTTAGGGTTCCGTATCCAAAAGGTAAAACGGAACCCTATTACTAAGACTCCGCTGTCCGTCTGTCACCAGGCTATTACAACAAATATAAAAAAAATATTTACCCTAGGGCTCATAATGGTACGGAACCCTTCGTGTGCGAGTCCCACTCGCACTAGGCCGGTTTTTTTTACCTTTTCTCAATATTTCTTTTGTCGGAAGAGCAGCAACGATTAACACACCCTCACTCATCGCACTCATGTTTGCAAAGGAAGAGAAAATTCAAATGAATTGAGAATTGCTTAAGAAATTATTTTATGTGCCAGTGGCGTACCTGGGTGGACAAGGGCCCCGGTGCAAAGAGAGTAAAGCGGGCCCCCACTCCCTCTTTCTACGAATTTTAAACTTATATTGACCGTTTGGCCCTCAAACTTATAGATAGGCCTAATAATAATAATGATTTATTAAATACCAAAACTGAAATAGATAGATATAACAATAAAACAGTGACTTGAACTTATTCCTGCTATAATAATCCTTTACGTCGTCGTATGAGGGGTAGAATCACTGTGCTTAAAGAAAATGGGAAACAATATTGAATGTTTATTATACAGATGTGACTTTAATTTGTAGAGAAAAGAAATCCATCCAAAGCCGTGGGTTTGATTCCCAGAGATTTCGGAGAGAAACTTTTCTCCCTATTTTCTACAAATTTTAATGTTTTATTTAATTTTATATTTAAATCTCACATTCGAATTTCGTATTAAAACGATATTTGAAATTGTTTGTATGTAAAGGATGTTATCCGAGATGCTTGGTGCATTTGGAACATTGTTATTATCTTATTAACTCTTAGCAAGAGTGGTTATGATGTCGAATAATATTCGAAGAAATGTCTCCAAAATTATGCTTCTTTGCGAATTTCATCTTCAAGTTCCTTGTCAGTGATCGAATTTTTTGCCACGTTTCATATACATGACATCCCTCCGTGTGTGCTTTTGAGGAACTATGTTGCTTAACTCTATCTGATAAATGCCTACAGTCCATAATACCTGAGCACTATATACATAAATGTAAGCTTTCACATACACGGTAGATATATACTGTCCCGAACATTTATTTAACAGTTTGCGACAAACAATTCCACAAAACATTATGTCCGTATAACTTCAACGGTTGCAACACCCGCAATAGCTCATTGTCCGGGCGCTCGCTTTTAATTCAATATACTCGAGCAACCTGAGTAGCATCCCTGGTGCCAGCACACATAAAATTGCTTATTTAAAGTGCTGACCTATCTCGTGCTCATAATTAGCAATATCGAAATAATAACAAAAAAAAAGTTCATCGATATCGAAGACATGTGAAGTCCGCTCATCCAGTGGGGTCGCGTGGACTATGCCCTTATACCCTCTATGCAGAGGAGGCCTTTCGCTGTGGAACATAAGCAGGACTTTTTGCAAAAAAAAAATCCGATTTACTTAATACATAACGTAATATTATGGCCAAATCACACAAAATCTATAAATTGTTAGCCTATGTGTTATACCTTCTGTTTCGTGGCTGTTTGTTAGCGGCCGCCCGATTACCGACCGAGCTATTATAACATTTTTTATTTCGGTGCATAAATGTTTCGATTTACCGTCATATTCGAATGATATTTTTCATTCCCTAAAAAAAAAAAACAAAATAACAAATCGACAAAAAATAAAAGATAAAGAAAGCAATGATCTGGAATTGAAAAAAACATTTTCTAAAAAAAACCTAGCTAGATCGACGGCCTTCTTTTCGTGGCTGTTTGTTAGCCCCCGATCGAGCTATTATAACATTTTTTATTTCGGTGAAATTTACCGTCATATTCGAATGAAATTCCCTGAAAACTGGGATAAAACGCTTTTCTAAAAATGAAACCTAGCTAGATCGATTTTTCGCCCCCGAATCTACGCACATACTAGATTTCATGAAAATCGCTGGAGCTGTTTCCAATATATATATATATATATATATATATATATATATATATATACAAAAATTGCTCGTTTAAAGGATAAGAAGATATAATTCTTATATATAGTCTCAAAGAATTCGATACATTGCAATGTCAATACATCCATAGATGAAATCACATGCAAGGTAAAAGCAAATGAAAATTTAACTAAAAAGTTGATGGGTGTAATTGATCTCACGACCATCAGTAATACAAACGCGCTGAATAAAATAAAGATAAAAACATGCTTATCAAAGACGCTTTGTGCATGTGTTGAAAGCCTTAAATTATGAGTTCTGTAATTGTTTATGTTCATTTAACATTATAAAAAAAAATTTGCGAGCATCGTCGAGATTCGCTAGATTTGGGAGCTGGCTGATCCTTTGTGTTCAAAGCTTAGGGGGCCCCCTGAGCTTCGGGGCCTTGGTGCACTGCACCACCTGCACCTACGATAGCTACGCCACTGGTATGTGCTCCTTACACCAAAAATTTTGAAACAAAACTTTTTCGATAGTCAAGAATATTATATGGTGTTTAGACCATGCAATTCATTTACTGCTACAAATTAATTATACAAAACAGGCAAGAAACTTGCATCATGTAAATGGGGCTTAACTCTAGCAACTTGCTGTCGCTATAAACTATCGCGCATCGTCAAAATTCACGTATAATTTTTCCCAAACACGCCAAAAAAGAAAACTTCGTGATCAAAAATTGTGATCCTTTCAGATAAAATTTCTAAATAGTGAACGAGACAAGAGTAATAAGTGATTACCAATTAGAATGTGTTTTAATCTCACGTGCAATGATATTTATATTACGGATAAGTGAAGTAAGCAAGTAAGATAAGTTTTAACGTGACCGAAATGAAGCCATCAAAACGTCCTAATTGTTCGTGGCAAACAAAAATAGAGGCAGCAAATTATTATATATTGTAAGCTTTTATTAACTTTCGACCGGCTATTTTTCATGCGTATAACATATCTATAGTATAAAATATCATTGCTATGTTATATTGTAACTATGAAAATGCAGACGAGTTCAGAATTGAAAAAAAAAAACCAGATTAAACAATAGCTTGTGTACTTTTCCATTTTCAATGAAGTCTGACATGGATGTATCTGCAAGCGAGGCAGAAGAAAAAGGTTTTGGCCCCGGTGGAGTGAATTTAGATAGAGTTACCAAAGAAGAGTTGTATTTTGCATATAGGCGTACTCGGGATCGCTGGACTAAGTATAAAAATCAGTATGCAGATTTGGCGCGACACTACAAACTTCTGGAGAGAGAAAATGCTAAAGCAAGGGTATTTACTTGATTTAAATATATATTTGCACATGTAATTAAAGCTAATTGTGTGGCCTTCGGATCTATAATTTTTTTAATTATCAGAAATAAATAATACAAAATAATATTTATATTGTTTACTTTGCAGAATGTATTAGTTGAAACTCAAGATAAGGCTTTACGAAGGATATCAGAGTTAAAAGAACAATGTTCATTAGAGCAAAGTGCCAAGGTAAATACAAACGTAGGTACTATTTAATTGGAATATTTTCAGTGGCAAAAATTTTTAAAGAGGATAAATGGAAATCATGATAATATAATAGTATTCCTTACTTTCCTAATAAATTGACTTGAAATTAACCAAATAAATAGCCGTTCCGTATTTTGTAACATATTTAACAGTTAACAAATAATAAATGTTGGGCTTATATATATAGGTATGATAGAATAAATAGCAAATATTCATAGAATTTCTTATAATTTGTTTTCAGGCACATCTTGAGAGAGCATTACGTGTTGAAATAGAAGAGAAAAATATGAAAATAGAAACGCTAAACACAAAAGTAAAATTTCTGCAAGAGAACAAGGATAATGACAGCAATACTTTTGAATCTGTGGCTACTGAAAAACTTGAAAAAGACAATTCTCAATTGATTGATTTAAGAACTGATGATAAATCAGAAAATGTAAAGCAGGAATCAGAAATAACTATTTTAAGTAATAAAATAACAAAAATGGAACAATTAATAAATAAATATAAAGAGTCTCTTAAATTAAGCAAGGAGAAAAATGTTCAGGTCAATACTGAATTACAAGTGCTGTCTACTGAGTTAGAAAATAAAAATAGGGAGAATGAATTTTTAAAATCAACCAATGCAAGTTTAATAAAGGCAGAAGAAAAAATTGAGGAATTGAATGATGTTATAGAAAAACTACAAAATTCCCAAACTATTCTCGAATTTACTAAAAATAAAGAGATTTCAGTTCTAAAATTAGACCTTGAGCAAGCTCAAGAAGAAATAACTCAGTTGAATAGTAGAATCATAGGCTTAAGCAAGAGAGAAGAAGAATATGCCATTTCATTAGCAGAAAATAAATTGAGTATACATAAAGAACTTGAGACAAAAGAAGCTGAAATAAAATCGCTTAAAGATAGTTTATCTAAATCACAAAATGAAGTTCAGGTACTATCAATTAATGTAAGTGATTATAAAAAGAATCTTTCTATATTAGAAGAGGAACAAAAGAAACTGCATGAAAGTATAAATGAGCTTACTCTGGCTAAAACAAAAGTAAAAGAACAAGAAATACATATAAATGATCTTACAAAAAAGATTCACATCATAGAAAATTCCAAGGTAAAGTTAGATGAAGAATACAAATGTTTAGAATTACAATTAAAGCAAGAAACTGCTGAAAAGTTAGCAATGCTAGATAGAAATGCATATTTGGAAAATAGAAATACACAGCTATCTGAGGATTGTTTGAAAAAATCATCACAAATTAATAATTTAGAAATTGAATTAAGGACTATTAATAAAAATACTCTTTCAACGGATAGTGAGTCGGAAAAAAAAATAGAGATTGAAGAGATAAATAAATGGAAGACTAGATATATTAACTTGGAATCGGAAATACAAGAAGAACGGGATGAATTAGTCAAATTACAGACTGAAATTGAAAAGCTCTTATGTAATCATGAATCAGCACAGGCCCAGAATACTCAATTACATATGGAAGTATTAGAACTTGAGACTAGAAACAATACCTTAAAAGAAAAAATTGAAAAAATAAAAACATTTTGTGTAACATTATTAAAGATGGTTAGAACTGTGCAGCAAAATGTTAAAAATGCAAAACAAGAAACAAAGATATTATTACAAGATATCAACAACCAGATGAAAGAGATGGTAACAGAAAGGTTTTCTTATATATCAACTATAACGTCAGAGCAAGCTAATGAAAAAAATATTGACGTAAAAAATGTGGTAGACGCATACGAAAAAACTAAAGAGGAATTGCAAATTCTAAAACAACAAAATGAAAACTTGACAATACAATTACAACAGGAAAAAGCAAAGCATGATGAAACAAATATGAAAATAAATAATAATTGTGTAGAATATAATAGCTTGCTAGAGGAATTGAAAACTATTAAAAAAGAAAAACAAGACATTTGTGAAAACATTAAATACCTAGATGACGAGAATTTAAAACTAAAAGAAAAGGTCCAGAATTATGGAGAAATTTTCAACAATATTAATGAAGACAATAAAAAATTGATGCAAAAACTTAAACTATACGAAGAGTTGAAGGCAAAAGTTGAAAAAGAAAATGAGTATTTACTTAAAATAAATAAAGAAGTGGAAGACGAAAACAATAAACTTTCTATAGAAATTAAAACTTTATTAAACAAATTAGATGTTAGCCAAGTCCATATGGATCAAATAAAAACAGAAAATGAAAAATTAATTACTGATATTAAACACTTTGAGGCATTAAATTTTGAAATGAAAAATGAACATCATAATTTTATTGAAAAAATCAAAGAGACAGAATTAAAGAACAATAAAACAGAAAGCGAGGAAAGAATTTTACGGCAAACACTTACGGAAACACAAAATGCACAAGTTTCTATTGAATCAGAAAACAAAAACTTGCAACATAACTTGAATGCATTAAAATCAGAATATTCCAAGTTAGTAATTGAGAACCAAGAATTAAATTGCAAATTAAAAGATGTTATGGAACAGAAATCTGCATTAGATGCTGAAAGTGAAACAATTCTCACAGATTTAAATAAATTTAAAGACAGTAATATTACTTTACAAAAAGAAGTCCTTATGTTAAAAAAACAAAGTGAAAATGATGGTAAAGTATTAGAAACTATGGAAAGTGAGAATATCGAACTAAAGAAGAAAATAGAAAATTTTAACACATCTATTGAATACACCCAAGATTTAGAAGCAAAAATAAAAGCTTTACAATTTGAAAATATTAATCTTAAAAGTCAAGGTGAATCAATTTCAGATAGTATTAAGCAATTAGAATTGGAAATGCTTCAAGTTCGTAATTCGCATAATGAGATAGAAAAAGAAAAGGATCACTTAAATTCTATAATAAGTAATTTAGAAAGTAATGAGCATAATTTAAATTGTTCTAGTATATGTACCAATGAACACACACCAAGTAGTGATAACAATTTCCAAGAAAATGCCTTAGAAAACTTGCAACTTAACGAAAATTCAGATAATAAATTCTTAGAACGTGATAATATGGCATTGAAGGAAGAAAACAAGCGACTTCAATCAGATATTGAAGGTCTTCAAAATTACCTGGCTAAAATTTCTAAAGAAAACAGTGATTTAAATGAAAGATTAAGGGAAGTTATATCTTCAAATGATCATTTTTCAGAACAAACTGAAATGTCAAATTATGACATACATGCTCTTAAAAACGAAATACAAAGTGGAAAAGATAAAATAGACAGTTTAACTCGAGAAAATATGTTACTTGTGGAGGAAAACTTAGAACTGAAAGATCAAATCCATATTCAGAGTAATGATGATGAGAAAAAAACTGATTTCAATAGAAAGTATAATCGTATTTTAGAAGTTAAGAATAATTTAGAAAAGAGAGTTGAAGAACTAGAAAATACAAATTGGTCAATTAATACAAACATGCAAGAAATGCAAGTTAACAATGAAAAATTAAGACTCTCTAATGATAAACTAGGCAGAAGATTGGACGAAGCTTTAGTGAGCTTAAGGCATTTACATTCTCTGCAGGAAAACACTGAATTAGAGTACTTAAGAAATATCTTGTATGAATATTTAACTGGTTCTGGAACTCATTCTCTAACTCTTGCCAAAGTGTTATCGGCTGTTGTTAAGTTTAATGATACCCAAACAGAACTTGTCTTGCAAAAGGAAAAGGAACGGCAGGGACTAGTAAGTATAAATATACGTCAAAAAACTTATTAATAAGTGAATAATGGAACATAATATTATACAACTATTTCTTACTTTTCAGTTACGACAGCTTGGCATCATAATATGAAAGATGCATCAATTATTGTTGATAACTTATACTGCCTATAATATTTCAACAAATATTGCCCTCTAGTACAGATTTATATATCTTTGAACCAGACATTATGCTATGATTATTGATAGCCCAGTATTGATATTGGGAATACTAAAATTTTATTCTTTCAAATGAATTGTTAAGGTAGTTTGCTAATGTTAATTTTTTGAATTGAATTTACTTCAAGTAATCATTGATTGTTGAAATGTTTATTATTATTTCATTCCATAACTATTTGTAGGTTTAATTTCTGTAAATTAAAAAATAAAAATATAATTTTAATAAGGTATTTATTAATAACTTAGTATTTATTTCTCATTGTTTAATATTTTAATTAACATACTTTTATAAATTTGATAATGAGAACTTAATAAAACTTGTTCATTTATTTTGGCATATATTTGTGTCCATTACCCAGATTTCTTAGTTCTATAAATAACCACACTTATGACAAACATATTAATTTCAAACGAGAATGCGGTTGTTGATAATTACATCACCTATCAACTTTAATAAAATGGTGCTTATTTTAATAAATTAAATAGAAATTTGGTAAGGGTAAAGGTAAATGGAACTTCATTTAATTTTATTTCAAAGAAATATTTTTCTAATATATTTGTTTTCTTCATGTTTTAAACGACAAGAATAAAAGATTGAAAATTAAAATAAATCCTTTTTTTATTCATTATTAAAACTTGTGGAGCTATTGGAACTTGACATACTATTAAGATCATCATCTATGTCAATATTGTCCATTTTTATTATCATATCTTCAATATGTAACATCATTTCGTCAGTTATGGTTTCTTCCTGTTTTTTTAAGTACCTGAAATGAGGGAGAGATTAATATAAAGTCATGTATTACATATCGTTAATTGTTACAATTTAGATTGCTAATAAGAAATCATGTCAAACACATTTTTGGCAAGTAGGCAATACTTTTTGCAATTGTTTGCATAATTAAACCTTTTGTTTGATATTGCAGATCTACTTATCTTTCTTAATGGGGTTTGAGATACCCCAACCCCATACACCTACTTATCTATAACATGATCTTGTAGAGAAGAAACATTTGGCCTACTGATTCTTGGTAAAAAAAAAAACTGAATAAAAATAACAACCTTTAGGAAAGGAACCTGATATTTAGCAGGCACTTGCCAAATTTTGATGTGAAGTTTAGAATGGTTAATGGGAATTTAGGGAAGGGATATAAAAAACTAATAATAATAAAAGGAAGAAATAGTACGATAATTGAATATAAGTTTTTTATTTTGGTCAATTTATCATTAAAAATTACATTGAATAAATTATCGTTTTTGTGTTAATGTGGAAAACGCTTTAGGTCTAAAACTATAAACAACAGAACAAAAGTGTCTTCAATATAAGAACCAAAAAAGTAGTAATAACTCTGCACATATATCTATCTCATAAAATTCTAAAATAACTAATAATTCAAAAGTAATTTCAAATACCTGTAAAATATGTAAACCTATTACTATTTTACATAATTTCCTAAAACCATATTCTAGTCATAACAATATTTATGTTAGTAATATGTAAAATTAGTAAACAAAATGTAAAGAAGTGCCTATGTCTCAAATGCTTGCTCTGTATATAGGATATTAGGGCATAGTTCAACACACGACCCTACTGCAGATTGGCAAACTTCACATATCTTCAAAAGATTATTTGATAATATGCAAGATTCCTCACGTTTTTCCGACATTGCTGAATCATTGAATCAAACAGTTAGGAACAAACATAATTATATATGCTCCCTCAATCTGTAATCCTGCAGTTCGCAATCTAAACTGACTATCGAGTGGGTAAACTAAGTCACCAAATGCTGGACTACTGGGCGTGTGTGGCTGCTCCGCGCCAGATTACCAAGCATCTACAATACATAAATTGTAGCTACATCTTTTTTATTTTTTCTTTAATGTGAGCCACCTTGGCAAGTGACAGTTCACTTGATGTTAAGTGTTAACCACCACCCATCAACATTTGCAACACCGTTAGTAGCTTTGCTTTAGTATCCATTCGCATGATTTTCATTATAATTTGATATAGCCATAAAAAAAAACATTGTCCTTACTTTAGGATAACATTATCCTGTGTTATAAGGACATTCTACATACATAAATTTCATGTGGACAAACAACCAGATGGGTAACAACTATCTGTGGGCCACACATATAGTTGTTCCGTGTGGGAATCGAACCAGGGAAGCCGAAGCCATTGGCAACTACGCCACAGAGTCATTGAAGTAATACCAGTAGGATTTTTGCGGAAACTTGTTTTTGAGAAATATTTTTTTTAAGTTTCATATGTTAACTGCTAGGAATTGTTTAGAACAGTAATAATTCGGCTTCCAAAATTAGCTAAAGTATCAGGCGTTGGGGGGAGGGTTAGACGCCTGGACCCCACTGCCTAATTCTACGGAAATACCACCATAAGAAAATTGCTTAAGTAAGGGTAGCTTTTTAATATACAGTGGTTAACATTAAGACTGTACTAGTACTTTACTACTACTTCACCGCAATCGTTTTTATTTTGAAATTACTACATAGTATAAAACAAAGTCGTACTGCTGTCTGTCTGTCCCTATACATATGCTTAGATCTTTAAAACAATGCAACGGCTTTTGATGTGGGTTTCTTTAATAGATAGTGATTCAAGCGGAAGGTTTATATGTATAATTCATGCATAATATAGTAGAGAAACAAAAAACATAAGATTTTAGAGGTTTCTAATGTGATGTAAAAAACAAACATTCGGCATTGCACCCGTGCAAAGCCAGAGGGGGTTGTTAGTTCAACAATATGTTCAATGATTTATCATTTATTAGAAAAACAATACAAATCCCATTACACAAGTGCAGTTTCAATATTAGATTAGAAAAAAAAAATATTTAGTTTTAAGGTATGAACAATCTTCTTCTACCTAGCATTTATCCCAGCAATTGTCAGGGTCTATTGCTAAGGTATGAACAATAATGGTCAACTAATTAGAAACAACAACAAAAAAGTATTAGTAATTATGATTGTTATTTACAAAATAGCTACTATCCACAGCCAACATCAATATTTATAATTAATATTCAGTGGCGTAACAGCACATTTCATACATTTTTCTAGGGGGAATGTTTCAACAAATGCTTCATGTATTTCGTTTTGACTGGTGTTACGTTTGTTTGAGATTTGTTTTTATATACCAGAGATTTTCTATCGGGTTTAAATTTAACAGCGAAAACTGTTGTGAGGCCATACCACTTTTATTAATATGTTAACACTAATCTTCGTTCTCTTGCCCTTCACCTAGGTGGGGTCGGCACAACATGTGAACCATGTTGTAAGGGTTTTGGCAATGTTTTTTACGACTGGCCACCTTCCTGACGTAAACCCTCCTTGGGAAACAAATACCCAGATACGAGACAATTATTTATGGGTCACACAAATACTTAACACCTTAACATATTAACACAAATATTACCTTAACACTGTCCGACGTTTCCTTTCTGATAATGATTTTAATATTATGTTAATTTTCCCTTGATTGACATTTTGTTTAACTTCAGTGTTGATTGTCTGTAAAGGAAAAAACATCTTAATGTAACTGACAAGTTCATATTGATAATTTCGATGATTTTGATAATTATTTATTCTATGAAAATACTTACTGCAATATCTTTACAGCATTTTGAACAAACTTTTTTCTCTAAAGAGCAAATATTACACAACACATGGTAAGCGAATTTAACAGTTTTTTGTTCACATCTAACGCATTTCCGTGGAGCCACAAGTGGTTTGTACTTCTTAAATTTTATTTTCCATTCAATAATTTCTTTGCAGCGCAAACATACACCCGTTACTTCCATTGAATTTAAAAATTTGATTTTCTTACTCGTATCATGCAAATCATTTTTGAAAGCAGTTTTATTCTGATGTTTCTGTGGCCTTGTTCTGTTAGTATTTCCTTTAGAACAGCTCATACTTTTACACTTTTTTGTTAATAAATAGAATAACTTTAAAGTAGATTCACGTAACTAAATAAAAAAAATATATAATTAAATAATAACCTCTCAATTTTTGTGAAGTACATAACATTTGTATTGAACTATTGAACAATTTAAACTCTTTACTCTTAAAACAATGTGCTACCCAATTTGCCAATTTGTAACACAAATTAAAATTATATTTTGTTAATGCAAATTTGTTGGCAAATTGGCATCACTAGTGTTGAATATCGATAGTCTGCTGTAGATAGACAATCGATAATCGATTGTCTATCGACAGCAGACTATATCCATAGTTAAGTAAAAGCATATCGGTAGTCTATCGATAGTATTGTCACGTGTCAATACTGTCGATACTACCGATAGTATCGACGGCTCACCGAGTGCCATTAAAAAAACTATCGGTACTATCGATAATATCGATGATTTTGTACTATCACTAGCCTTTAACTGGCTATCGATAGCACAAACCTATCAAGGCTATCGATAGTTTTTGACAAAAACAAATGGCAATTGCAATACTATCGATACCATCGATACTATTGCATAAATTACTATCGATAGTCAAATATCGATGGTTGTGCAGTACTATTTGGCACATGGCAAAGAGTTTATATGTATAGATATATATATATTATTTAGAGTTGTGCGGACGATCTGTTGTCAACGTTTTAACTTTAATCCATGTACCTAATTCAACTGGTAGAATTCGTCAACGACGTTTAGAAAATGATGTCGTTTAATAAAATCGACTTCATGAACGCAAACTTACGAACTGAATAAATTAAATAAATAATTAATTATAAATTAATAAAAACTTACATTGAAAATAACGTACCCGAAAGTTTTTTGAAAAAGATTGATTACGATACTATTGAATTACCTTTAAGAACGACATATTTAGGTTTGCATTCTTAATGTTTGTTTGACAATTTGTGAACAGTTGCATGCAAGGTCATATATTATTTTGCGAAAATATCTTACAGTTTCTCTTTATGATATCTTTAGTGAATCCATATTGCTCATCGTGAATTAAAATTAGCTTTTCAAAAACTTAGAGATGGCAACATGGAAATAGGTCTATAGTTGCCTGGATCATTTTTATCACCACTTTTGTAAACAGGTATTAATAGATTTTATAAGATCTGGAAATATTCCAGAATCTATGCAGTTGTAAAAAATAGAAGCCAAATGTGGTGCAATATATGGCATTATTGTGCTCATAAATTTTATGGACATGCCCCATAAATCCCCTGTATTTTTTAGATTAATAGAATTCAAAATTTTTATAATATCATAAGTATCTACGTGATTAAATTTAAATGTGTGTAGGCAGTAGGTAACATTATTTCTTAATACATTAATTGGCTGGCTGGCATTAACCGGCTGTTGCACGAATGGGCAGGCTCGTCCGGGTAAGTACCACGACCTCACAGAAGACCGGCGTAAAGTGGAAGTAGAATACTTTCGCGTTTCGTCTGGTGAGTGAGGTGGCCGAAGCCCAATTTACAAAACGGTTGTCAATGCATCTGGAACCCTTGGGTGTAGCAGATGTTCATGGGCGGCGGTATTCACTTAACATCAGGTGAACCGTGCTCGCTTGGCAAATTTTCACATAAAAAAAAGGCAAGCTTCTCATCGCCGCCTCTATATTAAAGCTGTAAGGTACGACTGGCTTGTAAACCCCAAAATCATGATTTTATCTATATAATAATTTCTGTCTTTACACGCCAGTCGAACTCTTTAGTGTAAATAACAAGTTTTAAATATTTTTTTTCTCGAAAACTATAATTAATCAGAGACCAACAATAAATTTTTTGTTAGGTCGAAAAACATCCGGCGCTAATGTATTTTTTTTACACCTTATCACCATATCTTGATTAAACCATTCAGCGCAATAATTATATTCTTGTGTTTCGTTATTGATATCCCAATTGACTTGGTCACAATCCATGATAAACAGTTTATTTTGCGACTGCTTCACAACTTCTACTGCTGACGGAGTAGACGTCGTAGGCTCGGACAAATTTTGTGATTGTTTATAACTAGTAGGAATTTTCGTTTTGCATAGCGTCGACAGAAGACGCACTTTGGATTGCTTTAGAAGATTCAGAATTATCACTTTTTAATTTTGAAAAAAAAAAACCTCTCAATATTGTTCGTTTTCTCCAGCTGCTCCTTCCCGGACGACTGGAAAGAGGCCACCGTCATCCCCATTCGCAAGCCGAAGAAACCAGCTAATAAGTCCTCTAGCTATCGACCTATCAGCCTCCTCAGTTGCTTGGGGAAGCTCTACGAGCGGCTTATATTAAATAGGCTCAAAGATTACGTATTATCAAACGGCCTTATGCCATTTGAACAATTCGGCTTTAGAGCTGGACACTCCTATCCTGACTGATTATAGCGCCTAACGGAACATATTCTGAAAGGCCTCAATCACCCTAAACACTTAAGCACGGGAGCTCTTTTCTTCGATGTCGCAAAAGCATTCGACAAGGTATGACACAACGGCTTGCTTTACAAGATGTTCGCACTCAACGTGCTAGATAGACACCATCCGGGTCTTCCTATCAAATCGCTTCTTTCGATATCGAGTAGAGTGAACCCTCCCTACGAACCATCCTCTCACGGCGGGCGTTCCTCAAGGCTCCTGCCTCTACCCCTCGCTTTTTACGCTCTACACGAGTGACATACCAAAGGACCCACACGTCAATCTCGCACTTTTCGCGGATGACGGATGACGGCGCTCTTTTACACAAATAAAAAATCTTAAACAGCTCATTACTCGTCTCTAAAGCGCCGCCGACCGCCTCGACGATTGGTTCCGCAAATGGAGAATAGAAGTAAATCCCGACAAGAGTGTGGCGATTCACTTCACACGAAGTACTTACCCGTCACACCTTTATAAAGGCCCTCGCCAATGCAGAAAACTAGGGCAAATATCTCTTTATAGCCAACCGCTCCCCTGGGAGAAAAAGGCCAAATATCTAGAAGTCATTCTCGACTCACGATGACGGTCACATCGCATATTAACGATATTAGAAACAGAGCCGCGTTCGTCTCCAGCCGCCTTTATCACCTAATCAATGCGTCAAGTTAAATGCCCTTAAGGTACAAATTATTATTATTATATAAGGACCGCGTAAGACCTATTATGTCCTACGCATGCATAGCCTTCGCCCACATAAATTGTACTCGCTTGTACAAGTAGCAAATAGGACAAAATAAGTTCATCCGCCGCGCAACCGGTGGTATTAACGCAACGTCGACCTGCACAGTGACTGCAGACTCCCAACGATTCGCGAACGTTTTAAAGATCTCGCCAAACGGTTCTTGGACACAGTCGAACATCATTTATTAATAACCGACTCAATCAAATACAATTTATTCGAATCAATTATTATCTGATATAGATATTAGGAGCACCCTCTGTTTAATGTGCTCCCCTGTCAAACGGCTTCTATTGTTGGGTACTGCCACATTCGCAGCTGAAGCAACTCTTTCTGAAGACACCGAAGAAGCCTGACAAATTAGATACTTAAGGCTTTTTAAGGTATTTTTTTTATAAATTTATTAATTTGTAATTGTATTAAATTGTAAAACACTAATCAGTCAGACTATTTGGACTCATTGAACGTTACAGCGTTACTTCTCATAATACTAAAGTTAGCCGTTGTTTAATAATATTTTTGAAACATTTTCCAAAGAAAATAATTATAAAATATAAAAAATTGTACTTTGAGTTTTTAAATTTCTACATTATTTGTTCTGTTGATAAAAAAAGGTCCGAAAATTGTTAATTGTTTGTTAAATTCAGGTAAAAAAATTTTTTGAAAATTATAATTTAATTCATTAAATTTAAAGATTAAATCTATCTAAAATTACATATTATCTAATAAAACTAATCCACACGGCATGGTGCCAAAAACGCTAGCTGCATTTCCAAGAGAAAATAACCAGCTCTCTTGTCACCAGCCACGGCGTTAAGCCTAGGACATGAATTTAAAAAGAAAATGATGAGTAAATGGCACAAATACATAATCTAAATATAAAGACTCTTTGCGCCATTTACTTCCTTCAGCTGCCTCCGATGCCGCCCCGGCCCTGACCGAAGTACCCCTTAGATGAGAGGCAGCCGAGAAAGTGTCTACACAAGTGGCGTCCCAAACAAGGGCTTAGTCTCTCTCCCAAGGGATCAAAGTTAAACCATCGGGTCTCTTACCATCGTCGCGAAAAATCCCACAGGTCCCTAAAATGTTCCATACATTGATGGTAACAAGAGCCCTACGGATGATGTTCATATACGTCTCACACTGATGGTTTAGTAATATTAGTAATTATTATTTTCATTTTTTGTGGTATTCGCTTAAAGGTCTTCTTACCAGGCCAAAAAATCTTTATTAAAAGAAAGTATCGTGCACACATGTAGCTTACACCAAACCAGAGTTGCGTTAAAAATTCTCGAAATTGACATGAATTCGATAGTCGAAAATAAAAATCTAATATCGATATATCGGGAGCAAAAAAGTCGACGATATATATATCGATATTTATTTAGAACAATAACATTTTTATATATATATCGATATTTTTTGCCCATGCTTATTTTCACTGTCGATTACGGTACATTTAAGAACATCACGATGCTATTCAAGGCTTTAAGGGCTTTTTGAAAAAATCGAATGAGTTGTATTTTATTTGTCAATCATAGTGGTGTTTTTTTGTTATAATAATTTTAGCCGGTTATATTATATTATTACACATCCGCCTCATCACTAGCGACGCTGACATGGCAGATGGCTTCTTGCTTGATTTGATGGTTTGAAGTTTGAAGGCATAGGCACCAACCAACATTCGAAGCGGTTATTATTTTATTATAATTATTTCCTCTTCTGTCCGTGTTCGAATTCGAACACGAACATTGATATACTAGTACCTACCATAAGGTTACTCTGGTTAGTTTTCTGTTATTTAAAGGCACCAGGTATTAGAAAGTAAGTAAGCCTTGTTATCATTTTTGTTTTATTGCGAAATAAGTTTAATTGATACGGATACATACATTTACAATTTTCGTTGATGATGTCCTCAGAATTTTGCGGTAAATGTGCGTTTTGATGATACTTGTCATGTTGTCTTTTGATGATAAGTAAAAATAATGCAATTCTTTATATCTTTTGGAAATATTTTATTTTACCTTATTGTAGAATCGATTCTGATTTCATATATTATTTTTACACAAAATTTAATATTAAAAAATATCAGCGTTTGAGGAATCTCAATCTCTCTTTGGTTTTTACAGCTAAGGCATAAGTATGAAGTCGATGTGGGGTGGAAATCCTGATTTTCAAAATGAAGCTGATGATGAAGATTGGGATGATTACAGTCAGAATCCTAACTTTGGTAATTTTAGGTAGGTTAATCTTTACATATGTAGTAGAACTTTTATACAATAAGTTTGTTTTAATTAAATATTTTATGTGGAGATCACAAAAATTTTAATATTTTAGGAATGAGAGGTATGGTAATGCTTATGGCAATTATAGGGGAGGATACGGACCCATGAATACTGCTGGACCAATGAATGGTGGTGGATTTGGTCCAATGAACAGTGGAGGCTTTAGACCCATGAACAGTGGGGGTTTTGGACCACCACGTTTTATGGGACCTCCCCCTGGTAATTTTGGTCCAGGGCCTAGGCCACTTTTTGCTCCAGAAGAACCTTTTATGATGGGAAGAGGATTTGGGCTTAGAGGACCTAACAAATTTAAAAGAACCAATGACAAAGCTTTTAGATATTTAGTTCGTGAGTATATATTAATAGTTTTCACAAATTTTGAATAAAAGTAATATAACTGGCATCAGGTAACTTTGTCCATTCTTTTAGCTAAATGATAATTCATGCAACTTATCTTTTCATTTATAATAATCTTTCATATTTACTTTTATTATATCTTCAATTACTTATTAATTTTTTGTTAATGTATTTAAATCTTTATTAGAAATAAAAGAAGAAGAACAAAAAGTAAAGCATAAAAAATTGAGGAGTGTAGGATCAAAGACTAATATATCACATTCCATTTTTTGGGAAAGTAGAAAATAAAACATATGTCTATGGATTTACAATTTACAGATGAACAAATTTTACTTGTTTATAGGTCTTGGTAACACCGTTTTTATATCCAAATCACAGATTTATGTGTGGTATATGTGATGAGAAATTTAAAAAAACAAAATTGATTTTTCATTTTTAATCAGAGGGATATGCCCTTGTATAACATCATATTTTTTTTTAGATGTATTAATATTAAATCTCACATTCCTTCAAGCTTGTTGCAAAATGTTTCTAGATGTTTGACATTCTTTAAAATCCAATCTTGACCCAGTAATAAAACTTCCCCCTGTGTCCTATAAGTATTTGGATATGGAATTGTCGGTTTTCAACCAACCAAATGCATGACCCATGAAATTTTTGAAGGATTTGTCGTGTATGTTCCAATCGTGACACAATTCATTGGTCTATGTCCAGATAAGTGTGTTTCGAGAAAGTTTTAAAAGACAATTTAGTCGTTTATAAATAGATTTCATGTAGGATGGCTTTAGATATGTATGTAAACTACTGATTGCCATACCTAAAAGGTTTTTCTGACGCTTCTCAATTGATGTGTTAATGTATATTTTACTGCTTACATTTTGTATTTTGAGTTTATGTATTGCCAATCTCTACATTCAAGATATAACAATATATTTTTTGTAGAAAAAGGGACAAAGTTTTGCGCCTATACATTTAAGTTAAGCCAGCATCATACATTTAAGTTTAGCAGTTAAGCCTGTCGGCATAACAAATGCCGACGAAAATCTCGAAGTAATTTTTCATATTTTAAGCTACTCCTGTCCTTTGATGGTCCTTTACAGCATACAAACGATTCTCGCGACGGATAAATTTTTCCACCATTCTGCTACAAAACAAAACAAAACAATTACCTAAAGTTTTGCCTTATGTAATGAATTTAGCACTGTAAAAATTTAATATAAAAATTTATGATATAAAATATCAGTCGCCTAAATGAGACAAGTAAGAAAGTTTTTGTGTGAAAAAATATGAAAATAAAATTATTTAGTTATTTTTCTTTAATGTATATTGTTAAAATTTGTAGAAAAAAGAAACGAAAAGTTTTTCACTATTGTGGGAATTGAACCCACGCCTTCGTGATTCGTGCCCTGACGCTCTAGCCACTAAGCTAAAAGGTTGATAGCCACACTGACAAAATTCTCAATGTCCTTTATCTACATTGTTTTTTAGCATTTGAAGCAATGCTTGGCGCATCCACATGCGAAAATTTTCGTTTCTCTTTTCTACAAATTTTAATGCTTAATCTTAAGTGCAGTTATTAGCACTATAAAAATTTTAATTTCTAATGTATATTGTGTTGAAAATTAATCTATAATATCATAATCTTAAGTCAATAATAACATTAAACAACTTCCTTTGGAGTAAATACTTAAATGTTTATACATTAAATCACAAGTTTTTTTATATTTAATAGGCTGTGGAGTTCCAAAAGAGCATTTAAAAAATTTGCCTGCATCATTATTACAATTAATTGAAGAGGAATATTGTGGTCTATGTGCTCAAAGTTTCACTTCTTTCGCCGTTGGTTAGTATTTCATATAATTGCAAGAAAATTCGTTGTTGCTTTTTTTATATGTAATGTTTCTTAAACTTTATACAACAAATTTCTTGCAGCTCGCACACATTATGTTTCCAAAAATCATCTGAAGAATCAGAAAAAATGGTTATCTCAACATTCTGATGCCCGTTATCAACAAATTATAGAGGTAATTAGACAATTTGTCAATGTAATGTTTCCTTAGGAGTTTTGTTGACTTTTAGGTTCACATAAAACAGTATATATATATATATATATATATTTTACAAGAAAAACGCAAGTACAAGAGACTGTATGTTTTACTCACTTTTATTGCTGTCCACTTTACCAATGTGACTGTTGACAGTCAAATAGGAAGTGAGAATTATGTGAACACTGTCGATGAAACTGAAACTTGCATTGTAACAAATTGTCTGGCCATGCGTTATATTGAACGTGTGGTTTCTATACACTGAAATACTGCTCAACTCACAGTTTTAAAACTAATTCAAGTTTATACACTTAACCTCATAAGAAGGTAGATACTTATGTAAGACTACAGTTGTCATGTAGAATGAAAAAAATTATTGCCATCCATCTTCAATGTATGTTTTTAGAATTAATATTTAATTTCCATTATTTTTCCAGATCCCATTCAAATCGCGTGAACTGTATTGTGAACTGTGCGATATACATATTACGTCTAAATCTCATGCAGATTCGCACTATGCGGGCAAACCACACCGTGCGTAAGTATTATAGTGCATAAAAATTACTATTAACCTTATCCACAGTAGAGATGTTTTTGCTCAATACTGGTCATGTTATCTGTACAAATAAAATTGTCATAAAATGGGAGTATCATAGTTTTGCATGTCTGCAAACTCTATTAAAGGTTGGCAATGTGTCTGTAAACCAACAGGGGGCTACTTCAGGTGAACCACCTGCTCTCTTTCTATTTCTCATATAAACTCTTTCCTTATTTATATATATTTTTTCCCCACTTCTGATTAGATGGGTTTATAGAATAGAAATAGAATATGTTTGTGTGAAATATAAAAGTCTCTCTGTCTTAAAGGTGGATCAAACTACAACTGTGACGGTGCTGTGTATATCCATGAATAGAGGCAATCACTTAACATCAGGTCACAGTTACATTAAATTTATATTACTTACCCTCTTTTCTCTTAAGAATTCTTTCTGTTTCAGTATTGTAGAGGGTCGAAAAATGCCTCGGAACCCGACATTACTACAACGTAGTAATTCATCTCGATTGTAAGTAAATGCTATTTGTATACAAATGCTTTTTTGTAGTAAAACATTTATGAAATATTTACTTTTGCATGTTCTACTTTCTGTGATAGAAGTCTTTAACTTTCCTTTTTCTTGAATTAAACATGAATGTGAACCACAAGCTTTAAAAGTGTTAAAGTGTCTTTGCGATCACTATGCTCAATAATAAACCTGCTTTTTAAATTTTAGTGTTATGGTATAAACCTTTAAATTTCAGTTGACTTCTACTTGTAAGAACTGTTAACAATTAAGTCATTCAATGATTTACATATACAGCGTGTCTTTACAATCGCGACAATAAATGAACACACATAGAGGATAACCTTTTAAAATTGTATTAAACATTTACTTTCTTTAAACATCAATATTTACAGAGTTATAAAATTTTCCAAAACAAAGAATTTTAGAACACCCTTACGTATAAAACTGTAACGTAAAGTTCATTTGTAAAGGTCACAAAGCATATGAATGGGTTGAATGAATTTAAAAAAGACAAAACATACTGTTAGGAGAGGCTTGTAATGCGACGTAGTGGCAACGAATGAAAAAGTCTCTGAATATATGAATCAGTCGGTTGTAGTTGTATAGGATGTTACAAATTTTGTTTCTTTTTTACTTAATTAGTTTGTTTGAAAAATATTTTTTTTAGTTATGGATTTTTTAACGTTAATATTTTTTTATGATTATTGGCAAGTAGCGTTAGACGTGTGATCATTTATTGTCGCGATGGCAACGACACGCTGTATGATTATTATTATTTTTTATTTTGTTTTGTTATTGTGTTAGTGATTAATTTGTGACAAAATACTAGGCTTATGTTTTGCTTATTTATGATAGCCCACAGTATAGCCTAATATTAAAGCACAGTGTATAAATATAGGGGTTATTTTTCCTTTCCTTTTGTACTTGTTTTCCGAAAGTTTTAAGATTGTACTATAAAGTATTTATAATGCATTCAATTATTCTGGATTAGGAGGGAACATTTGATCTCCATTATCAATTTCTATCTCAAATTTTTAGAGAAATACTTATCCAGTTCTGGATCATACCTGCGATTAGGAAGATACTACTTATTTTTTATGTGAAAAAGTGGCAAGCGAGCTGGCGGTCCACCTGACCGTAAGTGATACCACCCATGGACGTTTGCAACACCCGTAGGGTTGTAGATGCGTAGCCACCTTTCCATAAATTAGTGGGCTCCGGCTTCCTCACTCACGGACGAAACGCAGAAGTATCTTCTACTTTACGCCCGTCCTCGCAGATGAGGTTGTGGTATTTCCCTGGAAGGACCTGCCCATTCGTGCTACAGCGCCCACTTTTGCGGGGCCCTAGCATAAGTGAAGTAACTTTGCGTCTGTCTCAGTTGGGCCATTAAGTTGTATAAAGAAAGATAAGATTTATAGAACACTGATACGATTTTAGGGAACAACTCATTCGCCGTGAGAAAAAGCACATGAAACCCTATGAACCTAAAGAGGAAAAAGATAAACCGACTAAAGATAGCAAAGTTTTTCAATCTGAGCTTTATTGCGATATTTGTAAGGTATGTTTTTCAAAATATCATTTATATATATATATATATATATATAAATCTTTTAAGGGAACAAAAAAGAATAGCCTCTACTCTCAAATTATATCATGAATCTGAGTAGATGTAATTACAGTAAAAATGTAACATGAATTAATATTAACCAAAAATACACAAACGCACACACATACTTGCACACGCTCAACATACCTCTCACTTGAACATTTGTTTTTATTTTTCGTAAGTACCGGTCCCGCTTTAACCTTTGGGTAGGGTTCCGTACCCAAAGGTTAAAGCGGGACCCTATTATTAAGTCCGCTGTCTGTTTGTCTGTCCGTCAGTCACAAGGCTGTATCTCATCAACCGTGATAGTTAGACAGTTTAAACTTTTACAGATGATGTATTACTGTTGCCGCTATATCAACAAATACTAAAAAACAGAATAAAAAACAGTTAAGTGGGGCTCCCATACAACCGACATGACTTTTTTTTTTTTTTTTTTTTTTTTTGCAGTTTTTATAGATAATGGTACGGAATCATTCGTGCGCGAGTCCGACTCGCACTTGGCCGGTTTTTGTTTATTTATTATCAAAACTTTTTCTTTATTTTTTGCTCTAAATGCATTAATATAAATATATGTATATTATATTTAAGTATATTATATTTTAATATAGTATAGTATAGTATATATGTATATTATATTTTATATGTATATTTAAGATTAACACTAAGTTCGATAAAATTGTATTTTACTACATTGCCACAACTGCCACCTAACACTGGGAATCATCAAGAAATAACCGTCAAAGTACAGTAGCATTGCCTAGTCTGTTTTGTATTTGTATTTTGTGTAGAAGGGGTTGGGAACCAGCAACCACAGCTACCTAGAATATTTAATATAGTCTTTCCTTCTAAAAGCATTGCCCCTACGTATCACATACATAAATTTCACGTGGACCAAACACCAATAGTTGTCTCGTGTAGGGAATTGAACCCAAGAGCACCGGCGCTGAATACCTTAGCTTGACTCCGGCCAGGGGGCCACTCCGGCCACTTGACCAGGGAGTCAGAAAGAAATTAAACTGCAATTAGGTTTTTCTAGAATAAAGCTATTGTTATAACAAGCAAAGTTTAATATTAGAAATATATTTTTTATTTTCAGACATGTGTGACATGCACCGATCAAATGACAATGCATTTGAATGGTAAGCGTCATTTGTCAAAAGAGAAACACCATATTCTAAAAATGATGAAGGGTGAAAATAAAGATGGTAAGTTTGCCTTATGTTAAATTTTAAATATTTGTTTAATAGACAGGATTTAACATTTTTGATTGAATTTTAGGCGATGAAAAAGTTACGAGTGAGCGTGTTGATGATGGTACGTGATTTTTTCATTTTTAAAGTTTTCAGCTCCTTGTTTTTTCATTAGTAAACCTTGATAATTTTTTACCTTATTTCCTGAACTGCAAACAGAAGAACTCGATGAAAACGAAACTGGAAAAGATGGCGAGAATGAAGGTGAAGAAGAGGGTGATGAGGGAAATGCCGATGGACAAGGGGAGGAAGAAGATGCAGGCGCTTACGATTGGGGAAACGGCAGCGGCACTTGGGACGAACCAGAAACCATTTAAATGTTTATATTATGCAATAACAAAGGAATGGTTTGAGCTGAGCGTTGTTGTCGCTAATGTAATTTGTTTTTAACTTGTTTAAGATTCGTTTTAACTATAAAATGCACATTCTTGTGAAATATTTTTGTGTTATAAACGGCATAAGTGTTTCTTAAGTAAAAGAGACTTGGAAGTTATAATATATCTATATTATTTACGACACTATTCCAATAAACTATTATATTCGCTATTTATCCATTTAAATTTTGTTTTATTTCGAAAAATTTTAAGTGATTAAAAAAGATAAATTGCAACCTTGTAGGCCCTTAATTTTCTTTAGAGATTTTTTTCCTGTTTTGTTTTAATCCTTTTCCGTCCGGTTCACAAAGCGTCGTTCCAAAGTTGCACTGTTAACCATATGCGGTTATATTAATTTGTTTCAACTTCTTTTCTGATTCTGAAAAGAAAATTTTCGTTTAAGTTTATTAAATCAAAATGGGTAAGCTAAGAAAGCTAAAACTTTAGGACTATACTCTGAACACTAATTGGCTGTCATTAAAATAGCCTGGCGGGTTGAACATCTTCATCGGAAATGTTGCGCGGGTGAAAGACACACGGTATCAGGAGTAACAAATAAATACTCTAGGTTCAACTAATAACTATTTTAAATTATTATGAAGAATAAATAAAAATTAATGTCACCAACTTCGCCCTTGGGGCTCGGTGCGTACCAGGACCCTGCTAGCCGAATTGAATTTTGGGCAGATGGGCAGTGAAAATCGCCCTGGTACGCAAACTACCTTGTTAACGCCATGTATATTATTGACGGATGGGATCCCCGGTAGGTCCGGAATACTTTTGTGTAAGTTCATCGTCCGGGTAGTTTACAACATTCGTTATTACGCGGTCGATGATTCTGAGCGGTCGTGTTGGGGTTCGGTTAGTAATTTTTATAAATTATTATTGCCACTGCTACCTAAAAGGTCTATTGTAGTCTTCTCTTCGAAACTAGATAGCCTCTTCCAAGAACGAGGATAAATAACATCAGAGGGCATCGTCATAATGCGTAATGTTTTTGGATTATAGACCCACTATTGCTAACCTTCTAATAACGTCAGAACGCCATCTTCCCCTACCCGCCCCACCAATGAAAGCAAACAAAGCATAGCTGTTTTAGCTTCGTATACGTGTATGTGGGGCGGTGCAATGTTAAACATCGCATTCACGGTTAGAGTTGTGGATGAGATAAATCCTGTGATAATCAGGCATGCTACTCTTTGCAGGCTATTAAGTGCGCAAATGTATGTGCCGGTGAGGGTCTTTTTGGACCATGACACACAACCGTACGTTACAATGCATCTTACTATGGCAGAGTGTATCCACTTGATCCAACCTAGGTTTATGGTCCAGGTATACACCAAGATAATTAACCTAATATGAAAAATCGATAGTCCTAATCGAAGGTAGGGCACCAAAGTATGTCCAAATGTCTGTTCCTTGAATCGGGATTATACCGGTTTTAGCGGCATTTACAGATAGTTTGTTATCTATGCACCACAGTTCAATTCTCTTGAGGCCATTTAGCGTTATTCTTGTAGATATAGTTTTATTATTATTATTTTTATGTGAAAAGTTGCCAAACGAGCAGACGATTCACCTGATGTTAAGTGAATACCGCCGGCCATATACACCCGAGGGTTCCAAATGCGTTGACAACCTTTTGTAAATTGGGCTCCGGCCACCTCACTCACCAGGCGAAACACGAAAGTGTTATACTTGCACTTTACGCCGGTCTTCTGTGAGGTCGTGGTATTTACCCGGACGAGCCTGCCAATTCATGCAACAGCCGAGAATGCTGCGTGGCCCTACCACCAAAAAATCTTAAATTAAAAAATTAAAAAAAAAAGCCGGTTCTTCTAAGTACAGTGGCTTTCTTTTTTGAACCGGTGGTAGTGTTTTGACAATCAATAAGCTAGTGTAATGCTCCTATGTTGAATAAAGACATTTGATTTTGATTAAGGTATTTTTCTACCAATGGTTATAACCAATTCATCGGTATAGCCCTGAGTCAAGTGCAAGTTTGCCAAATTGAGTTCCTTAATCAGGTTATCAACAACGATGGATCAGAGCAAGTGCAATAGAACTTATCATTGTGGAAAGCCTCTCGTGACTCTTAAGTCGATAGCGGAGTCAGATATTCGTCAGAACTGTGCTCGATGTCAGCACTGACTCAGCCCAGTTTAGGGTAGTCTCATCAGTGCCCCTTTATTTCATACATTAAAGTATGATCTCAGTAGAGGTAGTGTCAAAAATTCCTAGAGGGAGCTTTTGCTCCTTATCGAAAAAGGCGCAGAGGGCGCACATCAAATACCCACTCCAGTCGATCGGTAAGCTCCATAAAAGCTGCTTCGCCGATTTACTTTTTGATAAGCATGGCGTCTGACATGCAGGGGTATAATACTGAGATAGCTCTACCTGATTAATCATTTTCTCAATTGATTTCAAAACGAATACTGAGACTTAATAGTATAAAGAACTTCTCTATACCCACTTTTTGGGATGAAGGTCACTCGGAAACTAGTCTACAGCACCGGAATAAATCCCCAAGTGGCACGTATAAATCATGCATCTTTAGCAAGAATGAGATGGTGCCAGATACGTTAAAAATAGCAAAACACAGATATTTGGGTACCTGGCTGAACCAAGACTTCGATCCTGAAAAAGTAATCGCCAAGAGGACCTTCATGAAAATGAAAAAAAATTACAATAACAAAGGCATCGCACTTAAACTCATATGGAGAATGGTGAAGGGTTACATTTTGTCAGTGCTTTTGTATAAGGTTGAGGGTACAAAAAATCACGAAGTCAAGCTGGCACTGAAGATTTTGAATACAGTTTCAATGATGAAGTTTTTACTCTCTCCATCCTTCCCTTCGGTCTTGGGGTTTTACTATGGACGATGTTCTTTTCAAGTTCTCGACCGAGGGTCCGGGGTTTGCTTCTACTCTTTGCCGTGTTGCCACCATCTCTTTGATTTAAAACTTCCGATCCAGGGAAGTGAACTCTATAGAGGAGCATCTCTAGTGCAAAGTTACAGCCCTAGATGAGAAGGAGGTGATTTATACAGAATATTATGTACACTGGCGTTTTGAGGCGCGATATTAATCGTCTCACAGAACCTCCTCCAAGATTCTCTTCGTATACCTTAATTGCTTATTAAAGTTGGTAAATGCGCAGCTGTAAGCATCCCAATCGTTCGTTCTTGGCTCTATTGAAAAGATAGCAAGCCTTCTCTTTCCGCTTCAAAAGTTTATTCTTCCGTCACCTTTCTATTTGTAACCGTGGTGCAAGTTGGACAGTTCTCATCATAGGTCTGTATCAGATCTTCCGAAACTGTTCCCGCAAACTTCAGCTAATCAATGGGTTTAACGGACTTTATCGTCCCTATCTTCTGTTTAAATGTGTCCATAAAACCCACCACCCATACAGGAAATGTCTGTTTGGTGGAGTAAACATGTTACTAGAAATCACCAACAACCTGACAAAACCTGTAGCTTAATCTACATAGTTCAATTTGTAAAAAGATTTTATTTGTGATGTGTACTTTTACTTTTGTTTATCATAAAATTTCTGTGGTTGGTTCTGGACACAAATTTCTTTACAAGCAGTGAAAACTGAAACCAGTATAGAAAAAACGCAAAAGTTATATCATTTAGATAACTACTGTTGTAGTTATATTACTTACCAACGACAAGTATACTCCCTGCGCCGCCGGCGTGACAAACAGCCGTGTGTAAAACCAAACCAAAGGGCTAAAGCAAGGACTACCAAAAGCCCTATTAATAAAATTCCTTGAACTTTAGGGTCAGAGAAACTTAATGATTCACCTAATCCTGTTTTTGTCCCTTTGGAAGAACTTGATTGGCTTTTTTTCAGTGAAGATGAGCTTTTTGCCATTTTCTGAAATTATTTTATTTCGTTTAAGTAAATAGTTACACAGACAGAATTTATTTTATGATTTTGTGATATCCCATATTTTTTGTGTTTTGCTTGTTATCTAGCCATTTTGTCTTTTAATGTGTTTTCAATTTGACATTTGATAAAATGTTTTCAATTCTTCGAGATGTTAATTGACATGTATTTATATCACTCCTCTTCTTGTCTACTGTTAATAAACGCAAAGCGTGATCGCCAGAAACCTTATCAAGTAATTCAAAATCGCTCTTCGTTGTGCAACCAGCGCCTCGTAATATTTGCAGAAAGCTAAATTGCATCATGCTTTAAATAATTTAATTCTACTGTCGCTGCCAAAGCGTTGCCCCAAGGACGAGGCGGTTGGAGTTTGAACATGTCACTGTGTATTCACTTTCAGTCACAGTGCGTTTGCTGGTGAACGCAAGGTTCCCGATACTAATATACTTCTGTGTTTGCGCTTTTGAATCGCTTACAATGTGTCTGGAATTTTAAACTTTTTATTTATTTATTTATTTATTTATTTATTTATTTATTTATAATTTATGTACACAGAGTTATGGCAGAGATGTAAATAGATGAAATAATTTGTACAAAGGTCCTGCTTATTTCATAAGAAATTTCTGCCAGCAGACCTGTTACTGGAAATTGGTTACAGATGGTAGTTAATTGTGTACATACATCAATTAAAATACACGTAAATATATATAAATAAAATAAAATAAAATATATATAAATACATAAATACACATACATAAATACATACATATACATACATACATATACATACATACATATATATATACATAAATAAGTAAATAAGTATATAAATATATATTTCGCATTTATACTGCCAAGGAAAGGTAGTGATCCTTAACTCTGTTCTTAAAAATCGATATAGTTTTAGATTTCCTGATTATCGGTGGGATTGAGTTCCATAATCGAACTGCATGAACAGTAAAGGAATCGGAATATGAAGCGCTTTTATGGGGAGGGAATTTAAGGAGGGTTTTAAGATGGGAACGGCAAGGAGCGTGCGGTGGACGAGCGAAAGCAAATCGCTCACGCAGGTAAGATGGTGAAGTAGGGCAATACAGGATATTAAAGAGCAGACATAAATCCTAGTGTTCCTTCGAAATCTTATTGGGAGCCACTTGAGATCCTTGCGAAGAAAAAAGCGAATTAGAACATAGAAAAGTGGATAGTTGAGTATGGACAATGTGCTCAAGAACTTTGGGAAGAAAAGGTAAGATGGAAATGGGCCTAAAGTGAGACATTATTGTCGGACAAGTAACCTTCGGGAGTGGTATGATGTGGGCCTGCTTCCAGTCCAAGGGAAATGAACAGGTTGACAATGAGTGATTAAATATGTGGGCAAGAACGGGAAGTACTGATGACAAAATTAAAACTATCATTCTAGAGCCCATATTGTCACTGCCAACAGATGATGATGAGATTGCAAAAATGGATCTTTTCACACACTCCTCTGAAACAGGGGTGAAATTAAAAGAGGGGGAAGATGGCCTCGGCAGGCCAGACAATACACGCAGTGTTTCGGATTTGATATAAGGATCTACGATTGAGGAAGATTGAGAGAAATATTTGTTAAGATCGTTTAAATCAATATCCCCACATATGACATTAGGTGGCTTTCCGATACCATTAGACTTCAGGAATCTCCAAACATCAGATGGCCTTCGATTATTGAGAGAATCGTGGAAATAGCGTCTCTTAGCATCTCTACACATACGATTGCAGCGGTTTCGTAGCACTTTAAAATATTTTAGATTTTTCTCAGAAGGAAAACGCTTGTATTTTCTTTTAGCATTGTCACGAAGAGCCATTAATTGCTTTATGTCAGTATTGAGCCATGGTGCCGGATTTCGCTTGACTTTAACTCTTCGGATCGGTGCGTGCTTATCAAACAATTTTAATATAATCTCAGTGAAACTACGAACCTTTTCATCAACACTGTTAACGTTCAGCACTGAGGCCCAGTCTAAAGCAGCAGCATCACGTTGCAATGCTTCTAAGTACGAAGGAGGAGATATTGCGGTTTGCGCATAGGGACATGAATACGATAGGAAAGATAGATAAGATCGTGATAAGAAAAGGAAGTGGCCAGTTGGCCATGCGAGATTACGCTACTAGGCGCTGACACGATCATGAGGTCGAGAAGAGAGGGGATGCAATTCAATGCAAAACTTTCTAAGATTAATGGTTTTTGTGAATTGATTATTTGGTAAATGATTTGTTTCGTCAATAATTTATAAATCGCAAACTAATGTTTTCGTAATTTATTTCCGTAAGCGATCGTTTGACGTAGATGTATCTTGTGATCTTTAAATAGGGTTTCTAGATCTGAGGGCCATTAGATCGTGTGTGTGCGTCTTTTTGTTAGCCGAATTGACCATCTTGCGTTAACAGGGATCGCCAAGTTGCAGCGGAGATATTGTTCTTTGTCTCGAGTCGTTTTCTTGCGGACTTCTGGCATGGCAAAAATCTGTCAAAGCACCGGGCTAACAGTAAACTATTTTTACACCTTTAACTATTTAATATTATTATTAACATTAATTTATTTTATTTATTCACCGAATCACCATACTGGCAACTCAGGTTGTTGTTCTATTTGACAATGTCCTGGATTTGTAAATTATTTTAATTATAATTTGGAACGCGACATTATTAAGAAGAAGAAGAAGAACGCGACATTTGTCAGGAAAGTACGGTTTCTTGCTCTATCAATTAACCGGCGCCCTATATAGTGTCACTCAACTTATTTTACTGTATTGCTTTGTTGATTCGCTTGTTTAATTATTACTAGTATAATGAATACTGAAATAATCGCGACGCCTCCATCAGTTTCTTGGGCACAGAGCAATGCCTGTGTGTATTTGACTTTTAATGTAGAATGTGATAAACCCGAAATCAAAATAGAAGATAAATCAGTGTCATTCAAAGGTATATGCGCTCCAGAACAAAAGTTAAACCAAGTTGAAATACCCCTTTTTTCTGAAATTGATGCATCAAAAAGTACACAGGTTAACAAAGGGAGACTAATTGAAGTTATTTTAGCCAAAGCAAAAACTGATGAACCATTTTGGCCTGCATTAACAAGTGACAAAAAGAAACATCATTGGCTTAAAGTAGACTTCAACCGATGGCAAGATGAGGAAGAAAGTGGGGATGAGATTGATGACATGAATGACATGTTTTCTAATAAAATAGGTGATTTTGATGAGGAGATTGAGAAAAACGATTCCAGCTCTGGTGATGAAGAGGATCTTCCTGATATTGAATAAATATGGGATAACATACTTTCCACTAGTTAAATAGACCATTAGAATGATAAATTTATTGTACTGTGCTTTTTATACCAAGATGTTATGGTAGCTTGCATTATGAACAGTCAGTTATCCTCATATTATGAACTCGGCTTAACTACATGCACTTTTAATTTACTGAAGAAGAAATGGCTATATTTTTCATTTAATATTCTGTTTATGACAATCCACTTTTCTATAGTTTGTAATTTTTTTGAAAATGTTAAGCTATTAAATATCATTTACTTGAAAGTAATAACTGTATAACATTCACACCTGGTTTCTCAAATACTGATCATCATAGAAATTAACTAATCAGCTGTCAAAAAAAGTGCAAGTGCCAGTTGGCAGCTGATTAGTTAATTTCGTGTTTTAGAAACTGGGCGTTAGTTTTACACTATATTTAATATTTTTTAAGTACAATAAATAATAGTAATGTAACATCTTTTTAAACATCTCCGGCAATTTACTATTTGTTTTCTTTCTTTATCAAGGAGAGGTTCTTGCTGTTTTACAGTAATTTAACCTATAGATATATTGAAATAGTTTTACCTTACACCAAAAATACCTTGTTTTCAAACTAAAGAAACTAAATATACACATAAAATTAATCATGACTTTTATTTCCTTTTCCGCCGCCGTTTCTTGTTCATAAAATAGTTGAATCATGTTGATGTGAATATAAATAAGTTGATTTAATGAGGTGTCCTAAAATACTTATATTTCACAGCCTGAGTAATTTAAGTGACTGCTATTAAAATTGCTAAGTATTGCTTTGACATAGTTTTGATTATAAATTCAGTTATATGTGATTTTTTCAAAACAATTTTTTTTTCATTATTGGTGAAAATATTCATTTCACATTTTTGTTGTCGCAGAGTTTAATTTAATACACTTTATGATAAATTTTTGAAAAGTTTTTATAGAGTTCAGGAAATTTTCCTAGGTTTCCCTGTTACTAACAGATTTAATAATTAATAATGATGCACTTAAAATACCATTATTTAACAATATAACATTCATCATATTTTATTTCCACTTATAAGAAAAATAAATGCCAACTATTGGAGCAAAATTTGAAAATATATTTTGTCTGTTGGTATTTTGAATGTTTTAATTAATGGCATTGACTTGTTTCGACATTATTAAAGTAGGATAGAATAAAATAGGAGGATTTAAATAATACGAATTAATAAGGCTTAACTTTTATTTGTTCGAGGTTAACCTCTATGGCAATCACAATGATCATTTCCAATATTTGTAAATGTTTTGATGGTAAAAGTAATAAATTAAATAAAGTACTTTCTTATATCGCTATCATTAATTAATAGTTTATTCTAATTCCATGTATTTTCCATCAACGACCAGTCATATTTGAAAAATAACTTGTATTTACAACGACTAAACAATTATTTACCTACATGTTACAACGCATATACGTAAATATTATACTTGATAAATATTAAGAAAAACTACAATACCTTAATATTTAAGTTAGCGATTTAACTAACTTTTATAAAATGCATTTGTATCGAATATGACTTCGAGAGCGATGTTGTGGATATAAATTATAATTTTAAATAACTCTAGAAATCTTAGGTCAAGAGTCGGCTAATGTATAAAAATTTGTTATGTAATGTATGAGAAACGACGACTAATATAGGTTTTTATCGTTAAATTATTTTGATTGATGCTTTAATATATAAGTTTGGATAAACGCGAACAGTAATTGCATAGAACGAAATTTAAAATTAGTTTCAAAATGTTATAATTTTTTATGTTACATGTAAGTCAGATATCATTTAGTATTGAAACTTAACCACCCGTTTTTATCCGTTATTTCGCTCTGACAAATCTTATCGTTATTACATAGATTTTACATTCTCTATTACACTTTACGCTACTGGAATATAACTATAAATTGTAGTAATTCACTGTATAATATAAAACCTATCGTTGTAAAATGTAACGATTTTATTCTATCACTCCACCAGTGTCGAGGAATGTGTTTTTCGCTATTTGATAAAGCTGTGCAGACATTTTTTCGTTAGTTTCCTTCACCATCTTTGTAAAGTATCCTTCGGGGTTATTAAGTAAATGATAGGGATGATCAAATTCTACTAATCGTCCGGCATCCATTACCATAACTCGGTCAGAATCCATTATAGTATTCAGACGATGTGCTACAGTGAGCACTGTGCAGTCTGCGAATTTTTTCCTTATGGTTTTTTGAATAAATTCGTCCGTCCTGCAAAGAAAGTGCGTTTATAATATCGTCAATAAAGTAGTTTTAGAAATGTGCTTCGAACTTGGGTGTGCTCACTTGGGATCAACATTTGCAGTGGCTTCGTCAAGTACAAGAATACGATTTCCGCGTAAAATAGCGCGTGCTAAGCAAACTAACTGTCGTTGACCTAATGAGAAGTTTGACCCGCCTTCGGATACTTTAAAATCTAAAGCTGGAATCGCTGCTTTCAAATCAACCTGTAACAAAAATTATGTAAGTGCTTAGTAATATAATATTGTATGCAAAATTACTAGTTTACTCGTGAACTTTCATTGAAAATGTATTAAATCATTAAAAAAAAATATTAATTGACTTACAGCTTCAAGAGCTTTCCATAATTGTTCGTCGTCATAGTTATTGAAAGGATCTAAATTGTATCTGACTGTTGCTGAAAAAAGTACTGGCTCTTGTGGAATAATGGATATTTTTGATCGCAATTCCTGAAAACACAAAAATTATTAAACACTTCTTTCTCCTGCCCCTCCACCTAGGTGGGGTTGGCACCACGAAACAATAACAATACGACACAACACAGTACAATAAAGAAAATAAGTTTCATTTATTGCACTGTGTTATTTATTCCGTAATTGGCACAATATGTTAATCATGTTGTTAATTGTATATGACTTTATTTTACGACGGGCCGGCCTGCCTGATGTCAACCCACCTCCATAACGAACACCTGACTGGGAGCAATTATTATCCGTGGGTGATAAGAGAACCGGTCCCGTGAGGGAATCGAACCCAACGTACCGACGGTGAAGCAAATGGCTTAGTAACCATGTCACTTAGTCGTCTTGCGAGGCATGCAATTATTAAAAATATGTCATACTAACTAGCACGTACAAAGCTTGTTGCAACTTATTTCACTTACCTGTAATGACAACAAGGATGTGTCAACGTCGTCGATAAGGATTTCACCCTCTACAATCGCCAGCCGGAATAGTGATGATATGAGCGATGACTTACCAGCTCCTGTACGTCCCACTATGCCAACCTTAAAAAGTTTTTATTACAATTGAATATATGCATGTATTTCTTAAAGATCATTCGATACAAAATAGTGTCATAGGAGAGGTGATTTTTTTATTTAATCAATATTTATCACCCGGAACAGAGGATTCTTAAAAAATATTAAAAGCAAAATTAAAATTTAATAAAAAAAAATTAAAATCTAATGACAACTATGATGTACCTTCCAGCCCTTTTCAAGTACTAAGTTGAGATTTTTGAGAACAGGCAAATCTTCGGGAGTGTATTTCATATAACAGTTACGGAACTCGATGCGTCCTTGCCAAGGCCAACCTTTTGGAGTTTCCTTAACTGTAAATTAAGAAAAACAAAATTAAAAGAACGAAATAACTTTTGAGATTCCTGCACAACTGTTTTAAATAACTAAAAAAATTAAAAATAAATATACACAGAAATGATACTTAATTATACTTTTCTTTTGTAAATAAATAAATGATATAGATATAAATACCAGGAAAATGGTACGTTCTTATAGTTCTTTCTCATAGTTCTTTTTCTAGAGTTGAGACCACCATTGGCGCTAGAAACGTTTAAATATCCACTGCGCCAATCGAGTCGTCAAATAGAGAAATTACTGAACAAATAATAATTTGTAGGTATGGTACACATTTTATATATCGAAACCGGAGAGTAAGTGAGTATAGCATTTTATTCATACCTCCTTTGTCCCATTGTTTCTCTCTCTCGATGTGGGTGTACTGCAGGATTCGTTCGACGCTGGTCATCTGGGAGATAACCTCGGCGGTTTGTCTCACGCCGAATTGGAGCATGCCGGTTAGGATCAGTGTTTGTGAAATCGCCAAGCCAACGTTACCCGAGAATATCGTTTCTTAGAAAAGAAATAATGCTTCGTTAATAACATTACAACAAAAACTAAATTTAACTGACAATCATCATTTCAGCCTGTTATAGTCCACTGCTGAACATAGGCTTTCACACAGAATATTAAATTTAGCGTATATTTAGCTTATAATTTAGTTAATGGAAGCAATTAGGACTTTAATTGAGAGTTGCTAAAATTAACAACTTTTTTAGAAATTATTCTAACAAAAGTTATAAATCAAAAGCTTTCTCCTTAAAAATATTATGCTTGTCATGTTCTCGGTAAGTAGGTACCTACTAACTAGGAATAATATCTTTTTTTCCTTTAGGGAACAGTTTCTTTTATTTTAGTTACTATCAGAAGTGAATTGTTACTGTTAAAAGTAAGTAGTGGCTTTTTACATTTATTAAATATCTCTAATGTATGATAATTAAATACTCTTTCGTGTTTTTACAATTGAAAATATCAATTAACTTAGCTTCGAATACAAATTTATTATTCTTTGGATATCTTGATGCTTTTCTTAAATAAGCGATTCTACAAATACGCAAGAAAACAATATAGTACTTACTGCTGTCAATAACCAAGAATGCAACAATAACTATAGTAAGGTAGAGCACGCAGATGAAATCAAGCCAAAATCCGAGCGTGACGCCGCTGGCTAAATAGCTGCTCCATGTAGACGTGTGGATATCCTTAAAAAAATCAATTAAAACACTGTGTAATTGTTTCTTTACTACTATATCCAATAGTTTATATTCTTCTTGCATCTAACCTGGAAACGATCAAAATCCTGAATCAGCCTCTGCTGTGCCCCAGAAGACCTGATGGTGCTGATACCGTTCAACGTAGCCGACATATGAGAAAATACCGGACTTCTCGCTGAAAGTAACATTGTTTGTTTGTTTATTTTGACCATGGAGACAAAATATATAAAAGTTATATAAATGATACATACTCGTCCCTTCTAATCTTTTAATTGATTGCGCAGATTTCAAGTAAATTTGTAAGATCGTGTAGAACAAGAGTAGGATGATGGTAGTCGGTAGGAGGGTCCAAACTAAAGCGGCAGCGTTCAGGGCCAAAATACTGAACATTACTAAATATATTTGGATACACTCTAGTAGGAATCGAGGCAGGAGCTCGTCCAAAGCACCGATGTCCTTCGAGAAGCGGTTTAAAATGCGTCCTGGCGATAAAAAAGTTAATTGTCAAACAAGATACAATAAATATTTTATTCATCGAAATATTTTACGGTATAATTTTTAAAATATTATTATTTTTTTATGTGTGGAGGTGGCAAGCGAGCTGACGGTTCACCAGATGTTAAGTGACAACCGCCGCCCATGGATATTTACCACATCCGTAGGGTTGCAGTTGCGTTGCCAGCTTGTTATAGTGGGCCCCGGCTACCTCACTCACCAGACAAAACGCAGAAGTATAACATTTCCATTACACGCCGGTTTTCTGTGAGGTCGTTATACTTACCTGGACAGACCTGCCCATTCGTGCAACAGCCGAAGCCGTTGCGTGGCCCTACATCAGTAAAACTTTAGTAATATTTAAGTACCTGAAGAGTTCATGTCGAAGAAGCGCATTACTCCGCGAAGCATGGAATGAAACATGTCGTTGTGAAGATTTCGCGACGATGTCATACAAACTTTGAAGAACATGAAAGCTCGTGCCGTGATGAAGAATACGCAGCAAAGAATTAGTGCTGAGTATACATATAGGTACTGGGAGGTGTCCAGCGGTCCAATGTAGGCGTGAATGTTAAGATCTACAAGTAACAAGATGTAAGGGTTATATTTTATAATCTTACAATTTTTTTCGCGTCGTCTGACAAGTAATTATACCTGGTTGTATTTCAATCCCGGAAAAGTAACCCAAGATGCTGAAAGTGCTGTTCGCATCTACTGGAAGACGATCGTAATCATTCACAGTGCCGTTGGTCTCTCTTTCTTTTAAGCGAGTCACTTCATTGGTCCTGTTTAATGGAAATTTATCACATTTAAGTAAAATAGTAATAGACAATTTGGGAATAAAAAAAATACCAGAAGAACTGTTGATTTATTTTAATGAGATGAAATATGTTATCTATCAATTAAGTGAATATAGCTGCCCGCGACTACGTCTGCGTAGAACAGGCTGAAGGCGTAACATTCAAACAGAAAAACAGATACACTTAAAAATATGTATATAAATTGTAGCCTATGTGTTATTTAGATGCATATGCCATATTATTGTAAATTTTCATTACAATTCATTCAGTAGTATTTGCGTGAAGAAGTAACAAACATCCATCCATACATACAAACTTTCGCGTTTATAATATTAGTAAGTATTGAGGATAATTGAACATGTCTTTAGTATGAAGGGAGAATAAATCGTTTTCATTCTAGGAGTGAATGAAAATTGTATGTACATGAACATTGGCTATTATAATAAGACAAATAGGAAATCGACCGAGTCTTAAGTTTTGTTATCAACTTACCAGAAGGTGACCCAATAGTCGCAAAGTGTCGCGGACAACTGTCCCACTATCAGAAGTACGACCATAAATATGAGCCGGGGTGCCTTTCCTCCTGCTCGCAAGTATGCTCCGTATACGTGCCAGCCCATAGAGCCAGACTCGCGTTCCTCTTCCTCCATTTCCTGCGCTGGTCCCTCGCAGCCGTTAGTCGATTCTACCAAAGACGGCCGGCGTGTTGTTGAAATCTGGAATAAAAAAAACGTTAAAGAAAGAAAAGTAACCGTAGCGGGATTATTGCAAGGCTTAAATTATTATTTCATAATTTTAATTTGTAGCATGGTGTGAATTAACATGTTTTTTTTTGAACTTTTTCTAAGTTCTTCTCTGTTTTCATTTATCAATTTTGTATCTAAAATAATAATATCATCCGTTGAGTATTATTATATTTAAATTTTATTATAAGCATAATAGGTTATAGTTGCTATCAAGTATTATGTAATATAACCAGCCTCGCGGTCGCTTAGTAATCGGCTAGACTCAATGGAGTCCAGACGACACTTAACATCAAAGTAAAGTAACGTAACAGTCTATAAATGTCCCACTGCTGGGCAAAGGCCTCCTCTGTAGATAAGGTATCAGGGCATAGTACACCACGCGACCCCACTGCGGATTGGCGTACTTCACATATTTTCGAAATGTTTTTTTTATTATAACTTCGAAAATACGCAGGTTTACTCACGATGTTTTCCTTCACCGCTGAGCACGTGATAATTCCGCACTTAAAATTAACAATTTCATTGGTGCGGGTACTTTGGATCGAACTCAGGTTGCTCGAGTAAATGTAATAGAAGGCAACACTAAACTACTCGTATACACGTAGTTAAATAAATACACTTTGCAGAAAGACTGTGACTAAAGAGCTTCACGCATACAAGGTACACTCGCGCTGCCCGGCTCTCTCCCAGCTACCGTTAGACAGTCGACCGTCGCAGTCGAGCTATGAATACATCGGTTTGATGGCCACTGGCGACGTGGGAACAAGCGCGTGACTTTAGCAAAATTTCTGTTATAGCACGCTTAAGCCCTGATAGCTACTGAGCTGCCACTGTCTGAACATAGAGGCGGCCACTTTTAATTCAATATACACAAGCAATCGGAGTTAAAATCCCGGTGCGTGATTGAAAAATGGTAAGGAAACCTGCATATTTTCGAAATTGTAATTAAAAAGTATTTCGAAAAGTGTTGAGTCGAATCAAATATTAGATTTCGTATCGTATTGGATTTCTATGTGATGTGTTTTCGGGAACGGTTACAAAAAATATTTTGATATGTTATGGCTATTATGGGCTTTATTATTATAGATAAAGTACTTACTCTAGTGGACGTGCGTCTAGACATCGGAAGAGGTTTCTCGGCCTCATTAGGGTCGTTCTCATCCTGGGTGGACGATAAAAGTTTAGCGAAGTCCTTTCCAGATGTAATTAATTCATCGTAGGTGCCCTTGGCTTCAATGGAGCCCTGTTAAATAAATAATTTGCATTCGTTTTATGGGTATTTAATACTTATTACTTAGGAGCTGTTGCCACTATCGTAACTACCGTGTCTACTACAAAAACAAATTATTGCATTACCTATTGTGTTTTTCTTGTACACGCATTTTTTTGTCACATACATAATCTGTATCCAATGTGGATTTAAATACTTGACATTTCGTTTTTATTTTTGTACAAAATAATCTCCATCACCCATAACATAACTTATTTAAATTTATTTTTTAAATATCTCTACTACATAATGCTCGTAGAAGTTTATATTTCTATATTTATAATCAACTCTGTCTTGTGCGTCAATAATTTGAAAATATATTATATGTATTGTAGGCAGGTTTTTAAATAGCAAAAACCTACGTTGCTCATGATGGCGATGTAGTCCGCTGCTTTGAGGTAATGCAGCTGGTGGGTGACGAGAATGCGCGTGGTGTGGCGCAGGTATCCGCTGATGCACTCGTTGAACAGCTGTTTGCCCACGTGGGCGTCGACAGCTGACAGGGGATCGTCCAGCAGGTAAATGTCAGCCTATAATGGCGAAAAGAAATATGAAGTGACTAATTTCTGAGTCTTATCAACCGTAGGACGTCAATTGCTGAACATAGGGCTCTCACATTGACTTCCAATTCGGCCGGTCGCTAACGACCTGCATTGAACGAGTCAGTGCGATCATTTTTCAGTCAACTTAACTGTCTTTCAATTTAAAAAAATGTCAATAGATGGTATTATCATACATTATTTATAAGAACCATTTAAACGAAAGTTTAGGCATTGGTTTTATTCTAGAGGTCCATTTTTTGTCAACAGCGATAGAAATAAAACAGACATAATGGTGTTTGAATCATTAAATTTGATAATTCACGTGATATGATTACTGTTACATCTGCGGCTCATCGTTATGATAGATTATTACAACTTTATCATTTTAAAAAACTTACTTGTCTGTAGACAGCCCTTGCGAGATTAATCCGAGCTCGTTGTCCACCCGACAAAGAAGCGCCTCTTTCACCTACCAAAGTCTGATCGCCGTGAGGAAACTGTTGAAAATCTTTTTGTAGGGCGCACACCTTAACAACCTGAAATATTTTAATTTATTTAACCTTATGCGCCTTTGGTAATATGACTGTCACTAACCATGAATCGTTTTATCGGATACCTCAGGCAACATCAAGGTTTGCATTGTAACATATACCATTGAAATTATAATGAATAACAACGCCTGATGTAAATAAAATGTATAGAAACGCTTATGGCTATTTCTTTTTATTAAATTAAGAGTTAACCTCTTTATATTTTTTTGGATTATACGGCAGTCCGAAGAGAATGTTCTGTCGCACTGTGGCCACAAACAGCCATGGCTCTTGACTCGCGTAGGATAGTGGGCCAGACAAGTGAATACGACCTCGGGTTGAACGTAGCTCGTTGAGAAGCAGCTGAAGTATCGAACTCTAAAATAGGGTAGTTTTTTTTAATCATCATTCTCAAACATCATATTATTATGAATTGGAGGGGCACGTACCTTTCCAGAGCCAACGGATCCGATAATGGCGCAGAGTTTCCCCTTCGGTACCGTTAGGTTTATATTGCGAAGAGTGACGGGCCCTTCTTCAGACCAATTGGCACTTACATCTTGGAGGAGTATGCCAATCTCCGGGCTTATAGGTAGTGCGGACAGCGCTTGGTTCATCATTCCTTTCTCAGTGCATTCGAAACCTGATATAACAAGTGGAAAGCAGCCGTGTTTAGACTAAATTAGACTACAAATAATTAGGTGACATTATATTCAGAAGGCCTATGCTAATAAAGTTTCATTTAACGTAATTTTTTGACTTAGCAAACGTGTTCTCAGGTTTTGCATGCAACATAATCTATCGTTTGATTGAGTTTTGTATTCACATAGGGTTAACACTTTATAGGAACAGCAATCATGAGAAAGCGGCTTTTCTAACATTGAAATGAAATTTCAAAGTTAAATAAGTATGCGAACTATGAGCAAACAAATTATTTACGCATTGTTTAATAAAATGTGGTCGAATATCTGGCATTTGCGACTTGGTACGTTTCGGTTAACATGTACATACGTACAAACATACATATGTGCCTATCGTTCGTCATGGTAAATTGTTTATTTTTTCATTCCCATTATATTAAAAATTAAAGCGGGTAATTACCGGCTTGCATTTTAGTGATCAGATTTTAATTATTTTATGGAACACGAATATGAAAATCTGATATTTAACAAAGGATGGGGTCGTTGGACCCGTTGCTTAAATGCTTGGTGTGAAAACGGAAGATCCAATCGCTTTCCATGTCGAGCGGAGCATGTTTAAATTTGTGACGTGAATACAATTCGTAATTTAAAGTGAGAGTGTTATATTTTAAACTAGGACTTAGGTTTAAAATAAAACATGGTTATCATGTCACACATGCGGTCTTATCGTGTTAAAATTTATGTTCTTCTTAGTGGAAATCAATTGTCTTTGTGCATACTTAGACATTATTTCTTTTAGTTTTATTGAGTAGATTCAATTTGCGTATGCTTCTTACCAAACGAGTCTGATCACTAGACGGTACGACGTGACGCGACGAATACGTAATGGCGTGGAATAGTACACGGAATAAATAAGTAAATATCTTACTTGATAGCAGATCTCGGTTGAGTTTAAATTTGTTAAATCGAATAAGCATTTCCGTTTACATGCGTCAGTATGGATTGCCTCCGTTTATCATTCTGACGTGAAATATGACTAAGCATGTAATAATTTTTAACGTCTTATATATTTTGTGAGAGAAACGCTTTAAGGCAAACATGCCTAAAACGCTATCGTTCAAATGTATAGTTTAATAAGGTAACTTATATTGACCAATAGCAGCAGTAATTGTAGAAAATTTTATTAATAATGAAAATACAAAATCGCTGTTCACTATGTTGAATGAAATTATGAAGCAGAGAATGAGACAACTGTTTCCTGAAATTCCATACTCATAAGATTGAAATAATCTTGCAGAAATTAACAAACGCACTGAAAAATATTTTTTGATGAGCCAATTTTTATTTTATACTTAGAATATAACAGTTTCCCAATTATTTTATTATTCTTATGGTTTTGATTGCTTCCGTCAATTCTTTTAATGTCCTATGATTAGGTCTTGTTCTGGTTTTATGTAAACTGGTACCTATCGAATATAGTATAAACTCAGTCTTAGTTGTACTCGTAAGTATTTTTGGTCGCATTTACCAAACTTGGTGCGTTTTTTGACATAAAACGTTATCGATGTCTAAAGAAAACATCTTGTGAAACATGATTATGATACTTATGTCCGAAACTAGTTTTTAACCGACATCAAAAGTAGAAAGTTATCAATTTGAATGTTCGGGCATAACTCCGTCATATACGACAGATTTGCAAAACTATTTTTTGTTCAAAAGGGTATTTTATTACGTAATTGTCTCATTTAAATTTCGTATTTGATGATGCGTTTCGAAGATAGACAACGGAACTCTTCAAAAAATGACAGCAAATGAATCGCATGAATGCAGTATAGCTAAAACCGCGCGTTTACACAATTAATACCCTGTTTTCGCGTTCTCAACTATCTTGTGTGCATTGTAAGCGTACACTTGTCTGACAGTTTGATAAATTCGAACTGCACTCCATTGGCAAAGTCTCCTATCAACAGTATTCCTTGACGTTCGCAAAGCAATTCAATTTGCGCCGTTGTCAATTCGCCAACGCGATTGGTAATCTTTGTAAATAAACTTATAGCCAAAAGAGTGCAAATTAAACCAAGACGATTATTGTAATTATCGTCATTTTCGTCATTTAAACTACGTAACATATAGGATCTTTTGTTAAAAATCTCATTAGAAAGGCCTTTCTCATAGGTTCATTTAAAAAGATTTTCTTTCTTTATTTGCTTTTAATCGTTTTTTTTTCAGTTCCGGTTTCAGTTTGACGCCGTTTTTTCATATGAGTAGCGTCTTTTCCAGGATTAACCATATTTTATAACATCTAAATATTAAAATTAAATCACTAAAAATATTTTTTTTTAATAATAAAAGGACCGACTTGAAAAAAACTTTATTATGTAACACTAAAGTTTAAAATAATATTAAATCTAAAATAATCACATCTTGAAAATCTAACCTACATAATCTAACCTAGCTAACCTCAAACAAAATTTAACAATTTTTGGAGTCGGTGCCATTGTTCACCATGGTTAATGTTTGTACACCTTAAAAATTGGTTGTAAACCTTGGTAAAAAAATAGAAAGAAGCTATCCTAAAATTTTTACAGCGGTTTTAAATGAGGAAAATAATGTTTTATAATACTTTTTGACCCGTGCGAAATTTTCTCACTATACTGTGATCAGTCATCGAAGGGTAATATTATTTTTTATGTGTAAAAAAAGTATTTATCAACGAATGGCATCTTATTTTGAAGAATAACGTAGATAGCATTATCATACATTTTTTGAAAGTAAATTCTAATCGAAAGTTTTGTTTTTGTAAAACATGAACTATACTCTACCCGTCTATTTTCATTGACAGTGGCAAACATAGGCTTTAAAATGGTGTTTGAATAAATATGATGGAGAATTATGTTATGAAGCACCGATAAAAAACGCTATTGATCAATAATACATAGAGAAACAATTAATGCAATTATACAGCGTGTCGTTACAATCGCGACAATAAATGAACACACGTCTAACGCTACTTGCCAATAATCGTAAAAAAATATAAACGTTAAAAAATCCTTAATTGGTTCATAATTTTTCAAATCTGAACATAATAGATCTAGCCACCTGGTTAAGAGTCTGAATAGGTAACTTTTAATATACCCGTATTGCGTGAAAAGTGTTTAAGAAATAAATACAAAAATAAGAAAAAAATACACAAGTGTAGATTTTTTTCTTATTTTTGACTTATATAACTATGATTTTGTTAAAAATAATGTAAGTATGATCTGACCTGGGTTGTAGATTCCGTCTTCATCAAGCTTCTTAAATGTGTCTGGACACAGATCGATTTCACTCAAGTTTTTAATTTTTTTCTTTTCCACTCTCTGGACGAGTTTCGCTATATCCACATCAGGAACACTTCGTAGATCTTCTCGTTCATCTAATGTAGTTGAATCGTTGGAATTATTAACATATTCTATATATTCGGTCTAAAAGCAGTTAGTATACCAATGTGGCAACTTTTGGCCAATAATAAGTATATTCCTCTTATTTAAAATTTTTACACTAATTAAAATTTTGTGATGGACTAGGAATTATTCTAAATTTTATTTTTATTAAGTAAAAAATAAATTTTTATCATAAATAATAGACATATAATCAAAGATAATCTAAACATAAACACGAAGGTAAGGAATAAATAAATTAGTAGATCTTGATTAGAGAAACAAAAATGTAGCGGACATTGCGAAAAATGTCAATCGTGGTGTTATTTTCATAAGAAATACGTGCCAGAGTAATAACAAGGAAATAAAATGTCGTCTCATAATTTGTTAGTGTAAATCCGTTCCATACATTGTTACCATTCCCACGCAAAAGGTGTTACTGTTTAATAATCATGACAGTATCACAGCATTGTTAATACACAGCAGACAAGGGTTAAATTTTTAAACATCAAACAACATTGACGACAATTTTAGACGCTTCACACGATAAATCTTTTGGATTGTTTCAATCGTACCCGTTAGTAAAAGAGCCTGTATACGGAGTATAGAAGTATAGGCCTCCATGGATTGCGAAAGGGTCGATGGCAAAAGAATAGCTACTGTCGCTTGGAGGATGTTGAACATTTGAGCCAACGGGAATGCCTGTGGAAACCAATCGATTCCTGTAATTTATTTCATATCCCAATTGAGCTTTTATCAATAAGCTTCAGTGCAGTTTTTCTTATATGTATATTCCGCCCGCCTTCTTGCAGTGTCGACACAAACAAGAAATTGGCGATAGTGTGTTTGCGTGGATTATAATTGTTTCGAAGAAAATTAGCATCATTAAGGTTAAGAGTATTATCTAAAGTTAATAATAATTATTCTACTGCAATTATTTACAGAGTTTTCGAGTCAACGTTATAATTCGGACTCGTGGGTGCATTGGAAGAAAAAGAACAAGGTATTGGCGTTTCATGCATAGGTTTACTGCGAAGCCGAGACCATTGGCCTCACGTACCAAATAACATGAATGCTTCTAATCGTTGCACTGATATCAGCGCTTCCGCCAAAAATGAAACAGCATTTGACATAATAATCGAGAGGGTTCCTTGAAGAGTGTTGTAAAATTGCGCCAATGGGAACACCTGTAATTCATAAATTAGTAAGAATCCATCCCATTTTATTGCCTTGCTCATCCTTGTTCTTAGGACGACAGCCGACCAAGGGATGAAATGATAAAAATGGAAACAAGAAATCATTGATGCAAAGTGCGTCTTTTCTCCGGTACAAAGACTTGTAGGTCGTATAGATTTAACCGTTGTTAAATCTATACGACCTACAAGTCGTACCCACTAACACGGCATGCAATGGTAGTTGGTGACTGCTGAAGACATTGCATCATCCGTGCAGCCCACTTAAAACCGGACAGTCTCATTAGTGTTTAGATAAACAAGTTTTGGCTTTTAACATCCTAGTATTGTTAATAAATGTACTCACAATGTCAGCGGTAACTTGATAGCCGAACAAAGAATACGAGAGCAGGGTTATGTAGAGCGTCAGCCGTTCCGTAAACACCATGAAACTGAGGTAGACCCCTCGGAGGTATGACGCAGAAGTGATACTCTTGATCTCGTTCTTGCGAGCCAGCGCCACCACTTTTTCGAACGGTTTCTCCCATGCGTACATTTTTATGACCTGGTGGGATGTGTTTGATATACATTGCTCGTCGAATCGTCAAAAATGGCGAAAGTTAGCAGCAATTAGCAGCTAACTTTCGCCATTTTTGCGTTCCATGGATGAATTAAGAAAAAATCAATTGCATTTTATTAAGTTTATTAATATTACTTTGTAGGATTCAGAGTTATCTTCTAAAATATACGAATGTCGGAATTAATACGGTAACGTTGTAGGTCAGCCTATTAATTTCAAGGTCTAATAGTTTATACGGAATATTTTCATTTACTGTTCGCGGAGGTTATCATTGTTTAAAAGTAAAGCGTGTTATTGAAGTCGTACCTGCATCCCACTAATTATTTCATCCATAATCCTTACTCGCTCGTCTGTTTTACCGGCCGTATTCATTCTTAAGCGAGCAGCCAATTTGCTCATGTAAGCTGAAACGTAAGAACACATCAATTTTTATTGCTCTTGATTATAATGCGTGCAAATAAATATGAACTTATATTTATTGTGTTATAAACATTTATATGTTTGTTTGTTGCTTTGTGAAAAGGGCTTACATTGAACGGGTATTGTCTGCAAGACTATGCCGACCACGCCTACGATGGCTGCGTATCCAATCTTCGCGTAGATGAGGAAGCAAACAATGACGACTTGCAAAGGCAGCAGCCAGATGAAATGCGTGTATATGAACGCGTAGTCGAAGCGGTTGACGTCGTTGGACAGCAGGTTTACGACTTGCCCAGCAGTCGTCTGAGCCAACGCTCCCGAACTCATCCGCATAACCTTTGGACATATTTATTACATCCTGAAGAATAACAAACATGACAAATATGACAGACGCCTTCAACAAAATTGTTTGCTTACAAATACAATCGAGTTCAATTAAAAATCTTCACAGTATCAGTATGTAAAGCATCTTTCGGGTTTGTTTGTTTCTTTTGAGCGAATTACGTGTAAAAAGATTTAAAAAACCGGCCGTGCATGGACACTTGATGCTAATTTAAAATGAAGATGTGGCGGGTATTAGGTCTTATTAACATCTTATCAAGTCAGTTGCATGTTGAAAGTACTTATCTAATAACAGTACAACAATATTAACATGCTGTCTTCAAGTAAATTCTTCATTAAAAATTCATATTATATACAAATCAATATTTTTAAAAATAATACATTTTCTTTTATGAAATCGGTCATCATACGTATTATCATACGTATTATGATGGTTAGAAAAGTAATAAGTATATTTTCGAAGGAATTATGTTATAAATAGTTAATAAGAATTTACATGAAAAAGCCAACTGTTAAGAATTCTTGCGAGCCATCACTTAACATTGGATTACGACCAAATTTCGCTCATGCTTATGGACTTGGATTATATTAAAATCTATATCAATAGATACTTTCTTGCACGCTAATAGACTAGAAGAAAATAAAAATTTTACTACGATCAAAAACTTTCCAATATTTTCTAGGTCTACTTATCACGCGGCCGCTTACACCATTGCTCAGTTATGTTTTTACTAAAACCATAATATGTATATTTGCAAAGGTTGAAACTTTGTATCAGAGATAAGCTCTTGGTAGTAGCTCAGGTAGAATATTATTATAGGCTTTGGATGTTCACGACTGGATGTGGGCAGCATAATAGAATATCCCTCCCACATTTTTCTTACACTTATTTTCTTATAGTTACTTTCGTATGTACATATATTTGTCGCCTTTAAATTGTTTTTGGTGTTACTTGCAGGGTCTACTTTTTGTTAACCAGATAGTGCAGAAGTCTGTGGAGTGGTTGCCACAAGCCTCTGTAACACGCAGGTCGCACTATACTCTCGTGTATGTGTACCCATCTTGGCGCGATGCTAAGCCTAAGTCTTAAGCAATAATATTAAAATTTACGAAAAGATTGTCGCTGCTGTGGGAATCGAACCCACGTCTTCGGCATTCGCGGCCTGACGCTTTAGCCGCTAAGCTAAACGGCTGATTGCCACAATGACGAAAATCTTAACGCCTTTTATCTACATTGTGTTTTAGCATTTGAAGCAATGCTTGGCGCATCCATTGTTATATCCTTTCCAGCATACAAACAATTTCGAATATCGTTTTACAACGATAATTCGAACGAGAGATGTCGCCATTGCTTTTTAGAAATTTAAATTTTTATAGTACTAATCTCTAAATTTTTATAGTGCTAATCTCTGCACTTAAGAATCAACATTAAAATTTGTAGAAAAAGTACGAAAAGATTGTCGCCGCTGTGGGAATCGAACCCACGTCTTCGGCATTCGTTCGCGGCCTGACGCTTTAGCTACTAAGCTAAACGGCTGATTGCCACAACGACGAAAATCTTAACGTCTTTTATCTACATTGTGTTTTAGCATTTGAAGCAATGCTTGGTGCATCCATTGTTATATCCTTTCCAGCATATAAACAATTTCGAATATCATTTACAACGATAATTTGAACGAGAGATGTCGCTATTGCTTTTTAGAAATTAATTTTTTATAGGTCTAATCTCTGCACTTAAGAATCTACATTAAATTTTGTTATTTTAACGTTTTTCATTAATTTAATGTTGATTCTTAAGTGTAGAGATTAGCACTATAGAATTTAAATTTCTATTAAGCAATAGTAGGTTGTTTACATGCTTAATAACTCGTGTGGCATTTTTTTTAAACTGACACTTCACAGTAGCTTGGCATTTTTCCGTGATTAATATAATTAAGTCTGGATTAATAACTATATCTCCAAAGTTTCGATAACTCTATATCAAGTGGTTTTTTGTGAAAACAGATGCGAATACGTTCCTTGCCGGTGCACAAAGGCACCTGCAACTGCCATAAGTTTTCATTTTAGCTGAAGTTAACCACCTGTGTTGATGCTTCGTACACTTGTTTAAACTAAAACCATGTCATAAAGTCACCGCCAAAAGGTTAAAATGTCACGATTAAATAAACATGTATGATTCCTTTGAGATCCTGAGGCGGCGGACTTTTTGCTTGGTTGTAATTGACAGCGGCGTTACCAGTTGCAAGCGAGAATTTACTTCCTGTAATAAGATCACATTCGTGTGCTCTTGATGAGCGTGAACCGTATTCCAATTTTTATAAGTCAGCAACTATTTTTTTATCAATAAGCTCCGCTTGAATGAGAGGTTTAGCTTGCTTGCAGCTCCTCTCAGTTCCGTTGTGCTTGCTTTCAGTACTGGTGTCTCTGAGCCTGAACTGAAGATGACAATGAGCGTCTAGACTTATATGACGCCGGTTTCAAATATGAACTCATATAAATATAAATCGTGGTATCACATTCCATCTCCTGGTGGTATTCAGAGAATTGTATACGCAGTTGTAGAGCTGCTTTCAGAGTTGGGTTATATTAAAAGTGCGCAATGCATACTTTCGAGCTGTAAATACTGTTCCCTTTTTCCCAAATCTCGCCAAGCTTTTAGTGAAGAAAGTAATGTTCGAGTGTTATGTTCGAATGTTAATTTATCAGAACGGTATTTTTCCCGTTTACACTAGTATTACTGTATAGCTTCTTAAATTAAATATAAATATAAAAATATTAATAAAACAAATAATAAATAAATTATTTAAAACCGTAAATAGATATGTCGTCAAAACAATCTTTATGAGAAAATAATTATGTAATCGCTCTCACCTTTCTGTAAATCAGTGAACAGGCTGCAATTCGGACCTTCATACCGAACTGCTGGGTGGAATATGTGCCGTGATGATTGAGAAAAGCTATGAGCAACGACATCAAAATGACGGAAGCGGCGCAGTATACGGCTTGCTCGTACGTCATGTTTGAACCTGGCTCCCAGTAAGCCAATAGCATGCTCAGTGCCACCGGCTGGAAGGGTCTGGTGACAATTTTTTTTTCATTTTGATTTCATTATATACATCTGGATATAAATAGGTTAATGATATTGTAACCAATGGTTTAAACTTAAGCTTTTGCCGCACAAATGCCCATTCGTACTTCTACCATCTCGTACCATGGACTCACAAAAGTCGAAGTAGAAGTAGAAGTATTATATTCTGTGCATGTATTGTACATCACTATCTACTACCATCACTACATAGTATAAAACAAAGTCGTCCCGCTGTCTGTTTGTCCCTATGTATGCTTATATGAAATTATAACTGTCAAACAACAGTTCATGAGCCTGGTGACAAACGGACAGACAGACAGACAGACATACAGACAGCCGAGTCTTAGTAATAAGATCCTGTATTACCCTTTGGGTACGGAACTACAAAAATATTTATAAAGGCCTATCAAACCATCCTATTATCATTTAGGAATTTAATAATTTTTTATTAAATTAATTCCGATTTTATCATGAGTAAAAAAATATTAAGAAACATTTCATAAACGTTTTTACTTTATCGACTTATCCATAGGGCAAAAGTAAAGGTGTAAATACTTAAATATAAGTTTAAAATAATATCCTCATTCTATTGCGTTATAAAACAAAATGACGATAAAGAACAATATTGCTAATTAATTTTATTGTTTTTTGTTCGTGCTTCTCTCTTAATAATACAGATAAGTATTTCTCAATGAAAGGTACCTTGTTTTGAAGAACACAGTCTAATTCACTGTTTTGCATTAAAATAAATTGTCAATTGATGCTATTCTCATACATTTGTTATAAGACATTTTTAAACAAAATTTTCTTTTATGGAAAACGTTAAAGTTATTCTTCTTACGTCTAATGGTGTTTGAATTATTATGAAATTTGTGCCGTTGCGAAAAAAAAACAAGCTTTGAGAATATATATATATATATAGAGATTGTAATATATATAGAGATTATTACTTGAGGATGAGCGCTTGAATGAGAAACATGATGCCGGAAGGAGCGTAGCTTAACCAGAATGCCTTGGTCATCGCGCGGAGAAGAGATGGTTTCCGGCCCTGCTTGTTTGCTAGGGCTATTTCTTCGAACCATTTCCTGTAAACAAACACATTTCAATTATTATTTATTATTGTTCTTGGGGTAAAAAGTCAAAGAAATTCAACTGCATCCCTGCTGTTGACAAGCAATGTTTAAATATACATACTGTTAAAGTTACAGTAATATGTACGAAATTTAAAAAAAAATCAGAACACCTTCCTAAGTGGAAATAAATATTACGACAAAAAGATTAATAATAAAATAAAACTACTGAAATTATTCGTTTAAAAATGTGTGATTAAATAAAATAAAAAAATATACTTTAAAATATTTTAAGAATGTCTGAGACTCTAAGGGTGCTAATTCTGTACAAAATGGTTGAATTATTGTTTCCTTCATCTGATGCTGCTTATAATATTTGCGGCAGATATTTAATATGTAAATCGTTCGAGACGTCTGCGTATCTGTGATATCATCAATTTTGTCTTTTAAATGTCATGAACGAACCGAGTGATCGCTAGGTTTACGTTGACGTTACTGGAATGAAAATGGCTGTCTAATACCTATACAGCGTGTCATTACAATCGCGACAATAAATGAACACACATATAGAGGATAACTTTTTAAAATTGTATTAAACATTTACATTCTTTAAACATCAATATATAACGAGTTATAAAATTTTCCAAAACAAAGAATTTTCAAACATCCTTAGGTATAAAACTGTAACGTAAAGTTCATTTGTAAAGGTCACAAAGCATATGAATGGGTTGAATGAATTTAAAAGAGACAAAACTAGTTAGAGGGAGAGGCTTGTAATGCGACGCTTTGGCAACGAATGAAAAAGTCTCTGAATGTATGAATCAGTCAGTTGTAGTTGTATATGATGTTACAAATTTTGTTTCTTTTTTTACTTAATTAGTTTGTTTGAAAAATGTATTTTTTTAATTATGTATTTTTTTAACGTTAATATTTTTTTATGATTATTGTCAAGTAGCTTTAGACGTGTGTTCATTTATTGTCGCCGTTGTAACGACACGCTGTATATTATTTAAATAATTATGTTGTTGCTACTTTACTTTTGCATTTAATCGAATTATGTATCTAGACGTAAGCATAGATAACAGACTTTAAAATTGAGATATAAGGAAAACTTATCGTTTTTATCATTAAGTAAATACTAAAACATAAGTTTGTTCGTCATCTTAGTATATTGTCAACAATGATATTATTATATAAATACGAAGTAGATACGACACTAGCGCACCGAAACTGAGGCACTCAAATTACACCAATTAGATTGCAATTCTACAGACTGCTATCTTTATTCGTATCATACGTTTATATCATCTATCACATTCACTTATATATTTCATATAATGTAAAGAGGAACAATTTTTAAACGTCGCGCAGTATGAACATGCGCCATCTAATCTTTATGATAAAACATCATTGGCAAGCATAATTTCTACTCTAGAGATTAATTAATATCTAAATGCATGTCTTTCTTGTCTCATGTATATATATATATATATATATATATATATATATATATATATATATATATATATATATATATATATATATAAATTTTGTGAACCACAAATTAAGAATTACTTCGAGGGGGATTAGAAGATCCTAGAATAAAAAGATGTTCATATTTTCTATTTACAACATTTCAACTTCCGAATTTATTTGGGTTCAACAAATAATTAAAATTAAAGATAAGATATAATATAATTAAAGATAATATAAAAAAGCGATGATGTAAGTCAATAAAGTGAAATGTAACAGGATTCCAAATTATAATCATCCCACTTTAGATGTCAGATATAAATCAAAAGCCTTAAAATTTTGTCCATGAATAAGGGTCTGAACAGTAATCTATAAAGACTGTAAAAACATTGCAATAAGTTTAATATCACTTCAGGGTTCTGTTGCAACAGTATGTATTAAACATTAACACAATGATCCTTGACGTACAAATACGTTAATGCAAATGACAATTTAACAATTAACATATAATAAAACGAATCTCAAAATGTGACAAAATAACGAATTAGTTAGAGTTTCTTCATAAGCGCGCTGATAACATAATAGATTTTAAATATATAGTTTCCATCGGTTTTGTATGAACTATTCAAAATAACTGAACAGTTAGTAAAAAAGACACAAAATATGGTTATCTCGTTTATGATTACCTCGTCTACCACTAAGGCCAATAAAACCATCTTAAGAACCGATAAATTTTTTCTTCTGAAAAAAAGCATAGTGATTGAAAAAATAAATGGTGCCAAAACTTAGCAGGTAATGATGTCAAGATAGATGACCTCATGAGATTTTTTGTCGACCGCTAGTAAAATGTCACGTTATTTTACAGTTTACTGCAGTCTGATTACACATTCATGTCTTATTTTTTTATGTATTGTTTAAAAAATTATAGCTCAGAAGTTTATAAGAAAGAAGGGTGTTTTCAGTATGTTTTTATGTAAGATTATAAGTATCAATACTAATAGTGGTCCAGTGGCCAATTCGCTATCAAATATCTTGAATTTTCTGATGTTTAAACTTAGGGATGTGTACCAAATATATTTCTTATTAATTCTACTATAATTTTATAATATTAGCTAGAAAATATATATACCCCACATTGTTTAAAATGTTAGTCTTGTAGTTACGGGCACACAGAAAATGGGCTCATGTATTCACAGGTTTGACCTGACAAAAAAGTAATAAACTCGTTTTTTTTTGTATTGTATTAGGTACTTTATTTGAGTAAATATATATATACAAGAAATTTATTAGCCCCTAACTTAAATAAATCGAATGAAAAAACAACTAACATAATATGCTTACCTGCACTAATGTAGTGGTCACGAGTCTTATAGGCTTATAGTAATCGGTTCCTTGCGAATTAATAATAAAAGACAAAACGGAAAATCCGTTTATATATTTTGTTCACTAATTTATAAATAATATATATAATAAGTTATTTAGTATGAATTTGCTGGATAAATTTTTCAGTTACCACGGAAAGATTTGTTAATAAAAAAACTTTTACCGGCATTCTTAAACCAAGGTACGCCGTATGTACATTTATTTTCATCTACTTAAATATTTGGGTAATAATTCATTCGTAGTTAATAAGTTTATTGGCTTAAAATATACCTAGAAAATATTACATTAAAGACGATTATCGAAAGTCATTTATTTGCCAGACATAGTAAAAAGAAACAGCTCAGTAACGAAACATTTTATTAAAGGTGTATATAAACTAGTTTAGAAATTTGTTTTCAAATGCTAATTATGTACCTACCTAATGAATAATGTCATGCATGAATGCCTTCTCTTTGGAACATGCTTCAACTTTGTTTAATTCGAAATATGTACTTAATTCTCGCAAAAGCAATAAATTTAATGAAACGCATTTGATAATAGTACCTATTTAAATATAATTAAATTGTGGTCTATGTCGACAGTACGTTCTAGTATCCAAGACAGTAACAGAGTTATTTTAAATAGTTACAACAGAGTAGCTTGTTTCAGAGTTTTCAAAACTAAACAAGCAAATGATAAATGTGTTTCAATTTAATAGGAGATATTATCGAATATGTACTTCATAACAAATACAATAATGATATTATTTAAAAATTATTTTATTAATAGCCATATTCATTTAAAAGTGTATAGTTGTCTATTGTGTATTTTCTATTTCTCCAAAAATGCATAATGTAGTGGTAGTATTTTGACTATCAATAAGCGAGTGTAATAGTCATATGTTGAATAAAGGCATTTGATTTTGATTTTATACATTTATAAGTTTTAATGTTGCTAGTAAGTGCCATTTTTTTCAGTTGAGCCGAGTGCTCGTTTAAAGATTGTAAGTAAAGTAAAGTAACAGCCTATACATGTCCTGCTGGGCAAAGGCCTCCTCTTTATAGAGGGTATCAGGGCATAGTCTATCACGCGGCCCCACTGCGGATTGGCGGACTTCTTCGAAATATTTTTTTTATTATTTCGAAAATATGCAGGTTTCCTCACGATGTTTTCCTTCACCGCGGAGCACGTGATAAGACAGCACTTAAAGTTAAAAAACTTCACTGGTGTCGGCACCGGGGATCGAACTCAGGTTGCTCGAGTATATTGAATTAAAGGCCCGGACACTGAGCTATCACGGCTCTTGTAAAAGTGTTAAAGATTGTAATTTGTAATAATAGCTACGTTAATTACTCTTAGCAAGACAATTTTTTTTTCTATTAAGTTCTTTTTATGATAAGTTCGAACAAAGACGCATAACATAACATGTATGAGTTTCGTTCAATTTAAGTAATATTAAATTGTGATACATTGTCTATACTGTGTTCGATGTCTCGCCTTGTCCTTATTTTGGCTCGACGAGTTTCTTTTTCACAATCTATGTAATTGTTATTAATTATAAGACATCGGTGTCTAGCTACAACTTCTGTCTTGCAGTGAAATTTCCTAAAAAGTAATTTCTGAAGTTACCATAAAACATTCATAGGACAGGGTTTTACGTTTTCGAATTAATATGAAATTAGTAATGGTTAATTAAACTAATGTAATTGAAATATGTAAATAAATAAAAAAACTCAACAATTATTTATTGGAAGTTCAAAAACCTCCGTTTGTATTTAAAGTGCATATTTTAATGGGTAAGTGATAACTTTTATATTTTAATTTAGTTACATTTTTTAGTATAAGATTTTCTGTTTGACACATCATTCTCTATTAAAAACATATTTGTTTCTTTTTAAGGCCAGTATAACAATGTCGATTATTATTGTGTTACAACGCCAAAATCGAAAGACAGCGCACTATTTATATATAAAATAAACGTTAAAACCATATTTATAGATCATCTAAATTGTAAACTCTAACCAGGTGCTCAAACGATTGGCATGTCTGACCTTTCAATAAATTAATGTCTTTGGTAGGTTAAAAAACTGTTTGATCAGCTTTCATACTGGTACGTAAAGTTAAATGAACTTAAACATTTACTGCATTTTGCTAAAAATTGTCGCAGATAAAAACTCAATAGTTATACCAATAATGCTTTAAAAGGAGCAGATTCAGAACGAGAAATAATCCGAACAGTTTACCGATCTGTTTGTGCTGTTTAACAATTAGTTTACAAGGTACGGTTATTATGACAATTAGCACTATGAATTTAATTTATAATGGAGGTCTTATTTTACTTACAATAGCTTAGTTTTATACGTATCAGATATATGGCGAGGTTGCCGTTGAGACTAGAAAATACAAAGAAACATTAAACATAAAATCCTTACTAATATTATAAAGTTTATATGTATGTTAGGATATTTGTTACTCTTTCACAAAAAAACTACTTAATAGATTTTAATGAATAATAATGAATAATATAGCTTATACATTAGAATAACACATAGGCTATAATATATAAAGGTATTGTGTCAATTGTCCAAAATATAGGTACTGATAAGTGTACTTAGAAGGAAAAAATTCAGCCATCTGTGAGATAGTCTGGTGTATAATAAAAAACTCATTGTTTATTCGTTGCAAATAAATAAGTGTGTTGTACTTCTTTTAGTTTTTACTTTAAAGTTAATTTTTCTTCATTTTATGAATAATACTAGCGATTCTCTCGCCATCCTGTGAATATGTCTTTTCGTCCATTTTTAATAAGCTAATTTTCAAAATCCTGTATGTTTTATCTTGATACACCTTAAACAGGTCGTATTATTTGAAAACCTGATTCCAGAGGTGACTTAATGACTTCTTTGGTTTAATAATAACAATATTCTCTAATATTAATCAGTTATGTTTTATTGCATGGCGCAAAATACATATGGTCGTTTCATTATGCAAGAAAGTAGACCTGCTGGTATACAAATAAGCTCCATTCTGAATAAGCCATGCCAGCGATGTCGCTAGTGCGGCATGCTCTAGTAATTATTGATTGCTTGGTGAGGTTAAGATTTTATACCAAATGTTTTGTTAAATTAATTTCGTCTACAATTCTCAACATTTTAATGGTTTCTTCATTTTAAATTCCTCTGTTTAAATATTTTGAAAGCCAATAAAGTTTAATCAACATTGACCCTCCATGGGTCTCATAAGTATGAAGTCTTGTCCGATCGGTGTGGCTTTTACAATGCAAACGAGGATGTAAACACTTGATCGCGTTGAAGGCTGCGGCTTCGTTGGGTGACAAGATACGCCTTTGCACGTAGAGTTATTAGCAAAAAAAACCACAAGGATTCCCAGAGGGAGCTGACACTACTTGTATTTTGGAATAAGGTTTTAATTTGTAATTTTCCTAGCTTATCGATTAAATTAGAATATATTGAAGTTATCTACTCGTATGTATTATAAAAAAAACCGATTTGTACATGTATTTTTAATCAAGGATCTCCTTGAAGAAATAACTAAATTTACTATCACAGGCAGGTATATTTCTTTTAGTGTTGCCAACAACCACAAGGAACGACTTTTTTAATGTTGCCTTTGAGTGAGAAAAGAAATCTCAAATACTGGGTCTAATCTCTGGGTGGATGGAAACAAGAGTCCTAAGGATGAGGTGAATTCTTTAAATGCAACGTCTAGAAAACGGGATTGCTTTTTTTAAAACTTAAATGATTCATTAAGTAAAAACTTTTAGAAATTTTTTTATTCATAGAAATATTTAGGAAGAGCTTTTGAAAGATGAAATCGTTTTAAGTAAGGTTTTACTGTAGTAAATATTATTATTATTATAAAAGAAAAATTTGCCTCTTGCTTGACTACCATAAAACCATGTTACTATCTCCTTTTCGGAGCATAGAAATTAATATAAATTGAATAAGTAGTATAAATATATAGAAGTAGTTATGTTAAGTATTAGCTTGTACAGGACAAGTAAAAGCAACTCCTAAGTGACGTTGTGGTCGTGTTAACAATTTACATAATTACCAAGTTCGTGTCCTATAAACGTGAGTCATGTCAGTGATAGTCGAAGGAATGAAAAGTAGATGCCGAGTTAAGTGACCGACAGGATACTTAAATAATCATCTCATTGGTAATATCCGCGGATGTCGTTGAATGTATTGTATGCATTTATATGATGATTCGCTCGGGAGGAATATAGGAATATATTTAAGTTACACACTTTCGCATTTGCGAACTGATACGTCAAGGTGACCATTCTTATTTTAAATAGTTTCTTTAACCATTCACTAAAACTCTTCTAGCTTTTTTAACTATTCACCATAAAGTAGTAATCTATTTATACGCTAGAGTCAGCTTTGATTAATAATTTTTCCCGTAACACCTGCGACTAACGTAACACGACCGATATGCAAATAATGCAAACACGCCTATGATTGTTGATAGTTTTGCCACGTGTTCTAACCTATTTTAAAGTCACTAACACTTATGTGGGGCCAAACTTATAAGTAATAAATTCATTGCAGCTATCAATGTTCAATTCATGTACATTATTCATGTAACCAATTTCGTCAAAAACCGCGAAGAATATGCGAAGATATGGAATTATTAGGTATTTATGACGCTAAAAATACCTCGTAAGTTGTTCGCAAATAATGTAAATTTATCGCTAATCTAAGTAAATATACAAATTTATTTATGAGTTTATATCATAAATTCTCGATGTTTTAAATTTAAACACTATCTTTTCAATATCTTTTATTACTCTGTTTGACAGAATTGGTTTAGAGGCGAATTTGTGTTAAGAAGGAGCATTATAGAATCTTATAAGGAAATTTTGTAACCAATGGTGACGATATTGAGCAGTACTTTGCACGTTCAACGTGATCTCGCAACGTTGCAGCATCGTCGTCAGCATTGATTGCAACTACTTAGATTAGATGATGCAACCTCTGCCTCGAATTACCTTGGATAAGGATAAATTACATAATTTCTTCAGAAATTTAGTTTTATTTTATAGTTTCGCATGATTTATTTTGTATTCCATACGACTACGCGGTCGAAACACTCGATATAAGTTCACATTATTTAGAAAGTCGTGATTGAATTCTGTTCACGAAATTTTTTAAAGACCTTTAGCAAAACTTTGATAATGCAGAAAACAAAAAAAAAAACTTTGCCCCTTTTCCGCTTTAGCTATTAATTGTAATAGAAGGACTTTGAAGAAGGAAGTTTTTATCCCGAGTAGTAATTTTAGCACAAAGTATCGCTTTTATTGCTTTTTACTCATAATCAATAGGTTTAAAACACTTTCTAATCGGTTCTCGTTGATATTGAATGTTCGGTGCTTGTATAACCAAGATCATTATTAATACTCCAATATGTTTTATAGTTTGTTTGTATCGCTT